AACCCCCACCCATGCACTCATACGCTCAAAACCCACCCAGCCAGAACATGTGAATTCCCGCTGCACGGTTGGTTCATGGTTGCGTGAGGAAAACATATGAGCAGCGCTGTTCAGCAGATTTTTTATGTTTACGTGGTGACCCTCACTGACACCGCAATCTATTGATTGTCTCTGTTCCAACCTGAACTCATGCGAGATCTATTTCTGTGTCATGAAATACTGCAGTACACCTGTTGCACTAGTCCCAGATTTCCTGATAAACAACAATGTACAGTTTCCGCTTTTCCCACTGAAATAACAGCGTGGATACGGTTTCTGTTTTATCAAGAAGGGGGTGGGCTATAGTGTTAGTATTTATGTTTAAAATCTGCTCATTCAAACCACAGATTCACTTGTTACAGGCTAAAACATGCAAAGCAAGGTGTCCTTGAAAAGTCTTGAAAGTCATGAATCAGAAAGTCACAATAAATCTAACTTCATCAAAGTCTCATTTTTGCTTGTGAGTGGTAGCAAAGTGAGCAGCTGTACTCACTGCTGCTGTTTGTTTGTTTTATTTTATTTCTGTGGATTTATTTGTTTACATATCAAATACAGCATAAACAGCAGCTTTTTGCTTTTGCAGTCACTAACTAAAAACAGAAAGAGGAGAAGGAGAAAATGAGGACATGCATATTTAACAAAGTTGGGCCTCAAGATAAAAAACCTTAGGATTAAACACTATGAGCAAAAATACTTGGAAACACTTCATAAGTTAAATATGCCACTTGTATCAAATAACATTGTTCAGCAGTGCAAAATGGTTGTTTTCTCTTTAAAATTTTTTAAGTACGTTCAGGATCAAGAGGTAATGAAATACTACAGTACAATCATAGACACCTATCAACTCAAAAACTAAGAAAATTCATATCAGTGTTATAACAATTTAACATGGGAAAAATCTGCAACTTTGAAACAACTATCTTCAGTTGTAGTAAATTTAGCAAAAGATTTGAACTTTTAACCCAAATTCACTGGGTTCATCTGTTTTGTAACTATGTGGGAAAGATTGTTTACAAGTCATCTAAAATTAAAGTGCTACGGATAAAGAAAGGTGTACTCAAAAAGGTGTACCTCTCTGAAACCATGCAGGCTCTCAGCCCATTGGGATCTGTCCTGATTTGTTCATAAAAAACACTCTAAATATTCAGCTTCATCTGCATCTGTTCACTACATGTGCCAGATTTCAGAGGCGAGAAGCCCTGCTGTGACATACAGTGCTCAGTTATTCTCGATACCTCTTGGATCTTCCCAGAAAGTAAGTGACTGTTCACCGTCTCCAGGATGATCTATGATCTGCTCAATTCACCGTTCACCAAAATGTGAGCATGTTCAATGAATGAGGTTGATAGCCAAGCTTCTGTACTTGCTGCTTCCTCATCAAAGGGGCCAAGCTGACAGGGATCCCCAAAAAGACCTCATACAACCCCACTGAAAAAAAGGAAACTATCCCTATAAATGTGATGTTTTGGTTTGGTTCATCATAAAACTGGATAAAAGCAGATATACAAGCCAATACATAACAAACAAAATCCAACAGTGCCTGTTTTTGGTAAGTATAACTCCACAGGTGTCAATCAGAGTTGCTTTCAAGTGTCAATCACAGCTTCGTGAGAGATTTTTACTCCTATGCGTCAGCAGGAGTTGTATATTGTTTTATTGTCTGATAGTACTTTGGCCAAACAGCATGCAGAAGATAAGATAATAAGAAATGGAAAACACAGCGGGCAGTTCAGTAGAGCACAAGTTCAATCAATCAGTCAGTTTTTGTTTGTACCGCACATTTCATCACAAGTGTTATCTCAAAACACCTATTGAAAAGAGCAAATCTGGACTATACTCTTTGTTTCTGACATCCTTAGAGACCCAACATTACTCCACCATGAACCAACACAATAAGCAGCATTTATCAACAGAAGTAAGAAAAAAAAAGGTCCTAAAGAGGCAGAAACCTTGAGGAGCACCAGATTCACTCTGAGCAGCCAGGTGTGTTGGGAATAGGACTGATGTGGATTCACAAAGAGACAAACAAGAAGAGCAATGACAGCACAACAGATGATAACGTTTGTCAATAACACTGCCAATTAAATTGGTAAAGGTTTTATAGTATAAGCAGAAAATGATATGAGTGATAATATAAGTTGAGGTCATTAATTTTGATGTCTGCAACAACAGCTTTGATGATGACAAGAGAGGACTGATAAGATGAGTTGTTTGAGCAACAGAAATAAGATTAACATTGGCATTATATAATAATGATTAAGCATGATTGATATTGGCATCAGACAGTCCAACAACTTATCTGTATCTTCTGACTGTTTGACCCAGTTGACTCCTCGTCATCACTTCTTCCCACATTTCAGTGAATGGGTATGCAGTAAGTTTATATCAGGTCAAAGGCAACGTTCATGTGAGGTGTCATGACCTGCAGTACGAAATAATCCTATTAAGGTTTGCCCGATCGGGCACACGCAAGGCCAGGAGCCTTGTCCAAAGTTTGTAAGTTTGTAATCCTGGTCGTGGCACTGTAAGAAATCTACAATATTGCATTATGGGAAAGGTAGTCAGAGCTTGACCTACTAAGATAACTCAGCAAATATAGCTGTATTTCCTATGATTTTCCAGTGAAGTTCCCAGGAAATAGAGTATGATTGCTATTAGTTTACTGTGAAACTTCTGGCACTGTTGACGTAATGTTAACAAAGACAGAGGTGGAGGGAGGTTAGTGGCTGTTTTGAGGGCATGGGTGCAGGAGCATGTTCAGAGGCATACTAATATCCATGCTCTATGATTTATATATATATATATATAATTTATTCAAGACTCATTTGGCTTTACACCTCATCAATTAAAGTGTGTAAATCACTACAACTGAAATTTAAAAAAAAACAGGATGGGGTAGGTATTGCTGACACAGCACTGAAGTTATTCTCTTTATGCTTTGTATATTTGATTCATTTTTTTCACAATCCAGTCCACTTTCTTCACACAGCACATTATTTAAAAGCACTAAACCCAGCCTGAGCAACAAACAGTGAATAAAACAGAAATGAGAACACAGAAAAATACAAAAAACTATAAATAGAATATATTTAATACACGCAAAAGCCAGTAAAACACAGAAAATAGTGCCCACAATGTGCCCCTCACCCACATTACAAAAACAACACGTGGCATCCCTCAAGGATCAATGCTTGGCCCAATACTGCTTTCTGTATTCACAAGTACCATTACGTTATATGAATTCACATAATATGCATCTAGATTTATATCTAGCTATATATATTCACCAGACCCACTTGGTGTAAAAGGCAGCTGCGATGTTAATGTTGGCGATGTAGGTTTGAAAATAACTCTCTACAGCAAGCCCCACCAAAACAGAGTTCCTCATTGTCATTCTTGGGGGATCCTTTGAGCAAAAATACAGAAAATTGTTCATACTTTGATGTCCTCACACTTGGACTCAGCCAGAGACACCACAAAACATAAAAACAATCACTCTCCCATTCATCACTCCAGCAACAGCCACTGTGAGCTTGTTAGTTGCTTTCAGAATCAGTTTCATAATCTTACTCATGACCCTTGAGGCTTTTCATGGCCGTGTGCCAGAGAACATCTGTGATCTTTTAAACTTCTTACTTTCCGAAAAAGCCTCTTGGATCTGTTGGGTTTGGCCTGCTGACTGGTTCGGTCTGTAAGAGAGCAGCTAAAACTAAGTGTTTCAAACAAAGGCTGAAATAACGATATTTTAATACACCAGAGTGAGAAACGGGAGGGTTTTTTTATTTACCTGTAAATCATGTAAAGATATTAGAGAGGAATCAGAAAAGAAGGTTAGAGTCTGAAAAAATGAATAATAGCCGGTTTGTTAATTAGGCTCTTAAAAAGTGTTAAATCTCTAAATTTTTTCATATCTTCTGTGGAAAAAGCATGACCGCATATGTCTTCGTCTGTACATGTTTGGGTGTTTTCTGATGAAAACCATCATGCTGTTTATTAACTATAAACATTTTACTCACTTACTTACTTACTTACTGTGAATCCTGGCTGCAGTCATGGGAAATAAAAACAACTCCATAGAAATTATCAGTCTTGTTGCTGACTAGTTTGCTTTTATAGGTCCGACAGAAACATCAGTGTTCATTTCAGTCTGTTTCATTATCAGCTAAAAAGTCCCCTCAGGAGCTTTGATAAGTAAAACTGAAAGAAAAGGTGAGAGAGCTACAACTAGTCATCATTGTGTTTCCAGTAAAGCTGAAGCCAAACTATAAGCTCTTCTCTGGGCTTCTGATATGTGCACAATTTTATTGCATTTATGATTAAGAACTGAACTTTTTAAGCATGTGTGGTCCATATGGCAATATTCTGTTTGCTTTTCTGAGTTGGCAGCTGGGAGAGTTTATTTTGTCCTGTTCCACAGCCTCAGCACTAGAGAAAGCTGTCAGGTGTCTATCTTTTATTTTTTATTACTCACTAACTTGCTTGTTTGGAGGATGTTAAAGCCTAAATCTTTACCATAGCATACACTATTGGGTTGCATAGCCTCATACCTACACAGAAGCCCACATAAATAACACTGACAACTCCAACAATATTGACCACCAACCCTGTGACTGGTCCAATGGATAGTATTGTATTTTCCTGCATGTAGAGCGTTTACAGTAATGCTGCCACCTTGATTCAGCACCCGATCATCTACTCCGACGTCTCCCATCTTTTCTTTTTTGCACTCCTAATAACTGTGCAGTTATTAACTGTAATGTTGCTCAACATTTATCAATTCCAACTCCAACATTGTTATGCTCAGATTTGGTTCCCATGGTTTCTTGTGCATGTACCAGCAGAAAATCTAGAAGAAAAGGAAACTTGCAATATGCTGCATAGAAATCATTCTACCACTTAGTGTAAGGTAGAGTGTGGTCATGACGGCGTAGGCCAATATGGCAAACAAAGAAGTACAAACCAGGCTTAAGGTTTGGGGTTTGCATTAATAGGTTGATGGACAAGTGGACACACTGTAGCTGTTACACCCCATGGCTCCTTAGCTGTTTCCATGTCTGCTGAGAGTTAGGATGAGTCAGCCTATTTGGCAAACGCCAACCATTGGCTTCAACACTCTTCTTCAGAAACCAATGTTTGATGCCAGTGAGACTAGGCTCATGTGTTATATAGGCCATGTTTTCTGCCAGCTGAAGATATTTGATCAAAAATAAGTATTTAAAACAAACAAAATGATTATGTTGCTGACATATGGCCTGGAAAACATGCATTTCTACCACTGCTAAAGAGGCCTGTTGTTACCAGTTAGACGGGGGAGGGAGATGGAAATTTATACTTGTCAGGTCATGGAAGGGAAATTCCTATTTTCCTACACCCTCACTTCCTTATGGTTCACAGCTCATCAGTACAGCTAAAGGAAAGAGCAGGTAAAGGTTCAACTGTGAGGGTTTTGTGTTTGAAGTTTAAGGACCTCACCGCCACACTGACACTTAAAGTCAAAGTGTACATTTTGTCAAGGGGAAGATGGTAACAAGGTTTTATGAGTTTGGGTACAACACAGTCAGCTCTAAAGTGGAAGTTCACATTGTATTTGATTTCATATTTTGACTCAAAAAGAAACCAGGTTTCAAATTTAGTCAGTCCCCCGTGACTTTGCTATTTTACACCCACATGTAAAAAAAGGGGTTTTTACAGATTTATGAAATACCGTTGAGTTTCATTTGTTCATTCCACTCGAGCTAAATCACGGAAAACTTCACATAAAAAGTAAACAACCTCCTGACAGGGCCGGTATGCAAAGACATTCATGCAGACAAACAGAGGTACACACCTGCTCTGAAGGTGTGTGCGTGACAGGCTTTGCGTGAGTAGAAACTAACAACCTTCACAGTCATTACACCTGCTTTTATGTCCAAGAATTCTCTAAGAGGTACATGGCTGTGGGCAAAACATTTCTCAGCCTTTTTTTCCTTCCTCTCCAGCTCTGTGAAATGGACAAACTAACCTCACACACTTTCACCCCGAGCTCTACAACCTGACACGACCTGCCTCTGCTCCCACTGTGGTCAGCTGTTACAGTAGCTCTGCTCTTCCCTTCCTCTAGTAGCCAGTAAGCTCTTTAATCTTTTTAAGAAGTTAGGAGACTCTCCCCGCTGACTCACATCCAGGCTCTTGCATCTGTCCTCCTGTGCTCCCCCAGTTTTCCCCTGACTGCTCTTTTTTTTCCCCTCCAGGAGCAGCTGCTTGTCAGGTTTGATATCTAGAAAGCGAGCCTGCCTGTTGAGAGCTAAAAAGTGTCTAAAATGGGACTCTGAAGGTTGAGGCAGAACAGTTCTCCATCCAGCTGTGTGACATTTCAAGTTTTTTGTCGCCAGCTGTGGGTGCTGCTCACCTGTTATGATCTGACACACACACTCCAGCAGCCTGAGCGCTCTCACCTCAGGCAGTCCACAGGCACAGTCAGACGCTTACCTTTAATCAGATTCAGTTTCATCTGAGGGGAACACCATCACACTTACAACTGAAGCACGGATCATATTCACTTTGATCGCTGGATAATACACACAGTAACAGGAGAGGCTTTGAGAAAACGCTCAGGAGTTTAAAGTAACTGCGATTCATGAAACAAGACAAGTTCTTCTCCTGTTGTGGTTTTATAATTGGAACTGAGCTCTTTAGTGTTACTTTATTATGTTTTTTCTTTTCCCGTCAGTGCAAACAAACCTTAAAACCAGAGCAATGTTAGTTACAGCTACATAGGCAGTGATGTTTTTCAGGTACTATGGGATGTTATTGGCTGTTTCTTCTCTCTTTCACAGGTATTTCTGTGGTTATACACACTCGTTTTCGTTCTTGGATCCTGTAAAGTATCAAATTTCAATCCCATGTGAGCTTACTATTATTGTCTTATAATGGGAGATGCATAACTTTCCCTGTTTGCAAATCAATTAATCTGCTTAAATCGAGCATCCTATCCCTGACACTTGCCCAAATTCTCCCTGGCTTCACTCTCAGACCCGCTGCGTGACAGGGAGGGCGCCCAGTTCACCTTGTGTTATAAGTTCCACTTTTCATAACTTGTTTTGTCCGTTCTGTGGGTTCTCGCCTGTGTGGCACAGCCCCACTGTGTTGCATGACTGCGATGAATGAAGCCTGAGTGGCAGATTGCATGACTCCAAAGCCCCAAGATCCTCGCATTTACAGAAGCTATAGCGCGCAAATATGTGCACCTTCGTGCCCAGCAGGGGAAAAAAAGAGAGTCTCGCGTCCTCCGCTCTTTGTTCTGGGAGTTTAAGACCCTTGTGTCTTTTCCAGAGGCTGCTGCCTTCGCGTGACTTGACCAAGCAGATTTAGGATTGTCCAGAAGACCGAGACCCTCCCCTCTGGACGCCAGCTTCGCTTCTCACGCAACTTGCAGCACCAGAGGCGCAGCCTCGAGGCGCACGGTGAGAGTCCCCGGAGAGTCAACACTCAGCCCCGGAGCAGCAATACGGCGCTGGGCCGGGCGGATGTCTCAACAGGCAGAAGTATCGGCCGGACTTTTTCTGAACTCCTGACCACACATGACTGCTCCTGGGTCGCATTCCAATATGGCTTTAGTGAGGAATCTAAACTTTGTTATTTCCAAACACAAACAGGTCACATCATGCGTGAGTTTATAGTAGACCAGTGCCGGTAACTTCAACCCTGACGTGCAGTTATGCACGCCAGTGGTTTTTATGGCCAAGAAAATAAATCTTGAATTCACTTTGAAATCATTTGTTGACATGATTTCATGTCTGATCCTTATTCATCCATGATCCCCCCCAAAAAGGAAAAAACGACCGAGTGTTGGCGCCATAGTAGATGTTATAAATACATGTGACAGCCTTCAATAAATGTTATTAAAAGTTAAGGTTGTCTGTTTTTATCTTTTATTTTGAAAGGGAGTGGGGTTCCATTTTATCACCTGCACACAGAAACATGAGTCCTCTCATATCCCCTTGATATTTTATGATTAGAAAACAAAAGTTAGTGAACACAAACATCATTCAAGCACCTACACTGTTTTTTTTTCTTACTTTTATTTATTTATTTATTTTATTTGGGGGGGGGGGGATTTAATATCTTTTTTTTTTTTTTTTTTTTTTTTTTTTACATATTTCACCCCAATTCAAGCTTGAACGACCTTCCCAAGCAAGACACAACATATTCTTGAAAAGGGAAAGGAGAAGTTTTCAGGAAATAAAAAATAATCCAAAGTTTACCAAACCACTTATCTTTGGAGGTCATCTATTTAAGAAACTATCTTAATAAAGTGTCATCTAATGGAGTTTGTGACAAAGAGCGTCGGGCTGCTATGAACAAACTAAAGGAAACAGGACAGGACTAGGTTTTCCCTAAAATACGCAATCCAACTTTTCAGTTTATTTAGAGCAATGTTTCAGCATTTCAGCAATTATCTCCAAGCATTCCAGATGCCGTGATTTCATGAACTCCTGGCCACTTTATGAGCAAATTCTATGCAGACTTCAGCAGGTTAAAGGTAATGGTGTGACACCTGTTGCGCACGTTCAAAAGGTGGTCTGCCTAAATCTCTGGCGAGACTATTCTTTGAGATGAGATTAAACCTATATTCATCCCAAGGTGGGACATTAGATAAAGAATAAAAATTAAAATTAAAATGATAATAAAAATAATTCAAGAATGTCACCTGTTGAATCTCATTCTTATTTCATATATTGAATCAAGTGATGAAATCATTCATTCTAATGCACACCTGATACATTGAGTGTGCCGCCCAACACAAATAAAACGTTGTGTGCGTAAAGGTCTGAAAGAGGGCCAACGTTGGTTCTGAACTCATCTACCCTCTTAGCTTTCCAGCAGTGCTGCACGATTGCCCCTGTCCTGCCCTCCCTCCCAGCATCCTCCTCGGAGGGGAGGTGAAGGTTTGATCACTGCGCTCTCACGCAACTGGTCAATCTTTAACTCCAGCGGAGAGCCAACAGGTACATGCACGACATGACATTTGGCTGTTTGGTTAGACCTGCCGGGGTGGCTGTAAACCTTTTTATTTTAATAACTGGTTAACATGAAGAGCGACTGAAAGACAGCATGCAACAAGATCACGACACTGTTCTCAGTCACGATCCTTCCGAGAAAACACCAAGCAGAGGTGGGCTGACTGTCACAGACTACTGTTACCTTTGATGATGAGCTCACATAGTCCATTTCTCCATATGTGCCAGATCAATATCAGTGCGTTAACAAACATCAACAATCGATTAGTAGTTTCCTCAGAGTATTGATTCAACTCACTTATAAATCACAGCTGGGTGACTATAACAGAGTTGGTGAACAAGGACTTGAAGAGGTGCCACCATCCTCTGATATCAAACATCTTATTGATTACCATTAGAGTAATCGATACAGTATCAGTTAAACACACAAGAGTCTTTTTCGATGGATTACTAGAAAAAAAAAGTCCAATGGGGTTCGTATGTCTGCAGAAATAGGCAGAGATTATGTTAAAGCGCAACTTTTTTAAACATAGAGCACATGCTTTAATATCAAATTATCTAATAATCAGAGTTTATATCAACCATGATGTAAAAAAGCTGTTGGCATGTCCAGCCTGTGGAACAGTAGGTGAAATGCATCAAATCTGAACCCTGTTATCAATGTTATAGATTAGGAACAGTTTTACAGCGGTGCAGATTACCCTGTACTCGCCTGTGACGGCTGTTTTGTCTTATCTGACCATAAACTTTAAAATCATGTAGGCAATAAAAAAAAAAAAGTCTTGCAGACCTAAAAACTCTGTGTCATTTAGATGTTCTCCGTTTGCGTGAAGTAATCTCGCACGCACATTTACACACCCCTTTTCTCAGTAGTTAACTTCATTCATGACAAACAGAGAGACAGAGACACTCACACACAGGGAGAGGGGGGGTGGGGGTGGGGAGGGAGGTTACGTCATGAACAGCAGCCAATGAAGCTGTGCAGCGCACTATAAAGCAAGAGCCCATTCTCAGTTTTTGGGACATCAAGAAAGTAAAGTCGGACTTAACTCAACTAAACAACAACATATCTTTGTGGAAGAAACCTCCGGGACCAGAGCCTATTTGTCTTTCTTTTTTTTTTATTCCACTCAGGTAAGCTTATTATGATTACTTATGATCCCTAACTGAACAGGCAATGTCAGTGTGACAGAAACAGAGTGAGTGAGGATTATTTTGCAAGCAGTGTTGTTCAAATCTTAAAAAATATGAGCCTGGCTTTTGCAGTTATAGTTTAGAACATGCACAACCTTATTAACCACAGAGTTTTATTCATTTCCTAAAGGCATAGCTTGGTTACATAAACTTAAAAAACTCCAATGCTTTGCAAGCCTACAACCTGTACCAGAAGTTTTTATGCAGCATGCACATCTACGGAGCCACATTTGTGACAAAAAGCATGCCATGGGACAATTTTCTGCTACTTAAACTTTTTTAGTGCATGCAGTCAACATGTGTTGCACAACACTTCTCTTCCTCCCTGCCCTTACTTCTCTAATGCCCCTCCTATTTAATTTCCAGGTTGTGCAGAAGCCAGAGAAAAGAAGGAGTTGTCATCATGGCACTAATGATTCTGCCATTCATTGGATCTGTGTCCGTATCTGAGAGTTTGGTGGCCATGGCAACAGTGTGTCTGGTCTACCTGATCCTCAAGTTTTTCCGCACTGAGATTCCTGAAGGGCTCCGTCCGCTGCCAGGACCAAAGCCTCTTCCCATCATTGGGAATGTGCTGGAGGTGGGCAGCAGACCTTACCTGAGCCTCACTGCCATGAGTAAGCGCTACGGTGATGTCTTCCAAATCCAGATTGGCATGCGTCCCGTGGTGGTGCTGAGTGGCAGTGAAACAGTTCGACAGGCACTCATCAAGCAGGGGGATGAGTTTGCCGGCAGGCCTGACCTCTACAGCTTCCAGTTCATCAATGATGGCAAAAGTCTGGCCTTCAGCACTGACCAGGCTGGTGTCTGGCGCGCACGTAGGAAGCTTGCCTACAGTGCCTTGCGTTCCTTCGCCACCTTGGAGGGCACTACTCCTGAGTACTCCTGCATGCTGGAGGAGCACGTCTGCAAAGAGGGAGAGTATCTGATCACACAGCTGCAAAAGGTCATGAAGGCCGACGGTAGCTTCGACCCCTTCCGCCACATTGTTGTCTCTGTTGCTAATGTGATCTGCGGGATGTGCTTCGGCCGACGTTATGACCACGACCACGAGGAGCTGGTTAGCTTGGTGTATCTCAGCAATGAGTTTGGCCAAGTGGTAGGCAGTGGTAACCCAGCAGACTTCATCCCTATCCTTCGATTCCTGCCAAGCAGTACGATGAAGAAGTTTCTCGACATAAACGATCGTTTCAACACATTTGTGCAGAAGATTGTCACAGACCACTACTCCACCTTTGACAAGGTACACGCCACACTACACTACTTAAAAAAGCTTACTCAATCCATTCCTAAATGTTTGACTTTGAGAGGCGTAGGCTGATCTGTCTTTCATCTTCTTGTAGGACAACATCCGTGATATCACTGACTCCCTCATTGATCACTGTGAGGACAGGAAGCTTGACGAGAACTCCAATATCCAGATGTCAGATGAGAAGGTTGTAGGAATCGTCAATGACCTGTTTGGAGCTGGTATGTTGAACTCTTGGACATGCTGATTGGTCTGATCAGAAGTGGCCTTCCTTTGGATAAGATAACGAGCCCAGTTCTTACAGCTGTTGTGTTTCTTTTCAAGGTTTTGACACGATCTCCACAGCCCTGTCTTGGTCAGTGATGTACTTGGTAGCTTACCCAGAGATGCAGGAGAGGCTTTACCAAGAGATGGGTAAGTACAGCCTCTTTACACACCATAACTTTTTTGACATTACATCTCTCTCTAAAGACTGATGAATGTTCAGTGATATGTGTCATTATTAAAATGAGAAATACATTTGCCTCCCTCACAGTTAAAAAGCTGATTCGCACAATCCTTCTTCTTCATCCTGAACTAAATGAATGATTTCTTTTTTTCATATACAGTAGATAACGTGGGTCTGGATCGCACCCCTGTTCTCACTGACAAACCCAAACTTCCGCTTTTGGAGGCCTTCATCCTGGAGACCATGCGCCATTCCTCATTCCTCCCATTCACTATTCCTCACTGGTGAGTTTAATCTCTTTAAAATGTCACAAATAATCACACATGCACATTAATAAGATTGTATGTATGGACTAACATGTTCATTGGTTTTTAGCACGTCAAAAGACACGTCTCTGAACGGCTACTTCATCCCCAAAGACACATGTGTCTTCATCAATCAGTGGCAGATCAACCATGACCCGTAAGTTTTGTTGTTTGATCTCCTCTGATCTTCTTATCAAACTCAAAATTCATACATCAGAGCAACCAAACAGAGTTAGTAGAAAGAGCTCTGTCAAAGCAGGAGATTTAATACTGCACTTACAACATCTACCTCCTTGTAAAATAAGATTAAAAGTCCATTCAAGCATAAAACTGCCTCATTACTGATGAGTTTCTGTGCACAGCTTATCTCATGTCTTAATCTTCTGCACTTTTTCAGTGAGCTATGGAAAGATCCATCTACTTTTAACCCAGAACGCTTCCTGAGCCCCGATGGCACAGAGGTCAACAAGCTGGAGGGAGAGAAAATGATGGTTTTTGGCATGGGAAAACGGCGCTGCATCGGCGAGGTCATTGCAAGACACGAACTCTTCCTCTTCTTGGCAATCCTGGTCCAGAAGCTGAAGTTCCTGCCAATTCCTGGAGAGCCACTGGACATGACCCCAGAGTACGGTCTCACAATGAAGCACAAGCCCTGCCACCTGAGAGCCACAATGCGATCAAGAGACGAGCAGTGAAGCTATTTTGTTATAGAGTGTATGACTCAATTTGAGGTATAAATCGACTCCAACACTTATTGGGTCGCTGTCACGTTTAAAGTCTGAGGCATCTCTCTCAGAGTGTAAGGCACTGGATGCCACATTTACACTGCAGAGCTAATGGTATTGATGCAAAGTGATTTTGCTTGCTGCAGGCTGGCAGAGATGTTGCTTGGGCATAACTCTGTCATGTTTTTGGTTCTCTCAGAGGTCTTCCAGCACATAATTTGTGCTTCTTAATGAAGTATAAGAAGGAGTTGTAAAAGGCTCAGTGAAGAAGTTGTCTGCTCAGCACTGGGACAGACTGTGTGTTTTACTGCATGTGCATTACTGTTTAGATTGCTGTGCCCTGAGTTTTCTGTGTTTTTTTTTTTTTTTGTCTTTTTTTTTAACACAGGTCTCTGGAAAGAACAGACATTATCTTTTGATACAATTTACTTGTATAAGCTAATTAATTTTATTCCATTATAATGTGGATGTAAGACACTGAAGCTATATTTTTATCCCAAAATGTGATTTTGTTTGTATATAAAGCTCTTTTTGCATTTAAAAGTAAATTTTGGTTTCCTAGTGTTTGTATATATTTGAGGTGAAAACGTTTTGCTGTGCATCTAGGTGAAATATAAGGAACCAGCGAGAATTTCAGTGATTTATGAAATATATTAGAAGGTTACAAATATTGTATTTCTTTCTGTAATGTGTTGATGATTGCATGAAAAGAAAGGGCATATGATCTGAGTTTTTACAATCAACTACACAGATTTAAATAAAAAAGTTACAAAGATATGATCTTGTGCTCTCTTTCCTCTATTTAAAAAACGCATTTATCTAATTCACAAACAAAGTTATGTAACAATAACCAACACTTAACCACCATTGATGTCAGTACCATATAGAAAAAGGGAATTCAAGATTTGATCCCAGTCTCTCACTCCCTATGTTTTAGATAAAAAGCCTGGCTGTGCAGTAAATTAAAAAGCTTACGCTGAGGGGGTTGTGCCTGATCCTGAATTACGCCTTTTGGCCACCCTTCAGACTCTAATCTCAAACATTGTCACTTCTGAGGATCTCAGATATGATTTTTTGTGTGCTTCTGGAAAAAAAATAAGTCATTCAGTGAGGAATATAATACATATCAGAAAATATGGCAGCAATTTCATATCTATATGGAGAAATCACCGCTCACGTTTGTCAATCTCTAAAATCTCCCTATCCCCTCCATGTAAATCCAATAAAAGATAAAGATTGTCAGTCAAAGGCTCAAACCAATGTACCGTATTTCTAGTTTATTCAGACCATTTCGATTTATTAATGTCCGATTAAAAAAAGTGAATTCTGGGATAATAATAATGAGCACTTTCTTGCAGGCAGACTTTGAATTTCGGGAGAATAAATTCACAACAAACCCACGTGGGTGTTAGAGGACATGACGTCACCAATCAACCCGGAAAAACAGCGCAAACAACAACAACAAAAGCTTTGACTAACGTAGACAGCTCGCTGCAAATTTATCAAGCAGGTAAATATACACAAATGTTAACAGCACTAGAGTTCATGTCGGGCAACCAGAAGAAAAGAAACCTTCAAGAGTCTACAGCAGACCGCTTTATATGAAGGAAAACGGGAGAGGCAGAAGCGAAGCTAATGCTAGCTCTGCAGCTAGTCACAGCTGCAACCTGGTGATTTTGTGGTCATTTATAACAGGTTTCTGTTATTACCAGCCTCTTCTGGATCATATAATAAGTTCATCTTCTCCAGTACTTTTCAAATTTTTGAACTCTACTTTGTGCATCGGTAAAATTTAAGACACGTTTAAAAATGTAAGACAAATGAGCTCAAACCAGGACATTACACTAATTAAACGAGAATCAGTTAATTAAAACCAGGTGGTGCATGACGTAACTTTAGAGACTTTACTGGATAATGATCTCTGCCTTTATAATCAATGGACTGAGCAATGCACCTGTCTCTTAAGTGAGCTACTGAATTCATGGTGGATGCCCTGGAGTAAAATGAGAGTAACAAACATGATTTAAATACACATCACAAACGTAATTGGTGTTAATGAAATTAGATTTTAAACCATTCAGGTAAATTTCTGACCCACTCACAGGTCCATCCCAGCTGTCTTGACTTTGAAACTTCAACTCAAACCCACATACTCTTTAAAATGTACAAAAAGTTACTACGTGCATGCTTCATTGTAATCACTTGTATTTGTTGGTTGTATATGTGGAGCTAATCTGAGCATTTTTTAATCGAATATAGATCAGCAGGGGAACAGAGGATTACAGGTTCACTTAACAGTATAAACTAAATAGAAATATAAATAAATATTAAACTTTCTCACATGATCACATGTGCCCAGCAAGCAAGTTACCAGCAGTTGCTCTCTATGGACACATAGTTCACAAAGATGAATTTCAAACTGGAAAGTGAACAGTCAACAGCTACTTGTCATTCAGTATAGTATGTCTGTTTTTTAAAGGCAATTTCAGCAGAGCTGTGTTCAATGCTGTCAACTTGATATGGCACAGTAGAACAGAAAGGATAAAAATCTTTGATTGAAAACAAGGTTGTTGTAGTCATCATGTTGGCTGTCCTGCTGTTTCAACCTTTATTATGTTTGGACTCTACCTTGCTTAAAATGTTGCAGTAAAGTTTCTGCAGCATTTTAGCTCTCTCAAAACATGAAGTGACTGCTGTTAATTTTACAACAGACATTCGAAGCTGTGAGGTTTGTCATTGCGGAGCCTCACACACTGGACTGATTCTTCCACTTTTGTGTTTAAGGTTATCCAGATCATTTAATTGTAATCTGAAATCAAATAGCAACAAAAAGGAGGAATGATTGCATGAGAAAACTAAGTTAATACCCGATATGTCCTTGGTCTGCTGTTGCCATTGTAAGTCTCAGTCTGTCTTGTGAGTGTTGTGTTCACTGCTATGAGCTGTATTGTATTCATGCTAGTTTCATGGATCGTTCATGGATGCTAGTAACTTTGGTGTAACTTTGAGACATCTTTTAGTTATTGATTCACTTAAATCATTTTTGTAAACAAAAATATACGTTTCACTTTATTATTTGGGCTAATGCTGGGTAAATGCTTTGTTGTCCTTGATACTGTGCCTTGCTCATAACTGTGATTGGAACTGTTATTTCTTCTGTCCCTGTGTACCATAGATAGAATCCATGTTATTTTCAAACTTAAGGAGACGATCTTCCAGATTACTACAACTCCTAATAGCCTTGTCATCTTCAGTGTTTACTATGGCCCTGAAATACACTCTTTTAACAGTTCTCACAGCTGCCCTTGAAGATTGTTTTTCCAATGTTTTTTTCAGTACAGGATCCCAGTAGCCAGAATGGCCACTGACTGGCTCGGTAGCGTTGTTTCCATCAACTGTGGGCTGGCGTTGGGAATTTATCAGGGAGAGGTGTCATCAGTGGACCAGTCCAGGCAGACCATCTCACTGAGACAGCCCTATCATAATGGAGTCAGATGTCCTGTCCCTGAGGTCACTTTCAGGTAAGAGAGAAGGATACCGACACACTTTCTCTTGAAGGATCCACAACATAACTCCACTTTCATGAGAGTTGAGAAACCATGTAAATGTTAATAAAAACAGAATGCAATAGTTTGAAAATCATTTAAAGTAGGGCTGGGTGATTAAACCAATAATTTACCAATACCAAAATTTACAACAATAACCGTCATTTTGCCGATATCGGTATCTTTGGTGTCAAAAAAATTAAAAAAGTTGGTTTTGGATACGTGTAGGTAGGCTATGGTCTCATGTCCCTCTAAGATGCTGTCCTATGTTAGAGACGTGACTCCACCCTATCCAGTCCGTAACAAAGAGGGAAAGACAGGTGAGGAGATGGAGGACGGTTCAAAAGTTGTAGCGTCCGGAGCGGCGGCTGAAGTAGACCAAGTTAATGTGGGAGGGGATGAGCAGCTTGTGGAGTAGTTATCGTCCATTTATTGTTATCGAGGTGAACTGCTCAATACATTGTGATATTGATTCGAGGCCATATTGCCCAGCCCTAATTTCAAGCCTTATATAGTTGAAAATGAAAAAGTTTTGTAATGTCAAAAATCTAGAGGAACAGCTAACTATGTTGATTTATGGTAAGTTAGATTTAACAGGCCAGTAACATAACTAGACACAAACAGGGAATTTCAGAGAGGCATAGTTTTTCAGAGGATAAAACAGAAAGATATTTGGCCCTCAGGTGGTACTACATTTAAAAAAGAACTGACTCTATAGTGGAAATCACTACATGGGCTCAAAATCACTTCCAGGAACCATTGTCTGTGGAGAGTGTTTGCTGCTGCATTCACAAATGCAGGTTATAGCTGCACCATGCAACTTGGGTAACATGATCCAGAAATGCTGGTGACTTTTATGGTCCTCGCTTAATGGACGATGGAAAACTGTCTTGTGGTGTGACAGATTAAACTTTGATTTTTTTTTAACACCACATCCTTCAGAGGAGAGGGAGCATCTGGCTTGTTATCATTGCTTGTTTAAAAAGCCAGCATCTGTGATGGCAGGGGCGTGTATAAATGATGGTAGCCAGTCGGTAAAGCTTAGAAAGCTTCATTAATTGTGTGCATTTTAAAACAGCATGGTTCTGTAGAAGAGTCTGGGTGCTTAACTGACCTGCCTGCAGTCTTGACTTATCACCACAAAGAATCATGAAAGAGTAGACCCCAAACAGTTGGAGAGCAGAAATCCTTTATCAGTGAAAATGAGACATTTCACCTTCAAAAATCCAGAAACAGGTCTCATTGGTTCCCAACCTCTTACAGAGTGTTGCTGAAAGACAAGGTGATACAGCATAATGGAAAGTGTGTCCCAACTGTTTGACTTAACTCCACCACAAAGATGATATATCAGACTCAAGACCTGTCAAATCACATAAAGCCTGATGGAGAAAAAAAGAAAAAAATGTTAAAACATGTTTTAAGTATTAATACAAGTCAGAACCAGGAGTTTAAATAAACATTGTTTTACAACTAACTTATAAGTTGTCAACTCGAGTATTTTTATAGGAACAATCAAGTAACAATAAATGAAATACACATGATCCCAGCCTCTTAAACGTAATTATTTACAGGTTTCTTGGCTCTTCTGTGACAGTGAGCTGCACATCTATGTGCTGTGATCAAAACAAACATGTAGGATAACATCTTAAGGATTTGAATTCATTCCTCCCCAAATTTTTTTTTACATATAGCAGAAAAAGTTATTAATCTATTGAGAAATCAATAAACCACTGAATCAAAAAGGAATCAGTATGAGTCTTTTTCAACTATTTGCATTTATAACTGCACTATAATTGCACAAGCTGAGATCAGATTTATCTGCTAAATTTGTACTAGTGCTGTCTTTTTCTGTTTATTTTGTTTTATTGTCTAAACAACAATAAAACTAAATTATAAGATAATGCAGCCCAGATCATAGTACCATTCAATCAGATTGCTTTCAGAGTGTTTTTTTTTCATCCCATGAGTGGGCAGATCTTATTGCCCTTTTCTTTCTCATGTGGACTGAGAATTAACATCTGAAGATTTCAGTTTGAATTGAATTTTAAGGTAGTATGTTCACAGTGCAGTCTGAGCCCTGAATAATTTTAGGTGCCTGTCTGTCTGTTTGTCTGTCTGTCTTCTAGTGCCATGGACATCAAGGAGTTAAAGTTCCTGGATATCCAGACCACAGCCAACAAGCCGGGTTCTATCGAGGGAGCTGCAACACAAGCCGGCCCTATGACTTCAGGACGCCCCAGTCAGAGTAACAGAGTCACAAGCAGCAGCTCTCACTCCAACAACACCGCTCCCATCACCATCCTCCGCAGACGTGAGTGAATATGCTACCTTCTGTTTGATCAGCCTTTCTGTCCTTTGGTTAAGTACATAACCGACAAATATTGAAGTTATTAACAATTCTATCATGTCCCGTAAAAAATAAGAAAAGTCTCAACAACCAAGACAAATGAGGAAAAATGATGAAATTACAATCCCTTTGTTTGATTGAGCCTCATTTGACATCTCGTATATTTGTTTTGGGACTCCTGATGTTAGAGTTGCTGGATGGAAACATGTTGTAATGGAAACTGTCCTCTCCAGGAAGGGGTTAAATTTAACAGCATCAGTACCAGATAACAGAGTCAGGTTATGTTCTGAAGTCTGTGACCTTTACACTCAACACATCAGGCCCTGTTCAAGCTTTCATAACCTGACACCTGACACGCAGAGCGTGATTGTGAGTGTTGAATCACAAACAAATGACAGGTTATTTTACAAAATATCAAGACAGTCTGACGCAGGTTTTCATGGGTTTGGAAAGTCCAATTTATTTAAAACTCTTGCTTATTCATTGTGAAGATGCATTTCCTGGTCCAAATCAGAGAACTATTGTTGCAGGTTGGGAGTCATGCACTACATGACAGGAGTTTAACCACAGTGATGTGTCCACACAGTGCTCATCTGTCAGAGAGCACAAAATAGATATTGTTTAATTGCCTGAGGGAAATGTGACACACATGTCACTTACCTGACTCACTCTTTCAATAATTCTAGAAGAGTCGTCACTCAAGATGGACTCAAAGCGCCTAGTCACTTGACATCACACATAACACACTGTATAACTCATGCATAATGTTTTCTGGGTTACAATAGAGAGGAAGGCAAGTTTCTAGATCAAAGGATTTTGCTGTTTCACAAACTGGATATTTACACAATCACATCACTCCAGTGCCACAGGAGGAACAACTCTTTAACAATGACGGCTTTTGGAAAAGGCTTCATTTGTTCAGCAGGCCATCTCAACAAAATATGTCTCCATTTTCTCAATCAAAATACTGTCAAACCATACTGCTGTCATCTGACACCTGTACTTTGTTACATCCAGATAGTAGAGCGTTCCAGCATTATGGCAGTAACGTTAGACTCAACATATGACTAACTTTTTAATCCTTCAACAATGGAAATCAGGGGTCAACCATTACTGGTTTTCTAGCCATTTACTAGTCCAGTAACTGACACTTGGAACCAGTGCTACAGTAAAATGCCCAAATTTAGAGATATGAACTCCCCCAGAAAACTTTTTTTGAATATTCAGTCAAACATGATAAATGGCAGATAAAAGACAGATAATTGGTCGACGTCTAATAAAAACATGAAAGACTAGTTCATCTAAGTAGAAATCCCGGTACCTGTATAATGTAAAAATCTGCAGCTATGTATCTCATTTTTGGTCAGTGCACATAATTCTGACAACAGATGTCTATGAAGAACTAGAAATATCAGGTTTAATATAACCTGTTTTCAGGATCAATTTATCTGTGGTTTAGTTTTTTTCATAGGATTTGTTGGCAGTAAGTAAATAGATGAAATATCATCAGTTTTTACTTTTTCTTCTGGGAGTAATAAGACTTGCTGTACAAAATCCAAATAAATGCAAAAAGTATATCCATGTCAGAAATAGTAGCTTTGAGGTTACCATTTACTCTTAGTGTGCAGTATCTGAAGTTGGTCTGAATTGGTCATTGTATTTCCATACTATCCTCTGAATCAGAGTTACTGTATGAGTATTAGAAACAGCATTGTTTCAGCAAAAACTAGTGATGATATTGAAGTTAAATGTAATGGATACGACATGAGGAGTTGTTCAGTGCTAATTTTTTTTAATGTTTCAGCCCATTAAAAAAAAGTGGAGAGGATGTAACAGGAAGACTTCACAATGTCTTTCAATCTAACACTGAGCCTCTAGCCAAAACATTCAGCCATTGTTTAGCTTTGATTATTGTTTAGATGGGAGTTTAGACTGTGTAGGATAGAGCTAAGTTTACATGATGTGGAGTTCACGCTCTGTCGCTGTCGTGGAGAGCAGAAGTAATCTGATATCAGGGATTGGGTTGACTTGTGGACACTTGGTGCAGGTCAAAAGTCATTTCAGTGTGCATGATGAGCCATATTACTGATTTTAAAGATATGGGGCTTGATATAGGCTGGATTATGGTATGTTGTGCTCTAGATATTTTGAAGCCCAATTAAATTCTCTTTAATAAGCTTGCTGAGAATTAAAATGACATTGGATAGCAAAAATAAATCGTGTGATAACATGGAGTCAACAGATTTAAGTGGATTTCTACGTTGACAAGTGTAGGATCACTCTGTAAATTCTCACGTGCAGTTGCTGCAGAGAAACTTTCTTACCCTGCTCTTCTCAAACTTATGAAACAACAAATTGCACAACATTCAAAGACAAAGGCAGTGATTTCAAGATTAAGAAAGGGGAAAAGTAAGCAGGAATTTTGCCCAGAAATGGCTTTGTAAATAAAAACATGCCAATGCCAGGAAACCACAGTTTGTAATGAGTCTCAGTGCACCATGATACTAAAAAATTCACTGGTTTGTTTCACACACACACACAAAAGAATTGAATCTCGCTGCTACAGTAAAAGCTGAAGAAACTCACTAGATAAAGAATTTAAATACAAGTGTTAATCATTTCAAAATGTGGGGAAACTAAAGTAGATTTCAGGTCAATTTCTTGGTCATTTGCAGCAAAAACTCACTCAGAATTTCCTGGTTTCCCTGTTTCTAAGGTGTAACATAGCTTAAGTAAGTTTTAGTTGACAGCTATGTTTTAAAGATGCAAAATATTTCAGTTTACACGTGCTGTGTTGTAGTTTGAGACTTCTGGGATGATCATATTTTAACCGGAAAATTGTTCAAGATACCAACAAAGAGCAGCAGAGGTAGAAAAAAATCCCTTAATATAAAAAAAATTATATTAACTGCAGCCTAACTTTTATGGCAGACGTGACAACTTTTTATCTTTACTGTGAAGACATAAAACACTTATTAACTACAAATATGACAAACTGTCAGCAGGACCGTTCTGCAATCACATGTCCCAGCTGTGCAGGGACTCATGTCGATACAGAAAAGCACATCTGCATCCCAAGTTGTTTCTGTAGTTGTAAAAATAAAGAGCGTGTTACTCAACCTTCCTGATTAGATAAACGTTAAAAATGGCATTTCCTCTTGTCAACATCCACTCAGCAGGAAGCGTGCCCGGACAGCTCTGTGGCCTCTGCAGGAATCAGTAAAGTCTGTTCACTTTCACACTCAGGATCCCCAAACAATGGAGAAGTCAGAGGTCAACAGAATTGGCTAATGGACACTGGGTAATATTCTTCGGCGTGGTTGTAAAACTGACCTTTGACCTGGTGTCTTCCTGCATGCTGGAGACAAAGCTTGTGAAATTAGAGGAAGCCTGTCTGTGCTTTTGTTTTTGTTTTTTATTTTTGGAGAAACATAATAGTTATGAAGACAAATGTGCTCATATTGTTGTGTGCATTTTTTCGTGTGCAAAGCTTGCAGTTTGTTGGCCCGGGAGGCCCTCTCCCTGTGTGTCACAAGTTGCTGTTAAGTAGCTGGAGCATGGGACCAAACGGCGTCTTGCTATGACTCCCCCCTGAGATTCCCATAGCGTGCTAAAGCCTTGTACCAAAGTTCCTCTTTACAATATGTGTGTGACTAAGATCAATAAACATTCCCCCTCCCTCTCTGTGTCTGCTCCTAAAGAGAAGCCTGGCGTTCGTGCCTCCGTGCCCTCCTGTCCCCCCTCTCTCCCCATCTCCTCTCCCTCCCCCGTTCTGGCTCAGCACAGGAAACCAGCCCCCCCGCCCCCTCCCGACAGGAAGTCATGTTGTCTCAGTGTGCTCGGAAGGCCAAAGCGATATCAATTGTGGAAGCGGTGTTTACCTTTGGAGTTTTTATTTTAATCTCCAGCTCTCAGGCTGGTGGCCAGGGAGTCAGTGCCCAAATTGCACGGGGCCAACGTGCTGAGTGGCCTGGGCAGGGCTGCTGCTTTCACACGCAATGCCATGCTCCCAAGAAGCCCCCGGCCACAAAGAAGGGAAAGCAGGGTGGGCCAATGGTTATACAAGATCAGGGATTCCAGAAATGGTTTGTGAATATCTGCAATTGATCTTTCTGGGAGAGTAGAAGGGGAATTTAGAAAGCGCTCTCTTGAACGATACCTCTGAACGTTGAACCTCATTAGACCCAAACAGATCTCATTGAAGGGAATTTTAAGGAACAGCTTTCACACTCTGCAGTTACAAATCTCTTCCCCTAACCAGCATGTTTTCTTGTAAAACAGAAGGACTTTTTTCTTAAAGATCTGTGTTTCTTATAAATTAATGCATCCGCTATTTTTTGAAATGTTGCAAACTATGTTTTGTTCAGCTTCACAACCTCACTGAAAGAAATCCACTGGAAATGTTAGTTGTAACTTGCCCCTGAATTTCCCAGAAAGCTCAGTCATTCAAGCCAAAAACAAACATGATTCGTGGACAAGTTGGCAGCACAATCTTGGAGTCAGTTTCTTTTTGAGTTTATTGCACTTTTCTATTTTTTCACTTCATTTATTTCACCTTGAGAGCAGTTTCTGTTTGAGTGTTTTTAATACCTCTACCTCTACGTCTCTAATAGCCCCTCTTGACCTGCCAGCCTCATATTGATCTTCCTATCACAGTCTTGTGTGCATCACACAGTTTATTCATTTTCATTTCATCTTTTATTTTTTCTAATGCAGTGACTAGACAGATGAAGCAAACTTATAATCCCTGCATCTTGCTTAAAACAAATATCCACTTACATCAGATGACTGCCGTGTAATAAACTGTATAGATGAATCAAATAAAGAAAAGTAATCATATAAATAACCTTAAGAAAAGGTACATACAAAACAATAAAATATATGAAATAAATACAACTCTTTAATCATAACATGCTTTTGTATAGTTTCCATATTCCCCACTTAAACTTTTGCTTAACCTGAAAAATTTTGCCTTGATTACACTGACTGACGGCACAGAGTTCAAGTGACAAAAATCTTCAATATTTTAAACTCTCAGGTCTGCAAATGACTGTCTAAAAATATTGAAAAACAAATATGTAATTTAGAAAGACTGAGCCTTGGTAAATTTGTCTAAAGTGAAATCTGTGCAGTTCACACTCTGTCTTCCTACTTGTTATTCATTAACCTGTTTGACTTGGAGCTCTGCCCAGTTCATTCAGATTTTTGAATCACAGCATGACAAAACGCTTCCTCATAAATAAAGACAGTGTTGACTGGTGGTAATTAACTCTTGCGGCTGTTCACACAGATAAACACACAAAGCCACCGACCTGCTCCCCCCCACACTCCAGTCACCAGCCTCAATTATCCTCTAATAGCAACTTTATTATTATTCTCAGTATTGTTTTTATTTACATTTTGGGGGAGTAAATTGTAATGACAGTACTGGGACTATTTTGTCCAAGCAGATCATGAAGACACACTAACTCACCGATGAATGAAAGCCCAAACCTTAAGTGGCTGTACCTTTAGTGGCTGTTTTAAAGCTGTATTGTGATCTTGAGGCAGGTCTCAAATTAGCTCCATCTTAGTTAGTGTCTTTGTACCAGTGCCAGTGTACTATGACTGAGCCTCCCAGTGTCTTGCGTGAGAGAGTCCAAAGTACCTTAGCTGTCACAGTGACAGTAGCGTGCGACTGTGCCTCTCTGTCTCCTGGTTAGCGTGAGAGCTCAGCATGGTTGGGGTTGAAGGCCAGGTTTTTCCAGTTTTTCTTTTTTTTGTTCTGTCTTCATTTAGTGTTTTTTTTTTTTTGTTTGTGCTAACATGTATGTAAACTTTATTGAGCACCACTCAGTCAGCCATTGTATGTTTAGTGTGTCAGCGGTGTTTTGTTCGCGGCGAGTTATAGTAACTAACCGTGAGAGGATAAGCAGAGTCGCCAGTCAGAGTTACACGAGATAAAAGAAGTTTGAGCATTCAGTCACAATCTGAAACTGCTGAGAGCAGGAACTTATTGTGCGTGGATTATAGCATTTACACAACACCATGATGTATAGTATGATGGCTAATAGCTCATTCAGGGGTGATTAGGTTGTGAACAGGGTTGAGGGAGAGGAGGATTTCTGGGTAATCTATGCATTTTGGGGTAGAGATTAAAGTCAAGGCAGTCCCACAGCAAAGCTTTCCTGTGTCTGTCTGTATCCCTCGTGGAGTCCATATGAGAGCATTTTATTATTAAACAGTGAGGTATAACTTCTCTTACCATTTTTTAGATTGAGAAAAACTAACACATTTTATATAGATTTCAGCATACTAATACTTAGTTGTATGCAGCCTTAGTTATATTTTCTGCGTATATTGTTGTTAATTATTTATTACAGTTTGTGATCTATAAAACCACACTACAGCTGATTATAACTTTTTTCTACAGTCTTGTCTTTTTACACACCAGCCTCACCTGTGGCAGAAGATTTATTTGGACAAAGAAAGACTTGTTTCTATTTATAACTAGTTTACAACAGTCATAAGTGTTTGTGAACCTGTATATGAGTTAAAACTTCAGTTTGTTGTTTAAAACACCATAAAATAAGTTTTGGTAACCTCCACAATTTGTGAGACCTGCTGGTAAACTTTTTTTTTTTTTTTTTTTAATGGGACAGTTGTTACTGGTTGACTTTGATTCAACTGTGGTCACTTCTCATCACCTGAAATTATTGACTTTAATTTGAGTAGGTGCTCTCTTCCTACATCACAAATGTCTAAATTTAATTACAACCACAGTTTTAGAAAAAGTTTTATAAAATATGAACAAAAACAGAATTTGATAGTTTGGAAAACATGTAAACCTCTTCAATCAAAAATGGTGCCAAGACTGGAAAAAGAAATTGCATGTGAAAAATGTTGGCTCATAAATTTGATGCCAGCAAAACATTACAACAAAGTTGAGACAGGGACATGTTTGTTATTGTGTTGCATCACCTCTTCTTTTGACTACAGTGTTTGTGAACCAGAGATGAGTTTCCGGAGTTTTGAATGTCCTATGTTGTCTCATTCTTGTCTTATATATGATATTGGAGGTGCAACAGCTCTTTATCATATTTTTCATTTTATGGTTATCAAACGTTCTCAGGTCCCACTGGGACTCTTCTGCTATAGAGCCTTGCCACTGAAATAATAATGGCCTTGCTGTAGGGCTGGGCGATATGGCCTCAAATCAATATCACGATATATTGAACAGTTCACCCCGATAACAATAAATGGACGATAACTACTTCACAAGCTGCTCACTCCCTCCTACATTAACTTTGTCTACTTCAGCCACAACTCCAGCCGCTCCAACTTTGAACCATCCTCCATCTCCTCACCTGTCTTTCCCTCTTTGCTACGGACTGGATGGGGTGGAGTCACGTCTCTGATGTAGGACAGCGTCTTAAAGGGACATGAGACCATAACCTACCTACACACCCCAAAACCAACTTTTATTTATTTATTTTTTTGACACCGATATGAACAAAATGACGTTGGTTATTGTCGTAAATTTCAGTATTGGTAAATTTTCGGTTTATCGCCCAGCCCTACCTTGCTGTGTTGAAATCTCCCAGGTTTTCTCTTGGAAAGTTGCCAGACTATGCTATCCATATATAATGTTCAGTGTTAATGGAGCCTTTGTGTAAGTGTAAGAGCTACCCAGGCCATGAGCTCTTGTGCATCCCCATATCATCAGGGATTCTAGCTTTTGTATCATGCACTGAAAATCAGCTGGTTAGTCCCTCCCCTTTTATACTCAAAGATGCAGCATCCATGATTTCCAAAAAGAATGTCAAATTTGATTCATAAGACCACAGGACAGTTTTCCGTTTCACCTTCCATCTGAAGAAGGTGCAGATGTTTCTAGATCATCTTCATATATGGTTTCTGCTTTGCATGGTATTATTTTAGTCTGCATTTGTGGAGGCTGTGAAGAACTGTGTTTACAGACAGTGGTTCATGGAAGTGACTTTCGGTCCATGCAATGATTTCTGCCACAGAGTCAAGTTTGTTTTTAATGCAGTAGCATCAGGGAATTGGAAGATTAAGGTTATAAGATCTGTCTCTTGTGTACAGAGATTTCTCCAGATTCTCAGTATTTTTTTATCATCTCATGTTCTGTCGCTGATAAAATTCAAGTTCTTTGCAATCCAACACCAGGGATTATCACAATGTGGTGAACCATTTTTACCTGGTCATATCACTAACCTGTTTTAAGTCATCCTAAATAATCAGTTGTTGATTTTTAGCATCACTTAACTCTATAAGCGTTGAAAAAAATAAACTAAATAAGCACATGCATTTTCCATCAAAGAGTACAAGTTTTTAAACATTTGATTTGTTGTCTTTGCTGCAATTCCAATTAAACGTTGGTTTAAATGATTTTTAAATTGCTTGTATTAACATTTAACCCAATATGACAGTGTTGTTATTATTATTTATAAATAATTATAGAAAAAATTGGAAATAATGTGTTTTAATGATTTTTAATTTTCCATTCAAATATAGTTAGACTTTGTCAAAAAGTAAACTGTAGCATATTGACTTGAAGTAAATGTTGATGGATTATTGCCATCGCCAGTGTTTCTCAGCATCCATGTTCATGTTGCAAACATCTAAATGTCTCTGTGCTCTGCAGCCCCTGCAGGCTCATCCAACAGCAGAGGAGCGACTCAGTCCACTCAAAAGAAAACCAGTATGAAGAACGGAGGTGGTGGCGGGCTGATGAGACAAAAGGATGACGAGTGCTTTGGAGACAGGACTGATGAGGACCTGGACACTGACTTTGACTTTGAAGGAAACCTGGCTCTGTTTGACAAAGCTGCCGTCTTCTCTCAGATCGATGGAACCAGCAGCCACATCAGCAGATCACAGCAGCACAGCAAGCAGGACGAACACCGACCCCAGACCTACCGCCATGATGAGAACATTCTGGAGGGAAGGCCCATCATATACCGACAGATATCAGTGCCCCAGCATGGGGGAAAGGAGTACTGTACAGGTGAGCGCAAGTGTGTGCATATAAAGGCACAAAGAGAGACAGAGAAACACACCCACACACCACACCATACCAACCACAACAACCACACCAACATTTGGAGCTGTTTAAAAACTTGTGGCCTCTTCTGCAGCTCTAGATTTCGCATGCTGTTCAGGCAGCACTGAGGCAGTCTATACCACAAAAAAAAACAGCTATTGAACCACATTTTGTTTGTGAAACCAGCTCTCAACAGATACCTGTTCCCTCTGTGTTGATGAATTTGATTTTAGGTCCCTGTTTTGAAAACCTCCAACAGGGTCTAGAAACCATTAAAAACACATAGAGAAACACCAAGACACTGGGGGGCGTATCCAAACATCACCAAACCCACTACCAGTCACTCTCTCACACACACCCAGAGAATCCTACTGCTGAAAATGCAACGTGGCACCAAAACTACAGATTAAAGTCGTTCTGGCAAAGATGTTGTTATTTAATCTGGTTTGAGTAACATGGGCTTGAAAACATGCCCAGCCCACTGACAGTTTTTGGATTAGACTAGTGTCGCTTGCTTCTATTTTTCCTAACCTTAAGCCCTGAAACAGTCTCGAGCCCAGTTTAATTTACAGATACTCAAAGCACAGCAAACAGGACGTTTCTCCTATTGTAGAAGCTGGATACAGTGTTTATAAAAATGAAAATCAACCTGTTATTTTTGGCGTCAGACCAGATCACTCACAGCAGACAGAACAATATGCGTGCCTGCAAAACGTTGTCGTGTGAGAATGTGTGCATATGATACCAGGAAAGGAAAAAATAGACCTTTAGCCCAAAGAAGGTCTACCTTACTAACACACCAACCCCCACACACCTTCAGTGCTTCCTGTGCTTTCCAAGAGCTCGGTCACACTCACAGTAATCTCATTTCACATGAGTTAGTTGACATTGTCCACTGCAGATAAAATAAAGTCCCTCTTTGGGATATTCTATCAGCGAGTGTGTTTCAGCGCAGTGGACACGGTGTGTTTGTTTTGGACAGAGTAGTTTATTCCACTGTGTTTAAACTTTGACCACAACCGCCATGTGTTTATCTAATACCACTGTTTTAAAGCACATCGATGGTTTTTGCATTAACTTCATAAATTTCAGATTTCAGATGCTGGACCAAGGCCACAACACTTTAAATCTCTCACTGAGGAATGTGCTTTGGTGTCTTTTTAATGTTGAATAAAACAAAAAGAAAACAACACGTGGCGTTACAGGTCACAGTGGAGAGGACGCCTATCTGTCCTGTTGGTCAGAGTGAGGTCATTTTGGGTCAGACTGACTGGAATCGTATCCTCCTGTTACTGTTTATCATTCAGGGAACTTTTGACTTCCAACTCCCCCCCTCCCCCAACAGTATGCCCACAGAGATGATGACCACGTCCTTTCTCACAGTTCATTTCACTCCAGAATCCAGTGTTACATAACTGGTTAATAGAGACACAAGATAAGTAAGCAGCATGGTAACACAGGCCCCAGAGTCCAAGGTGTGAGTGGGAACAGAAAGAGGGTGGAGGTTGGTGGTATGTTATATGAGCTTGGTCCAACCTTCACCTTTTTCTGCTCTTATTATAAAGTCATATATGGGGCTGATGTGATGTAAGAAGTGAGAATTGACTACTTAGTTTTTCTCCAGTCAATGTTGTGCATGTGGTTCCTCGCCTGTCATGAGGACTGGTAGAACCAGGACTAGCAGAAACAGGATGATGGCTCAGCTTCTTATCCCCCAGGCTGTGTATACAACAGGTTGTGTTGGTGTTTCTAGGACTTTTATCCCAGACTGTATCAGATTGAATGCCACAGTGAAGCTGAGCAGGACGGACTGCCCACCACCGAGCAGACAGCTCTCAAACAGAGTCCTCTTTTCTTTCTGCGCAGGCAGATCTGCTTCCCAGGGTTGTCATCATAATCCTCATCCTCTGCACTCTGTAATTAGCGTGCCGCCGCACAGCCTTACATAAACAGCACCTCTGAATCAGGAACAAACCGCAGTGCTCTTGACCTGGAAACTTTGCCAGTAAACAGATAAATCAACAATGGAAGAACTGGGAAAGAAAAACTACAGCACCAAGCTGTACGTTAGGGTTGCCATAATGCACCAGCAAAGTCGTTTGACAGGCTTGTTTCTATAGACTATTGTTGATTGTAGAGGTTGCAGGCTGTGTACATTTAGTTCTGCTATCGTCTCTCTATGCTGTGCAGTGATTGAGTTAAGCTTTGCAGTGAAACGTCAGTGCAGCATGACAGGCTGCAACACAAACTTCAACTAAGCCAACTGGTTTCTTGTTTTTTGTTTTTTTTTTAGGTTCTTTATTGATTGATATTAGCTTGCTTTGGGAGACACAGGCAGCAGACTTTCAAACTGATATCATTGCACATTATTTTAAACAGTCTGGGAAATTTAAGATTGTAGGTGAGAAATATGCATGCTGTGATCTTCTCTTTGGACTGCGCACTGTCAGGTGATGCATTCAAGTGCTGAGTAGCACGGAGAAGTGATGCTTTTACACCTTTTGGCAATAAATCCCTTGACCTTAATTCCTTATTTTTATTTATGCAAATTGTGAAACCATGAACTCTGAAAAGCACCAAAATCTCCACTTTTCTCATCAAGTCAAAATCCATATTTCATCCCTCTCTTGTTGCAAATGATAATAAAAAGATGGAGTTAATGATTTACTGTACTTGTCAAAAGTGTGGTTTGCAACTTCATTTATAGGCAATCACAGCTTTTGTTTTGTATCCAAATAGAGCTGTTAAGCAGTGACTGTGACTGATCAGGTACAACTTTAAGTGTCACTGCATTACTAAAATGTGTTTTTTTTTGTAAAGCACAGTGCAGAAAGTTCTTGCATAGATAACAACATCATTTAATCTTATAGGTTTACTCAATGATTCTATTATCTGAGCACCTGGGAACCATTGCTTCAATCTTCCTGCCACCTCAGAGCTCATGTCTTGCAGCGCTGCAGAAAGTAACAGAGCAGCAGCAGCCTCGTCTAACCCTCCCTATCCCAGCTCAAGTCTTAGTCACACATGGCCCACATCCAGCCAGCGTGTATTGCTTTCAGTCCCGTCAGTTCCCTTGTCATGCTTGAAGGATTGCTTCCAGCTCAGTTTATTTTAGTGCCGCTGCATACTGATGGCTACCCGGTTTTGCTAGTTGCCTGCTGACTTTGTTTTCACACCACACCGAAAGTGGGTGTGTGTGTGTGTTTGTGCGACACGTGTTTGTGTGTGCACAGATCAATGCATGTGTGTGAGAGTGTTACAGAGGAGGAGATGGCGTGCGTGCAGGGAGGGGAGGGGTTGTTTTGGTACCGGCAACTTCAGCTGCAGAGTTATTAAGAAGTGCACCTGGTGGGGTGGTTGAAAAGCAATTAGTGCATACTAGTGCAACTCCTACTTCCCCTGTGCTTGGCACTCAAGGCAGCAGTTTGCATGACAAGAGGCAGTTGACTGTACTGTGCTTATCACTCACGTGAGGGTTGGTATGTTCAAGATTTCTGCTCCCCGCTCAAACATATTTGTACTCTCTTTGTGCGGTATCAATAAAAGAATAGTGGGAGGGAACGGGACAAACCCAAAGATAAGCAAATTTCATTTAGGCACGACATAAGAGACTGTGTTTGTGTGTAATTATCTTGTGTATGAGGGCGTGTGTCACTGTCCGTCTTGCATGCAAGGGTGCAAAGTTGTGGGTATACTGCAGCCTGTAGAGAGTTCACTGTAGGATGAGGTGTGTGTGCTAGCGTGCTCAAGTGTGTCAGCATGAATTTGTGTTCTCCATTGAGGCCACCAAGTACTCGGCTACCAGTCCAGAGACCTGTTGGAGGCCATTAAAGACTTAACTGCCTCCCAGTGGCTTTATTTATCAAAGGGATCCTGAGCCGAGCAGTTCCCCCAGCTTGACTTTCATTACCCCTCTAATGTGCCACAGGCAGTAGACAGTAAGGGATTAGCATGGGCTCTTTTGAGGGTTTCAGCACACTTCAGTTTGTACAGCGATAAAAGGTCGACTAGGAGCTCTGTAATACAGCAGTTCAAAAGATTCACACAAGAGAACAATCCTGACTTGGTTAGGGGGTGTGACACGACAAGTGACACAAAGGCTAAGGGATTAAAGTAGAAGAATGGACTATAAAAAAAATCCAAGTTTGATTTAGTGGTAATGAGGGGAGCTATAAAATCTATTACAGACTGATCAACATAAAGTCATCAGATACCAGACCCTGGAAGAACATTTTTAATTAGAAAATCCAAACAAAGTTCTGTATAATTTAAGCCACGCTCCCCTGTTTGCTGCATGCTAGGCCTCTTATGACTAAACATATTAAAGACATGACTCACTACAACAGCGCAGTGCAAAGCTGGGTCCACGCATCTACAGTGCCTTGAAAAAGTATTCATACCCCTTGAACTTAACCACAAACTTAAAAGTATTTTATTGAGATTTTTTGTCATAGACCAACACAAAGTAGCACATAATTGTTAGAGGCTGCAAAAGACTTGAGACTAGGAAAGAGATTCACCTTCCAGCAAGACCCTAAAGCTGTATGTTTAATGACCCTAAACATACAGCCAGAGCTACAATGGTCTGGTTTAGATCAAAGAATATTCATGTGTAAGAATGGCCAAGTCAAAGTCCAGACCTGAATCCCATTGAGCATCTGTGGCAAGACTTGAAAATTGCTGTTCACAGACGCTCTCCATCCAATCTGGCTGAGCTTGAGCTACTTTGCGAAGAAGAAGGGGCAAAAATTTCAGTCTCGAGATGTGCAAAGCTTGTAGAAACATACCCCAAAAGACTTAAAGCTGTAATTGCAGTGAAAGGTGGCTCTACAAAGTATTGACACAGGGGGGCTGAATACAAATGCACACCACACTTTTCAGATTTTTATTTGTTTAAATTTTTGAAAACCGTGTATCATTTTTGTTCTACTTCACAATTATGTGCTACTTTGTGTTGATCTATGACTAAAAATCTCAATAAGATACTTTTAAGTTTGTGGTTGTAGACTGACGAAATGTGAAAAAGTTCAAGGGGTATGAATACTTTTTCAAGGCACTTTATATAATAAGAAGTTTTGCCCATGGGGTGTCATTGGTATTGTAGTTTTAGTGCACACCCCATGCACTGAGACTGCAGCCCTCAAATGGGCAGCCTGGGTTTGATTCTGATCTGTGACCCCCCCCCCCCCCCTCTCTCTCTCTCTCTCTCTCTCTCTCTCTCGTATACACATAAACAGTATAATATAGAACAGTGGTTCTCAAGAAATGTCAAGGATACACACAAGGTCATTTGCACCACAAAGGAGAACATGGACAAGTTGACTTTTGGAAAATTATTAAATGGTCCGAGAAGTTTAAAGGCTTGGCAATCAGAAATGTCTGGTGGAAATTACATGTCATGTATCAATTCATGCTAATAAATACCTCTATTTTAGTCTAGAGAGCACAGTGTGAACCAGGCTCCAGCTTTATTATTATATCATTGATACAAGAGAGTATTCATAACCTAGACCTCTGCTAATGTCTGGGGTACGGGCTGTCATTTACAGGCAAGGTTAAATCCTGGACAGGTCACAAGTCAATCACAGAGACAGAGATAAATAACCATTTAACATGAAACCATCCGTTTTCATTAACACCCATGGGAAATATTTTTAGAGTAATCAGTTATTCCAACAAGCATGTCTGGTTTTGGGGTAAGCTGGAGTATCCACACAAGCATAGACAAAAGTCAAACTCTGCATAGGAAGGTCTCGGTACAGCCAGGTATTTTGTTCAGCAATCTTTTTTTTTCCGTGAGGTGATAATACTGTCAGATTGATGTCGTAGTTTTTTAAATCGATCAATTTGGCAGGGTGATTCATCAAACTTCAGCTACAGTTTTGAATTTATGATTGTATGCTGATGGGCTTTTTATGATCATGAAAATGAAATGAACAAGATAAGACAACAGTAGGCCTCCTGCCATGTTGTGCTATGGGGGTGAATGGAGTGCACCCTCCTGTCCTCTACAGCAGACCATGTGCTCTGCCCCCTCCCCTTTAATCGCCCTCACTTTCAATATGCAACAAAGTTTGGAGCACAAAGAAGCTCTGAATTCAGCAGCAAAGTCATGCAGACAAAGCGAGAGACTGTAGAGATTGTAAGCGTTAACAAGGTAAAAACTGCCAGGCTAAATACACAGTGTGAATATATGTTAGTACAGTTTAGTTTTAGTTTACCATACACTTAGATAACAACAGATGTGATGGAGAGAGGTGCAAAAAGCCCTTCTGAGTGGCTCAATTTAGCACTTACCAGTACATATATAATTTTACATTAGTCCCTTAAGATAGGAGAAAAAAATTAGGAGAACAAGTTTTTTCTGGTATTATGATGACAGTAGTACCATCAAACTAAAGTTCGGGCTCTTAAAGGGGAGTAGTGATGGAGTAAATGGTTTTTGTCAAAACAACAACATATGTTTTATTTTAATTAATATGTCAGCTGTATTATTTGAGTAAGACAGGCAGCTACAAAAGACAAACCCATTCATTATGATTTTTTTTTTAATAATTTAATGTCACTAAGTGTTGAATTTTCAAGTTTTCCAGATCATTTTAGTTTTAACAGTGTTTTTAAGTCTGTAAATGTGTGTGATGCAGGTGTGGAGTCATGTGTGATCATGTTTAATATCTTTGATCTCACTATCAACCACAGTAATTGATTTTTACCAATAACCGGCAGCCTAATTTTCATTCTGCTCAACTTTAACATTGATTCCCCAGAACTTGCTCCATACAACAGGTTTTCTGCAGCTGACCAGTGGTTGGTTGAGTGTCCTTCAGAGGAATACATTCATGTAAGCTTGATTTTCTTGCACTGCCTCGGTGTGGATGACGCATTATTCACAAGCAAATGTAAAAGTGAAAGAAAGCTGTGAGACTTTGACATAGTTTTGGGTGCTCTGGGTTTCAGTGTTGAACTATGAAAAACTTTTCTTAGTTTTTACAAACTGTGTTCTTTTGTTCGTAGCTGTCAACAGTTTATTTGAAGACACTGAATTAAATGAACTGTTTATTAGTCGCCTCCATGCCTCCCCCATGTTTATCCCTCGCTGATCTGTCACCACGAGCCGTTGGGATACAGGTGTTCATATGTATATGATGTTTGTCCCCTTTTTGTCACGCCAACCCGCTGTATGTTTTGACTGGGACAGCAGCCGGTGTGGGGGGTCTGGTTCAGTGCAGCCCCGTCCTCCAGCAGCATGGCTGGGGATTGGTCAGGGAGCATGTTATGGTGCGTGTGAACTCAGGGCCCGCAGGGAAAAGGCGTCTCACTCACTCTGCCTCACGTTTGTCATGTTTTGTAAAGGCTGCCAGTCTTTCCTTTGTTACCGCAGACAGTAGTGACAAACAGAGGAGGAAACGGAGAATCTTCTGTGATGGGAACAACATCAGGTCATGAGGAGGGGGACGGGCTTTTCCACAGGGAGTGGGCTTCTTGCATGACGATCTGTGTATCTTACATGCTTCCATTGTCCCCTGAGAACCTGCAGACCAATGTTTGTCGTTATCTTTGAGGTCAGGTTTCTAGGTTTTACGTCTTCCTCTGCTGTTGTTTTTCAAGGTGTCCTGATGGAGATAAATGAGTAAAAGAGTCTTATAAAGATGTATGACAGTTTAGGCCTGAGTCAGAATAATGACACACACACAGAAGCAGAAAGAGTAGAGTGAAACATGAAAATGTTGCATATTGCTCTGTCTTTGTCTGTGTACGGAGAGGAAAAAACTGAGATTTTGAATTTGAAGACTGGACGGAGGAACACTGCTGTGTTCGTGCTCGGAAAGACATTTTTGTGCATTGAGTCTTGCCTAAGGACACTTGATCTGGGCAGATGTTTGCTGGAATGGGATGATGTTGTTATTTACCAATAAACTCCTCTGTCATGCTCTAGTTCTGTTAAGTCAGAAATAACTAAACAGGCAAACCATTAAGATGCTGTGTAGCTAACTGTATATTCTTCTCTGCAGATTCAGGCTTGGTGGTTCCCAGCATTCCCTATGAGCTTCATAAACGTTTACTGGCAGCTGCAGAGCATCAGGGCCTGACTCTGGAGCGCAGGCTGGAGATGATTGGTGTTTGCTCCTGTCAGATGGCTCTAACTCTGCTGGGCGGACCAAATAGGTAAGGATACTACATTGGACTGCAGTGTACTGGTGAGCCCTACCAATCCAATCCAATTCAATCCAAAAACAACAAAACGCTGACCAAAGTGCTGCACAGTAAAAATTTAAAAACAATAAAAACAGACGATTAACACTAACAACAAAACAAAGAAGCAGGACCACATTAAAAAACACGGGGAACAACATGATTAAAAGGCCAAGTTCTCAAGAGCCGAAAGCCAAGGAGTAAAAAGTGCATTTTTCCTACCACTTTTTGGTAAGCTTATGGTTGTAACAAATTTACAGCTTCAACCATACCATACTTTTCCACATCAATGCCACAACAGTGACAACTTGTAGGAGTCTTTACCAAACCCAGCACATCTGCTGGACTGGGTTAAAAACCTCATATGTACGCTCAGCAATTCGGCTATTCTATAGTGTACTGGTTGAGTTGAGTCACATCATCAAAATCAAACCACTTCTGCACAAATCAGTTTTTTTAGTAAAACTGAATTTCAGCATGTGTGAGCTGCACCAGGAAAATTCTGGTCAGTTGCTGAAAAATACAAAGAAGTCTGAATTTGGGCTACATCAAACTTTACAGCATGTCTCAGTAGATAAAATTAAGCTAAGCAATTGAGAGGATGTAAGGTTACATTATCAGGTGTTCAGGGTTGGAGTTCATAAAAGGACTTTTAGGCAAAAGTGAATGGAATGAAATGACAGCACTAAAACCATCACCTGCTCATTCCTCCAAATAAAACTAAAGTATCATCAGACACAGACTATTAAGGAGGCTGAAAATGGTATCAATAGGAATCAGCGGTCCCCGTCGCTTTTATCAAGTGTATGTTTTTCATTTGCAGCAAAAACCTTTTCAAGAATTTTAAGTCACGTCATTGTCTCTTATACTTTTTGGATGGTTTTAGTTGTTAGCTTTTGAAATTCAGTTGGCATCATCTACTTTAGAGCTACCCTGTCCTTTTCAAAAGTGTAATTGACTCAGATTTTTAACTGTGAAACTTCTTCATTCAGTGATTTCACCTGTTTTAAGCATCAGCAGGGATTAGACCTTGGGGGGTCATTTGGTTCCCTGTAAAGACTGTGGAAAAGAGGGTACATTTGGTGATTTAGGGTCTAATTCAAAAAAGGTTTGTACTGCTTTTGCACCTGCTAAGACATTGTTCCCATTTTAAAGCACAGGTAGAGGAATATATGCTCCACAAACTGATGTTTTCTTGAATCTAAATGTATAACTATGCTTCATCTGGGGAAAAATACTCCCCTTTTTATTGAAACAAGCCACAGTGCAACCCACCAAATCACAGTTGGTGAAATGTTTACGGTCTGCTGAGAATGATCAAGACAACAGTACCATATCTCAGTGTCCTGTAGGTAACATGTTTGTACACAGAGTCTGTTAAATTAATTTCAGTTCATCATTATTAGAATGATCAGAGGGTATACCAATCTGGGGTTCAACCCCTGTGTATAAAAGCTGTAGCATTTGTACAGAAACCTGTTATTTTCCAGAGTCAGCTGGACATGAACTGTAAAACTTGTGTTATGTCTCTCATAAATTGACTCCACTGTGACTCTGCCCCTTCATTCATTACATCATATATGTGGATATACTGTAATCTAGCTCTGTCAGGATGAGAGCACTTTGCTCAGCAGGATGTGGAGTTGATTACAGCCTATCTTAGTCACACAAAAATGTAAAACTGGGACAAACTTTATCAAGTTGCAGAACTTTGTGGGCATTTTTTCCCTTCGGCATCACTGGTGTTATTTGCCAAGTGAATCGGACCTTGAGCCAGAGCCGACAGTCAGGGCAAATGATTATCAGTTATTGGTGCCTTTTAGAGGTCCATTCTTATTGTGTATAACCCTTAGCTTTTAAGTTTCCAATCTGCATCTCTCCTGCATTGCTCTTTGTACAATGATGCAGCTTTAAAAAAATGCAGAAAGTGACTAATCAAATGCAGTTGAGTCTCTGTATACATGTCATTTCATCTGATTTACTGTGCAGTGTAGACAAAGCCAATGTCATCCGTCTAATTATAAGAAGAATGTGCAACAAGGTGCCAAACATCCGTGCCTGAGCAGTTATACAATCATTAGAGCTGGTCTGTTCAGCTTTTTGTTTTCATGTCATGTTTTCTGGTTTCCATGGTGATCATCTTTACTACCATGTTTCTACATGAGGGAGCTAGTGTTAACCTTGACCCCCTTTAAGATGAAACCGAGCAGTGACAAGCAGGTCAAGAACCTGTAACAGGTCAGAGTAGTTGTGTTTGGATCTGTTTACCTGCACCTTTAAGAGCGATGAAGCTTGCTTAAGATCAAAGAATGTGAGTGCAGAGGCTCATATAACAAACACATGTATTGTCTCGGATCCTTTCATCCGTTTAGCACAGTAATACTTGCATGTCTCAAGTTAACACTGGACCTACTGTGAGCTCAGTTCAGGTTTAATGTTGTATTTTAATACCAGGATCAAAGACTCCACTGAGCTAATAAGTGCACTGATAAATAAGTAATGGGGCATTTTAAAGAGGACTTATGAATAAGGTCCTGAACATTGTATGGAGGGCATGTGCCATCTTTAATATCAGTGTAGCTGCTCCCTATTATCATATTGATGCATGTAATATGTACTGCAGCTTTTATGCAAACACAAGTGTATGTCATTTCTGCTTCTGAAGGATCTTGAACCAAAGGATAAATAACCACTTAAATCAACACACTGTTTCAGTTAAAAAAGGGATGCCTTAATGCGCCCAAGTTTTTGCAACCAGTAATTTTTTTCAGATTTGATTGCTGTAATAAATTGCAGCATGTTTTGGCCTAAAACAGATGAAAATAATGAAACAACTATTACTACCAGAATAAACCTTTTCTAGTACCTTTGAATATACGCCTGTATCATCTTTTCCACAATCCTGAACAGCGTTTTTTTAAGAAGGCTAATTAGTGTAACTGAGTAAAACTAAGTGATGCATTTAAAGACTATGGAGATGTTTTATTAGGGAAACAAGCAACCATAGAAAAGCTTTCGAAATTGCAAACACATGCCCTGAGTGTCACACAACTAAGGGAGGCCTTTTTTTTTACACTTAGGCTACATTTATATCCTTTTCACAGGAACATACCGTCTTCATCAGTAATATCAGTACTCTTTCTGGTAGTGTGTGTCATGGTACCAAACATATTTTTATTTTAACAGGATGATTGATTACAAGACTGGAGATGTGTATTATTATCATTTAAAAGTAGCGTGCAGTGTTATGCAGAAAACAGACAAACAAAAAGAATATGGATAAGTCTGTTCAGAGAATTGCATAATCACCTGAATCTAAAGGTACGTCATTTCTTAGAATGAGCCTTTTATATTTGCAGTACAAAGCAGCAGGTCCCCTTTCATGGAGGCCACCATTCAGCACAAATATGTTACCAACACATTGCTGTTTTTCTTTAATGGCTACCCAAAATGCGCCTCAAGGAAGAAAAAGAGAAAAAGAGTGGAGGGGTTGCTGTGTGCAAAATAATTTGTTTTGATCTGACATTTGTGAGAGTTTTGGTGGTAAAAATTTGACAAATAGAGGATCAGACCTGTCATGCATCACAAGAGCTTCCTGTCCTTTTAAGGTCTCTGTTGCTTCCTCAATGAGAATGGTAAGCATAGGAGTGTTTCAATATAAAATCTGTCTGCTAGATAGTTGTAAATATTCCCATTCCTACACTCTGCACTTTTGAGGAAAACTGCCAAGATGAAATACTGTGTGACTGAATTATAGTATTTGGGATGCAGATTGAGATAATCAGTGCTGACACTGATTTAAATACTGAAATTAATCATTTAGACAAGTGCACTGTCTGACACCTTGATTCTTTTTAACACATTGTTTCTTATTTTATTTTTTTGTCTGTTAATTCTACTATCTTCAACATTATTGAACACTGTCAAAGTCATTCAGGCCTTCACTGCGCCCTCGCAGAGGGAATTTTAAAAATTTACAGAGCATCCTGTAGTTTAGTCCTGAACATTAAAAAAGTGAATGTTTCAGGAAAAAATAAGCGATTAAAAAGATTTAATAGCTTCTCGACAATCATAAATTAATACGGTGCATTTATAAGAACTGACACAGCCAAGTAAAAAACTTATTTTAATTAAAAATATCAATAAAGCAGGAAAAAAAAAGAAACGGATGAAGACACATTTATCACTAATATTAAAAAGGGATTTAACTCGGCTTTGTTTGTATTTGAAAGTAGCAACCGCTACAAAAGGATAAAAGATGGGACTAAGGAGCTTCCTGTCATCAAATTAACCCACGGCAACTGGTTAAAATCTATAAACAGAGGTAGTACTCAGCTTGTATATCTGTACCCACACACATATTTTTCCCTATTTTTTCCCAAAATTAATAATGTGCCCCAGTGGTTTAAAGATTTCACTGCAGAATCAGCAATTATTCATCTCTTTTCAAAGCTTCTTAGCTTTATTCCTTGACTTGCAAAATACAAGCGCATGTAAGAAGTTAGTTTGTGATTACGGCTTTAGTCAGGAGGAGTTTAGCATTGTTTCAGTGAGCCTTAGGGACACACAAATTTGAGCTTATCTGTTTTCAGTTATTTCTTATTGTTGTTCCAGGCATGTTGCAAAGTGAGTAAATCACAGTGTGAATGAAGATTGCACACAGAGAGCATAGAGCGTTTCCAGGTGTTCCTGAACAATGGTCTCTTGGGTTGACCGTAGTTAAGGCCTGGTACTGGTGAGAAATCAGTCTCTCGTCATCATTCGAAAATACCGGGCAATAGTTCCTGACCTTTTGTCTTGGAATCCCCCTTCTTGTATCTTAGGAAAGCTGACCCCCTACAGGAAAAGGAAACCCAGTGATATAAAAATAAACATCAATTTTAATGTTCTTACCAAACAAAGGGGGGAAAAAATGCACTTTTCACATTATTCTATCTTCTGCTGCATAAACTAAACAGCTGGTGAGTTTGGATGATTGGAAGTTAATGTGTATAACAACCTCAGAGTTCGCAAAGCCAAGCACACCTCAGAGGCCTGGGAACCACTGTATAACTGGGAGTACATAGTTTAATATCATACTGTTGTTCGATGATTCTAGTGTAACTTTGTGATCACTTAAATTTCCCCAGACTCACCCCGAAAAACGTCCACCAGAGACCCACTGTGGTCATCTTGTGTGGGCCGCACATCCAGGGAGCTCAGGGTATCAGCTGTGGTCGACATCTAGCCAACCATGAAGTGGAGGTCATCCTGTTCCTGCCCAACTTTCTCAAGATGCAGGACTCTGTCACCGGTGAGGTCAACCTGTTCAGCCGGACCAATGGCAAGCAGGTGGCCAGCGTCAAAGGTAGAAAACCCACACAAAAGAGAGGGGAGATATCTAACCCTGTTTCCACTCAGGATATCGTAACATTAACAGAGAGGATGATGCCTGTGTACTGATCTGTATCTGAAGTGATGATGAATGTAAACATGACTTCCAGAGCATTTTGGGATAATGTCTTGTTAGATCTGAGCAGCTAAGATCAATGTTGCCCTCTAGTGGAGAAGAGGGATTCAAAGCATGACATGTACCATCCTTAATTCTTGTGCATGATATTTTGAAATCCTCTGAAAATGAACATGTTTGAAAAAGTCTTTGATAAGCTGTCGAATCCAAAAGTATGCTTTCATAGTTTGTGAGGAAAAGATTACAAACTTCATGTATTAACAGTTGACTCTTTCCCTTCCCCTCTATTTTAGACCTCCCAACAAGCCCTGTGGATCTGGTCATCAACTGCTTAGACTGCCATGAGAACCATCTGCTGAGGGAGCAGTCCTGGTACCATTCAGCAGCAGACTGGGCCAACAGTAACAAGGCTCCAGTCTTGAGTATCGATCCCGCTGTCAGTCAGCATCATCAGAGCATCGAGGCAAAGTGGACTCTCTCTTTGGGCCTTCCTCTTCCTTTAGCTGAGACAGAGAGCAGGGTCTACCTCTGCGACATCGGTATCCCGAAAATGGTTTTCCGGGAGGTTGGCATCAGCTACCACTCACCTTTTGGATGTAAATTTGTAATACCCCTGCATCCAGCCTAAAATGTTACCCACTGTCACAGCACTTAGTTACAAATCGACACCGACCGAGTTTAAGCGATACAGCTTCACAACACGTCTAATAGCACAAGGAAAGGGCTTTTTCTCATGTCCGCTGGAAACTCCCAGGGGCTGCCGCATGTTGCGTGCGACACCTCTTGTTTTTAAGAGGGAAAGGTTTCCTGTTCTTTGGTGTGTTTTGATAAGGGCTCCGTGTTACGAGGTGAATATGTTTACAAAATGCTGACCACTGTGAGTCCGTCTGTACCCTCTGACCCTGTGACCAGCCAGAGCAGCAGAGACACACTTCCTGTTTCCTCCTCCAGATTACAGGCAGGGTCTTATCCTGACCCCATGACCCTGCTGCACAGTTCAGACTGGAGCTGTCTGCTCACCCTGATCTACCCCTCATCTGGGCCACAGGGGACCAGGTTTAGTATGATTCAGTTTAGATCATTTTGACGTTGTTACAGGGGTGCATTTTCACTTGTATTTGTTGTAGCACATTTTTACACAAAGGTGGTGACACTCAGATTATATATTTGTATTTATTTTGGAATACATCTCAGGAATAATGAATGAAAAAAGAAAAAAGGTCTTTCCGCGCTGGTGGGTCCTTTAAGTTTATGACCACTGACACTGAAAATTAAAAGTGGTAGCAGACTCCCTGGAGGATTACTTTTCTGTATTTCTGAAGTCTTGCACATTAGACAGGAATTTCAAGCACATTCCAAGGACCAAGAACATCTTAGACCAGGTCAGTCTCCCAAGATTATCACAAGTACGGTGCTGTGAAATCTAATAATTAGAGCTTTTTCTTTTTTGACACATCAGACAGCTAAATCTTGCGTCTCCGGCCAAATTCTTGTCAGCGGTTTGACTTGTTATTACATTTCACCAGCAACATTTTTACAGCAACAGAGTAAAACAGGCTGTAATTTTGACTGTCAGCTATGCGCTTTTCAAATTCTGCAGGTAATAAGTCCTTGAACTTTCAATGAACTCACTTTTTTCTCCTACAACAAAAAAGCAGCAACCCAAGTAAAACCCAAGAGGCACAACAACAGTTCCTGGGTTTTGAATGACAGATTGAGTTTGTTTTTGTTTTTCTTTTTTATTAATCAAACTTTTTATTCCCTGAATGGTTTAATGCACTCAAAAGCATTGTCTCAACTTGTTATTTGGAGACCATTGTTTTTTTTCTAAGTAGATCTAGTTGGGGCTTGAAAAGTTGCATGAAAACCTCAAGAAATGTGGCACTTATCCAACTCTGCTTAACCCCTGAAATCTGAGAATTGTACTTTTTTATCTCTTGAGATTTTTGTGCAATTCAGAAGCTGTCAGGATGTGCTGAGCTGGAGGCAAAATAGCAGAAGTTTTAGGTGGTGGTGTTTCCACAAAGTTCTAAATAAGAGATGTGAATAAAAATGTAAATGAAATATTTAAAATTCGCCTGAGAGGCTCTGCTCAGGGACACACAGGCAGTTCAAAACACTGCAGCCTCTTCTCATGTCCTTTTTTAGAACTACTATTCCCTTTCTTCTCCATAACAGGGGGTATTACATGAAAAAGAAGTTTTTTTTTTCATTTTGATTTGAGTCTAATCTTGAGATTTTTTGGAAAGTAGAAAAACTAAAAAAAGGTGTATTCATTGCTGAGGGGTTTCTAGTCTAACAGGAGCTTAACTGATGTATGAAAATGCTGTACCTGAGGTCTCAATAATTTTTTCATACCGGCTTAGTTTTTATGGCGAAGTTCCTGCTAGAAGTGGAAGACATATTTTGTTAATTTAAAAGATAGAAACACAGCATAAACCCCGGTTGATCACATGTTTGAACTGCACCTTTATGGAGAGCAGTTTAGTACTGAGGAATTCTGTAAATAAACTGAAGCTTGACAAAGACTCAGCCTGAATCCAATCACAAACCCTGGTGCTATGTCGAAGTGGGTGCTTTTTTATATGTCAGCTGAATAAAAAATGCGAAGAAAAAAAATTAACTGCACAAACTGGGTCATGATTTTTTTTTTAAACTGTGCATCATAGATGTTTGGGAGACTCAAAGATCTCAGCCACATACTGTCCCTTAACACACACAGTAGTACATCATGAATAGTTACAGACTTGAAAACAAGCATCAATACATTTTATTTACTTTTATTTCTGTTCTCTTGAGATCTCAACTAGCTTTCTCCATTTTGAAATAAAGCTAATTTTCCCATTATAACGCATAACTTTATCTCATCTTGAGATAAAGCTTATTTTCTCATGATTACAGGAACAGATTTTGGCTGTCTAGAACAGGCTGGTGAGTGTGATAAGTTGGATCTTGACATACTATGCTACTACTGCCAACACTAATGAGGCAGGCCATTTTCAGTATTTGTTTGGGGTTTTTTTAACATGGGAGTTTTGATAAAGTGTGGCACACTCACCTTGAAAAACCCTTTTCATGCTCCCTTCCATAACTTAAATAAATAAAATGTATGGATGCATGTCTGTTTTTAAGGACCTCTGGTTGTTGGGTCTATTCCTGTTACTGATATGGGGGAAAAAAAAAGAAAAACACATTTGCTAAAACTGAATCATCAAACACATTCAGGTGTCTGTTATGGACATTTTGGTTGAAGTTGGATATGCACAAGTATTGCCTCAACAATCAATGGCTGTTCATTTGCCCTAAAAAATGTGGTCTGAAGCAGCTGAGTAAATGATATACCAATTTACACCTGTGCTCTCACATTCAAACACTTTGCATTCAGTGGAAAAACAATTAGTGTAATGATTTGGTTTTGAATATTTGGTGAAAAAAAACATTTTTGCTGTTTTTTAATTATTCTACCTCATAGGTTTGTTGCATTCCTTGTTGCAGGACAAAGAAGCCTGGTGTTCAAAGTGTCATGTTACCCATAATTTTTTGGTGTCATTGCCACCACAGATGATGGTTTTCTTTGATTTTCCTTTAATTTTTTCCATCTGCTCTGAGATTGTTCTGGCCTTGTACTGGACATCATAACATGCCATCTGTTGAGAGCAGAGGTGTAACCACTGACAAATGAGAATCTATTCTAAATATGAAATCTTTAAATAACCTCAAGTAAGATACACAATTTAATTTTTGGGTTCCCAGGGTGACTCTTTCGTCTATGTCTATTATTTCTTAAATAGAAGGTGGGGTCTTAAAATCAGCTCTATCCACTGCTACTGCCCAGCTGCTTTTGATCACTGCATAAGAAATGTTAACTCACATAACTTATTCTCAAGGAGATCTCAATAGAAACCACCTGTGAGGATCTGCAGTCTGACTGTCTTCAGTGAATTAACTCTTGGCCTGAGAACAACAGTAAAACAGGTACAAGTGTATTACAGCATATACTGTATGTACAGTATATAAATCCTGCATTAGAATGTGCTATATTTTATCTGGTTTGAGTAGTTCTTTTTAATAAACTAATTACATCTATTTGGATATGGTTATTGCAGGTCATTTTTTTGCACAATTCAATTCAAAGAAATTTAATCAACTAGAACAATTATTAAATGAATAATTAAATTATACAGGCGGCGCAGTGGTGTAGCGGTTAGCACTGGCGGCTTACAGCAAGAAGGTACTTAGCCTGGCAAGTGATTCACGCAACTGGATGGACCAGCCAGGCTAGAAGGTCCTGGGTTCGAATCCAGGTCAAGGTGTTTCTGTGTGGAGTTTGCATGTTCTCCCTGTGTCTGCGTGGGTCTGTGTGGGTCCCAAAAACATGCAGAAGTGGGGTTAGCTTGATTGGCCACTATATGTCAGCCCTGCGATGAACTGGCGACCTATCCAGGGTGTCCCCTGCCTTCACTCCAAGATGCTGGGATAGGCTCCACCTCCCCCACGACCTCCAACAGGTATAAGTAGTAGAAAATGGATTTAAACTTATATTAGATCATATGAAAGGAAATTGAATTTTAGAAAGAATAGCGAATGATTACTTTAATTCAACTTCTGTAACTAGATTTTAGAAAAGAATATCATATATTTTCAATTATCACAATAGCTTTAGGAGAGACTTGACATATGCATTTTAAAACGCTGATATGTTTGTTAGAAAGAGGCACTCAAAGGACATACAGTTTAAATCATGCCAAGCAAGCAGTTCAGGTTCAAGGTTATGATCCTTCACAAACATGAAATACTGAAAATTAGAGAGTCCAGAACAATTTGGTTGAGCCAGATGATATATAAGAAAATTATAAACTAAACCTGTATTGTGTTTTAACATTGAACAAGATAGATTACAGAGCAAATGTCTTCAGTTTGGTCTTTGTCAGTTTATCTGCTACATCGGGGGTGTCAAACTCAACCACAGCAAGGGCCATAATCTGGATTTAGGTCTAACCTGAGGGCCAAACAGGGTCAACATTTCCCCAGAACTGTCAACCTCCTTTTCAAAAAATATGTAACAATAACAGCAATGATTATAAATCATTTAGAAATTCAAAAAAGATAAGTTTGAAGGCAATCTGAGATAGATTTTTTTTTAAATTCTATTTTTATTTATTAGTTCAAAAGATCAGAGCATGATATTAGAAATACAAAAATAATGCTTGTAAATACATGAGAACATTGAAATCCGGTTTAAACTGTCAAAATATGACCTAAAATTTAAAATTGGAATCTAAAGTATAAAAATGACACAAGTCTAAATACTGAGTTGAACAAAATCAAAGTATGAAATCAAAAATCCAATCATGGTTGGCTTGTAATCTTGAAATGCAAAATTGAAAACATGAACTAAAACACCAATATTTTTCCCCACATTCTTGACTATTTATCAAATCTTCCTTACTCTTTAATTTCCCAGATTTTCGTGGTTTATTTAGGACATTTTAAATAATGGTGCTCAAGTTTACATTATCATACTGGAGGAAATCTGCAGACTTCACTGGTAGGCCAATAATTATACAAGTATGATATGATTATTGGTGGCCAGGTATAATTGTTCCAAGGGCCTTGAGTTTGACACCTGTGTGCTACATCTAAGGCAGAAGCATGGGTGTTCATCTTTGGTAATTAAATCAAAATAACATTATGCTTTCAGTTTAATGTGTTTTTTTTTTATTATAAAAACATCTTATATTACAAAACACTGAAACTTTCTCTGAAACTATTAAAAACTAAACCAAGACTAAACATTTTCAACAGCAATAACAAATCAGCGATGAAAACAGTGGGAAGAAACAGAAGACATAAAGGTTAAAAAGTGAACTGACCTAAAAAAATTAATTGTAAATGCAAACCCCACACACAAGCTTCCCCAGTGTCCACAGTCCCACAGCAACAACAAGTCATCCATCAGTTGACACTCTCACCTGTTGGCCACACGGTTGTGCTCACAGACCGTTCGCCCCGTGGCTTCGCTTCCCCTCTGCGCATGCGTGCTGTGTTAACGGAGCGGAGACCATTTCCTCCAGCAGCAGCGGCGGCGGCGGCAGTAGCAGCAGCACCAGGCCTCGCACACGCAACCGTTACACACACATATGCAGCCCGAGCACGGACAACCGTCAAAGCAAAGCCACGTTTTGGGATTGTCTTATCTTTACGCCTCCAAACCTGGATGCCCCCTCGACCGCAGGACTCCACCTGATGGGCCTTCATCGCTAATTTGCAGCAACATCTGGTCGACAGCACACAGAGATCTATCTTGTGGGTGAGTTGCCCTCTCAGCGCAGTCACTGTTTTGTCTCTCGTTGTGTTGCTGTGTGCTGCTGCCGCTGCTGCTGCCACAACGTTTTATCCGGGGGAAGATTGAGGATAGTGCTCAGAGGGGAGGTCACTAATGGGGCTTTATCTGTGTGTCTGTGTTAGATTTACTTTAAAATGGTTAAACGGTGAGGTTATGACAAACAGGTTTCTTTAGTCAGAGCTCATTTTAACCTGTTTGAGAGTGTTAGCATGAAGCTAGCGGCTAGTTAACGTTGAGTGTAACGTTGCTGGATTCATTCTCGGACTAATTTATGCTGCTACTTACAAACAGATTTGCCCTTCAGTCCCCCGAGTAAACACGCTCACATTAGCTCAAAGTAGCTCAATACTGAGCGGCATTTTCTCTCTGTATGTATCTTATCTTTATATTGTTGAGGGGGATTTTGCGGCTGTGCCCCAAACCCTCGAGTCACCCACCTTCCTCTCCTCCTCTTCCCTGCTTGCACGCCTCGGTCTCGGCTTTGTGCTCTTGTCCTTCACATTTTACTATCCCCTGTTTTCTACAGTCTTGAAGGTTAAGAGTAATATTATAGAGAAGCCCAGAGAAACAGCTGAGAGTCAGTAAAAGCAAACAGCTTGTAACATTGTGGGTAACATTTCAGGGGGATGCGCAGTTTTGGGGTTTAAACAGCCAAGGACTGGCGGGGTGAACGATAACCTTCTGCTAAAGAGCATTTTTATGACTTTATTCATGCATATTGATCAACTTAATTTAGAATCAGCTGTAAAGGGGGAGGATATGCATGGAAGGATGGTCCTGTGTGATAATGGACTTTGTGATTTCAGCCACCTCCGCTCTGCACTACACCACAGGGCTGAAGCTGAGGTCCAGCCCCTTATATTAGAGAAACACTGATCCCCTTTTACTTTACCACCAGTCAATCCTGTCCTGTCAATGTTTGTGATATTGAAGGAACACATGTCTCTATGTGTAGTTTTGTTTTTCAAAAGGGACAATGCTTTATATAGTTTTCCTGCAGGCATTCATGACAGCAAATGATAAGAAAAGGGGGCAATAACACTGGTGTGATGATGGTGTTGTCCTATATAGAAATTCTCATTCTCCTGCAGTCTTCATAGGAGGGTCAAAGGTCGGGTGAAGCTGCTGAACACCAGTGTTTTCTTCAAGGACACTTAAACATAAGTGCGTGCGAACAAAGAGCTGAAACATCATGAAATGCATCACAGTGAAAGGATTTTGTTAAACGTTATTGTTGTTTAATGGATCCTTGCAGCATGATATATTTGGTCCCTGCAACTTTGGTCCTGTTTGTTTCCGTTAGTTCCTCACCCAGTAATTCGAGGCAACGGTCTGACTGAAATGTTGAAGTGTACATACCTTTGCAAGCTGTGGCATGACTGACAAAAGCAGTGTAGTGTCAGTGTTACAATATTGTTCTAGGAACAGCCTGCTGGGCATTTTTACAGTATTTATCACTTATTATCATACTCCTGGAAACAGGTATGCAATATATCATCTAAAATAATATCGCAGTTGTTGTTTTCAGAATGATACCGAGTAAAGCTCCGGGGCTGACGCGAATATAGAACGCAAAATTATGAAATGTTCGGAGAATAATTTTGACGCGCCGGACTATTCACATCAAGCCCGATGCGATTTTGCCACTTTCCGGGGGGAAAAAGACGCATCCTTGGGAAGACTTTTCCCGGGGAAAGTCCCGCCTCTTTCACCTCTGATTGGCTAGAAAAGCTGGAAACGTCATCACAAGCTCAAGCCAAACGGTCAGCACTTATAGCCAATCAAAGGCGATAAGATAAGCACATGAAACTATGGTAACAACGTTAGCTTACATTAGCACAGATGAAAGTTAAAACAAAGACGTTTAGCAAACTGTTAAAGCATACAAACCATCGTCATATGAGAGATCCGACACGATGACTTTCCACAAGTTGTCCTTCAGGTCGTTATCTTTGTAATGTTTGTGTCTTTTATCAAAAAGCACTCTGTTTCCGACATGTAAACAATCAACGGTCCTGGTGTGTAAGGACCTTAAGTCTTATATTTTGCAGAAAGGAAAACAGCTGCCTGTACGGCTGACATTAAAAAATGAGCAAACAAACTGTGCCAAGAGACAAACACAAACTCCAGCAGCCTCAGTGTCATTAGATTTAATTGCCAGACATGGATTATCCTCACTTGCATTAAGGTGATATCACTTCAAACAGATGGATGTTGCCAAAAGACCATCTGTGAATCGGCTATGAAAAGCAGTGCTGGGAGTCAGTGGGAGTCAAGGTGTTGGCAAACCAAAAAACACACCCAGAAAACTTGAAAAGGTTCACTCAGACCAGCACTGATTGGTCTCAGCATCCTGAGTGTTTTTGTTCAATAAGCTTACTTAGTTTAACATCAACAAATTTTCCTGTTTTTCTCAAATAATTTATATCAGTGGTTCTCAAGTCCAGTCCTCAAGGCCCACTGTCCTGCATGTTTTTGATGTTTCCCTGCTCCAACAAACATGATTCAAATGATCAGCTCGTTATTAAGCCATTACAGAGCTTGATAACGAGCTGATTATTTGAATCAGGTGTGTTGGAGCAGGGAAACATCCAAAACATGCAGGACAGTGAGCCTCGAGGACTGGACTTGAGAGCCACTGACTTCTATCATTAATGTTTTTGGCACTACAAATAAGAGGGTGCCAGTTCCCTAATAGACTTGCACAGTCATGTTTTTATCTTCTTTTTGAGGGTTGAAAATAGTGATGATTATTTTATTATTGACAAGGCCACCATAAAATAGGAATATTTTTTGGTTGTATCACACACCCCTACTCCTAAGTTGTTTTCTGGCAACAAAACTCTTTAAAGGAGTATTACGCATCTAGTTCTTGTTGGCTTCTCAATAATTGGTAATTGCAGTCAGTTTGAGGCTGAACAGAAAGTGTTTGTTGTGGACAATCTGGATAAGAATACCAGAAATCTGATTGAATTGATAATCATGTTAAAAAAAAACTGGTATCCACCTGCCCTAACTGTGGTGTTCATTACAGTGAGTGCAGAGTGCTGATGAAGCAGCATGATAGCTTTGGGTTTTTCTGTCAGAGAAATCTGTTCCCAGTATTGGCTGGACTGAGAGGGGGTGTGGGGGCTTGGCATTCATTATCCCCAGAGGAATCTGCTGAACCAGACTGTAACATGTAAGAATCCATATGCTGCGTCTGTCAGGGCTAACCTGCTGCTGCTGTTACACTAGGATGCCCAATACCAAGCTTAGAGAATCTGGGCTGTTGTATTTTTAATTAATTTTCTAATATCTAACAGAGCAGAGTTTGAATTCATTCTTATTGAGACAAAATTTAAACATACTAGTTCCCTAAACACAGCATGACTCAGCTCTGGTCCTGGTAGTATCTAGACCATACAGCCCTCCATCTGTGGGGTCAGTCTCATCTCGTAAGGTGGCAGAAGACTCGCTGATTAAATCATTATGTTCCTCTGTTCCCTATCTTCTTTTTGTCAATAGCTCCCTCCCCTTTTCACCAGCTGACTGATGGCCAGATTGGAGAAGTCTAATGGAAGTGCAGCTTGACAAGGACTAGAGGTGACAGGACATGTCTGTTAGCCCAGCTCCGTGTCAGCTCTCCTCTTTTCAGCAATGACTTATGAGGAGGGGGAAAATGACAGTCTGGTCGATCCTTAAAGCTGCGAGGAGCTGATCTGTGTTTCTGTCTTACTTTAAGCCCTGAGCCGGGCTTATGTGCTCAGCAGGGAAGTAATGGCTCCTCTGTCTGTACACTGACCATCTCATTGCACATTTGAAGCCTGTCCAAGGCCCTGCTGACCTCAACACAATGACCGCGTTTAGTTCGTTTTTCCCCTCCAGCCTCTGCTCTTCAGCGTCCACTGTCTCTTTAATCAGCAAGTGCAATGACAGAGGAGGGATTTATGGTGGTGACTTTGGTGCAGAGCTTAGCAGTATACTGGCACTCATGAGCAACAGGACATCACAGATGGTGCAAGACATGCTTTGCACAGTAGGCTGTATTACTCTGCATGAATGCATTCAACAGCATTTACTTCATGCTGTTTTTTTTCTGCCTGTCTTAGCATGTTTGTGGCTGTAAAATGAAGTGTGCTTGGTAAAAAGTGAGCCTTTCAATCATAATGTGTGCTCTGTTTGATATGTTGTGTGCCCATTCAGAGTATGCAGGGGTGCAGTAGATGTTGCAGGATGCAAAGCATCAGTCGTTGCTGCTCGTCTTCTTCTGTTTATTGGTTGTAAAAAGTGAAACCGGCTTTGCATCTGCACCTGCAGTGCTTCCTCCTTCTTTTTTTACCATTATGTATCATATGAAACAGGACACTGTACATTTATGAAGTTTACATCAGCTTCATTGTCTCTCAGCTGATAAGCAATGAAGGCATTCTTTGTGTTTTCTTCACCCAATTTTTCCATGCCGTGTTCTCATGTTCTCAACTCATCTTACTTTTAATCACAATATTTCTTTTACACCCGGTTGTACATTAGTAGTTATATTATTTTCAATCAACTGCAGTTTGTCATCTAAATTAATCTTTAAACCTGGTTTATTATAAAGGCAATCTCTTGCAGCCTCCCAGCACTTCAATTCTGGGCTGACTTTAGATTGCTAATTGTTAATAATGCGGCTACCAGTTACCTCGGCAGTTGGATGTTTGAGCTGGGAATGACATTACATCCGAGTTGATGGCGTTCCAGTAAACAAGTTGGAAAAACCAAGATGAACGCCTACTGTTAACAGTTGTTAGCTGTTATTAACAATTTTAGCTGCCGTTAGCTGTTGTCAGTTGTTGTTAGCTATACCAGTCGTAAACAGTGCATAACACAGTATTTCACTCTTACAAACACCATAGCTTCATGTTCACAGGTAGATGTTGGGCAGTACAACATATAACACTTATTTAATATCACAAAAAACAAAACAGAAGTGCAAATAAAAAATACATTATGAGAGCTTTTACTGTTACTCTTTACTGTTGATGCACCGCGCTGCCATCTTGGATCATGACGTTGTCGTCAAGTTGGAGTTGGCGAGGATCGTCCGACTTTCTGACTTCAGGGGAGCATTCCAGGTGAATTTCCAACTCAGAGCTCAGAAATCCCAACTTCCAAGTACAACTGGAATGCAGCATAAACCACAGGATTGTTGTGGGCGGAGCGTGATGGGCGTGGTAACATGAGGACTAGGAAGTTTCAAATCCGACTCTGAAGTTTTTGTATTGTAGTGGTGTAGAGTTCATTATTAGTTATTATTTTATTATTCATTATTGGTTCATTATTTATTATTCAAAAGTCAGTGTACATCCTAAAACATTATCCCACAAAATGACATTTGTATTGACCAACATGTAGCCTTTAAAAGGGGTCATGAAGAGCTTAGTAGCTTTATTTATGTCACTCTTCAAGAATACATCTGCACCACATATGTAGAAGTTTCTGCCTTCTTGATCAACCAATGTAAACAGTGTGATCCTGTATTGATTCTTTAAAGGGCTGTTTTGGTATTTTAGTTCTCTACACGGGCTGGTCAACATTGTGTGAGTGTGTGGAGGGGATTACTCACTTGCTTTTCCCTCTGGAAACAAAAAGTATATAAACTTTGATGCAGACAACCAGTGGAGTGGCTGATGTAAACACTGGAGTGTTGTGGGGCGTTGCTGTGTGTGTTTCTGTGTGTTTCACTGCACTGCTGCGAGAGCTCCAACATGCAGACAGCAGAGAGGGAGGAAAGGGAGAGGCTGAAACTAAACTACGAAAAAGATTCAGACCTTAAAATCTGCCTGTATCTAGTGCTTGACTGGTCTAATTTTTAAGCGTTTTCATTAAACTGTTAAAAAAAAGAGAAATCCAAGCAGACCCACAACCTTAATTGTTGATACTGCACTGTTGGGCAATGTGTGCATTTTTTTTTGTTTTGTTTTTAACAAAACCTAATTTTATGTTCTATACTTAAGCTTTTGCAACCAAATTAATGCAGCCACTACTTGTGTTTATTTGCTAAGATTAACACCCTTGTAGTGTACCAGAGAATGAGGACTTCTCTAATGTAATAAAAACTTTGGACCTCTTATAAACCTCACCGTACTGGCAACATGACTGTCGTTTCTTGGCTAAAGTTGATAAAGGTCAAGTCCAGAGTGCTGCACTTTCTAAGTGTAGCAGAGAGAGTCATTAAATTGCAGGGGCTGTAAAATTCAAATGGAGGTCCAACCATTCTAAGGGAATTCAAAGAAATACATATTTTTTTGTGAAGCATGTGGCTCTATGTGCTCTCTGTTATGAGAGAGTTTTCTTAGGGTAGATTATTTTACAGGAAAAATTGCTGTTTAGTATTCAGTATCCCAGTATTTTGCCGTATATATCCTCACCCTTTTATCAGGATATGTATCACCAGATTCTTGCCAAAGAAAGGCCCAGCTATCAAATGATAAAGCACAGCATCAGCAGCAACGCCCATCATCCATTCAGTGTTTTACAACAGAGTCAAACTGCCTCTGAAAGCATCATCAGTAACTTGACTCTGGAGTTGCAGAAACCTGTATCATTGAGAGCATGACTCATACTCCTCTATCTAGCAGTTTGATGGACACATTCTGGCCTGATGGATGCTTGCAGAGTTTCTTACATAAATGTTTAATGACTAGTGGAAAGTTTGGTGGAGGATTGATAGAGGTCCAGAGAGTGATGGTTGGATTTTGGGGTTCCTGCCCACAAGCTCTGGTGAAATTCTTCATAGTCTTACAGGGGTAGTAGAAGTTTTTGTTAATTGGGTACTTTAAAAAAAAAAAAAAAGCCCTGGACAGAGAACATAATGTACCAGGACAGGATTTGCAAACTTTGTGATGGAGGAAGTCAGTTGGCCTGATAAGAGCCCTGACTTCTTGCTCAGTGAACACTTTAGTGGGATTGCAGTGCTGATCAGGAGCCAGCCTTTTGTATCCAACAGCAGTAATGGACCTCACTTTAGTTGCAGAAATCCCCATAAACTCAAAAATCTAAAGGAGAGACTTTGAAGAAGAAGGATAACTAAAATGATTGAAGGCCAATATTTATGATCAGAGAGAACAGGGATCCCAGAAGCTCATATGGGTATAATGCTCAGGAATCCACTGATTCTTGGTCATACAGTGTGGAATCCCAAATCCAATGAAGAGAGCTGCCAATAAAAGCTCCTGTAAAGTCGGTAAAATGTCACAGAAATACTTTTTTGGTCAAGGCTTAACCCTTTGAGCAGCTCATTATTTTGTGCTTTGTTGAGGATGTATTTCTTGGATTCTGAATTTTTATGTGTTACATTGTAATCAAAGTCATGATTATATTATTTAGAAACTCATTTTGTGCATTTAAAGTAGTTTTGTTAGAACAGCAATGTAGGGCTGGGCGATATGGCCTCAAATAAATATCACAATATATTGAGCAGTTCACCTTGATAACAATAAATGGACGATAACTACTCCACAAGCTGCTCACCCCCTCCCACATTAACTTCATCTACCTCAGCCACCGCTCCAGCCGCTACAACTTTTGAACCGTCCTCCATCTCTTCATCTGTCGTTCCCTCTTTGTTACAGACTGGATGGTGTAGAGTCACATCTCTGACGTAGGACAGTGTCTTAAAGGGACATGAGACCATAGCCTACCTACACACATCCAAAACATGGGCAAAATGACGTTGGTTATTGTCGTAAATTTCAGTATCATTAAATCCGGGTTATCCCCCAGCCCTACAGCAATACCAGCATCAGTAGAGACCTTCAGCATGGTCCTAAAGGGAGGAGTAAGAATTTCTAATTGCTCTAATCACTGCATCAAACTAGCATGAGTCCTAATAAACCCCAAAGGAACTGATTCTCAGTAACACATTTTCTGCAATCTGTGTTTTGTTGTTTTTGCACATCTCTCTGATAGAATTAATATGGAACTATTTAACAGCTGATACTCAAGTCCAGGTTCTGAAATAGGTTAAGAAACTCTGTTGCCAGTACACCCCTACTCTAACTCATTTCTACTTACGTTGACAAAAATCAGTTCTCACATCTAGAGAAGATAAGAGATGCAGTGAAAATAAGGCCAGGCTGCCCCACTCCTTCACCCAAATTGGTCACAAACAATTTTTCACACTGCTGCCCCCCTTTTTAGCACCTACAGATCTGTGATAGCGGAAATCCCCCCCTGCCCTCTCTTCCAGTGATCACGTTGCCCAGTAGAATAGCAGCATTGTGGCTGCCATCTTATGTGCAATCTCAGCGCGCCTCTCCATCCGGGCAGCGGCTGGTCAGTCAGGCAGTTTCTTGAAGGCCAGAGGCTCGTAGCACCACGCCTGCTGGCTAGCTGCTCAATGTGGGCTATGAGCAGAGCCGCAGGCAGGACACATGCCTCGTCTTTCACTACGCCCACGGCTCCCAGAGATTTCCCACTGGGAACTATTCCACACAAGGATAATGATGATCCAACATTTTAACATTTCTGGAACGGGCCTTGTTGAATAGAGACTCCCTGCATGCATCAAAGGAAGATGAGTACTTTGTAAATGATGAAACACTGCACACTTGCAACATGTGACTGTTGACTGAGAGTATACAGACCAAGCAGATTTTCTTTCAAAGAGTTACTGTAGTTAATAATGACACATGACATTGGCATGACAAAATAAGTCTCTCATCTGTCAGATTAGAGAACCCCACCCATTTTTCTGTTGCCTGCAGCTCCAATCTTCTATCATCCACATGTAGTTATTTTCTACCCGAGGTGATCATTATGAAACAACACCTGCCATGTCGCCATAGATATGGCCTGTGGTAGAGGTCGGTGATCTATATTGTCTGAGGAAGTAGCTTATTATTATTTCAACAATTGTGTTACAAAAAACAGCCAGGTCTACTCGGATCACATCCAGTTTATGTCAACAGACCACAGTTATTTTACCATGTTAAGATGGGAAACTGTCTTTCCGTAAACTTCACTCCATCAGAAAGGGATATGATGGTAAACAATTGGACACCCTCTTCAGTAACAAGAGGATGTTGATAATGGTGTTCATTAAATGTGTCTTTTAAACCGGCAGTTGTCTCCTGTACAACTGTCCACAAAGGAAACAAATATAAATAAGTGCACAGCAGGGCACACTTCCTTTTTGGGGTGTTATGGTTAGAATGAAATTGCTTTATTTGGCTTAACCACTGAGGAAATTTTAGAGCCAGATATCTCTGTCAGATGCTCTTTTTGTCTCTGTGCACAGTTTCCAAAAAACAAGATGATTAGACCTGACTTGTATAACAAGACTGCCAACAAACTACAGGAAACACCATAACAGAAATTTACATTTTTCATTTCATTTTAGCCACTGACGATGATGATGACGATGGTGATGATGATGAAGTTGCACATAGCATAGCTTGTGCTATTTATCTGTTGTGAAAAGCGCATGTATGATACCCTCTGATGACTGCAGCTGAACACATTTTCTGTGATGGAACTGACGTTTCAGAAGGCTTGTTGTGTTATTTAAGGGTGGAGATTAGGGTTTAAAGTGAATCCTCCCTTTCTTGACACTGTTCTGTGAGCTCTTTTGCACACAGGTTTTGTAAGTCTGTGGGTGTGCCACCAAAGTAGACTTGCTGTTGCTGTAGCAGTGGACATGTAGAGGCAGAGGCATTGCTTTTCTCTCTAAATGGGAGCAGGAGCTCATGCTGTATCATAATAATTTTAATGTTAATGAGCATCGACGGTCTAACAGGCCTTCCTCACTGTTCTGCAGATAACAGAATTTTGAGTCCAGCGAATGCTGCTCTCACAGTCACTCAGATCAGACCCTCATTGAACCATATGACCTACATTAAGTTCTAAATGTCAGGAAATTCTCCTGCCATACCCTTTTAAAATCCAAACCAAAAAGAGTTGACCTTACAGTAAACCGTGCCCACATGAAGCGAACTTCCACAGTCCGATGACTTTGCTTCTCTGCACATGGCAACACCAGTTGTGTCTTTCATATTCAGACCATTATAGGCAGATGAAGAAGAGGTAAATCAGCCAGTTCTGAGCATTTTTACCAATTGCCGATGTTGTGAATGCACAAAAAAGAAGAATTGGATGAATCACTGATGAGGATGAAGATAATGACAATGAATCTTGTCTCAACAGGGAGGCTCCACTCCTTCCTCTTTTATCTGCTGGTCTGTGCACTCCAGCGTAGTTTGTGAAATTGAGTCATTAGATGCACTTCTAAAAATACAGAAAACCCGTCTGCTTTACTGATGTCACAGAAAGTGCTGAAAAATGAAGTGACCCGATTTAGTTCTTCTCTTCTCTGATACAGAGATTTATATTAAAAGAAAAGTAAACTTGATCTGTTCTCTGTGTGGAGCCCCCTTTTAAATGTCTTTTTTAATGAAAGCATTTTTTAAATGATTTTATATAAGAAATTCAAACTGTAGATCTTCTTAGTGTAAAGATGTTGTTGGACCATGGCGTACGCATGGTCGTGACTTACTAAGAGGGTAGCTGAATAGGTGGCAGCACATTATATAGATTCAGCATAATGGATTCAGAGACCGCCAGATAGACTCTGTAGGTTTCATCTTCTTAATACACAGAAATTCTTAGAGCGTGTGATCATTGTGGTGGTGCTGTAAATCATACCCTTGTTTCAATCGTGCTTGTTTGTAAATTGTGTATTATATTATTACATTTGTATAATCAGATACTGTGAGGCCTGCTGAATCTTTTATCTCTTTTTGCCAGTGCTGATCTGATATTGAGTGTTACAAACAAATCCTAAATGGATCCACATGCCAGTCCTCTCATTTTAACTATCTTACCTCTGAAGAAGCTTTAAACTTTCATATAAATATATAATCCAAAAATAGTGGCATCCTCTGGTGAATATTTATTATCTAGGAGTATGTTTCCCTGCTATTTTTTGAGATGTCAACAGAAAAGGCAGCAGTGTCCTGGAGTTTGACAAACATTGGTCATAATGAAGCTCGCTGGTAGAACAGGGACTTCTCTGTCTCTCTCTTTCTCATTAGCTCAACATGCTCTCTCATAACAAACTCATATTGGGGATATCGTATTGTATGGGTGGGATGTTTCTTGCGCTTATCAACTGGAATTAAGCAGAAATATTATGGTCATATGTCAGGAAAGACAAATGGATATCATATCACGTATCTGATACTGGGTGTCAACCCTAGAGATTGCTCAATCCAAAATGCTAAGACACCCATAATCTCATAATCATCTTGTGCTGTAAACAAACAGCGGGAGATGACCTGAACTGTAGTCTTATGGAATATACAGCTCTAGTGTTGTACACTAGGAATGGCCAATAACACATTATCATTGACATGTTACCAAGACTGTCTGTAACAGGCTTTAAAATAAGATATTATATAGAAATAAATATCAAATGAATATTTAAACTCAAATTTCAGTTAAGTCATACCCTTACACACGAGCTCTATTGTTTACCTCATGTAATCTGTTCATATGAATGTGTGCTGGGTGATAACTCTATGTCTGCACCATCATTGAGGGCCATTACAAATACAAACGACACTTGGTAAAATGTATATAACACTGATGCAGTATGGTCACTCTCTGTGTCCGACATTGTCTGCTGTTCTTACGTGTGTCTGACCCTCTAAGCAGACCATGGTAGGGTCAGCAGCATCAGATGGAAACAAAGCCCCTCTCCTCAAGTTTCAGCAGAGCTCTGTCTTCAGTCTCAAGGGAATGTAAGAATGTACAAACCATTTCAGATACCCGGACCCCTCCCTGCATATTCTTAACTCCAGTTTGGTTGTTAACCTCATTGTGTCAGGAGAGGGGCAGAGTTTGGATAAATGTTTAGTTCCAGATTATTTTCATTGTTGTTGCCAAATATGCATCCTACATTGAGCTCTGCCAGGCGGCCAGAAGACTGTCTATTGTTGTTGGCATTGCACAAGCCCTATGTTGTTGTTGTTGTTGTTGCAGTGATTAAATAGCACCATGTTTACCGTCCCTTGAAAATTCCTGAACATAGACATCCACGTATTACTATTTCAATTGAATGCTGCATTGTTGCTGTTTTCAGCTCATGACCTAAGTTTCTTTTAGCTCAGTTTGTGTGTATGTGGGTGTCTAATTTTAAAATCCAACACTTTGTCACATGCTGTGTGGTCCATAGTGGTTCCTGTGCTGGGCAAATCCTGCTGTCATTTTACTTTTTGTCCTGTCTCACACTATAATATGCAAATCACTAAAAGATTTGTAATTGGATACAGAAACAACAAACTCATGTAGACGGCGGTGAGGTGTGCATGTTTACATTCTATGGTCATGTGACACACAGATAAACACTGCATGCACAGCGGTCAGTTTCATGTGTGTTTGAGTACAGAACTGTAATAAAGTAATAACAGGTAGACTTTTGTATTCATCCTTAGGGGTGTCTCGATACAACTTTTTTAGTTCTGATACGATACAGATATTGTAGCCTTCAGTATTGGCCGATAATTATATTGATCTGATATTGGCACAAAATTGTGCATGACAAGTTTGCACTCAGCTGCAACATCCTTTCCATACTGCCACATGGCCAACATCACTCCTACTTTTTGCTACTGAAGCAGCACCCACTTTTTCAGCAGTTTTAGCTTCAGTAGTTCTGCTGCTGACTTGACCACATGAGCACTTTTTTACTCCCCATGTGCATCTGTTAGCCTGATGCTTGACCTTGTTGCTGGTTTACCAGTTTTCATCCTTTAGACCAGTAGTTCTCAAGTCCAGTCCTCGAGGCCCACTGTCCTGCATGTTTTGGATGTTTCCCTGCTCCAACACACCTGATTCAAATGATCAGCTCGTTATTAAGCCACTACAGAGCTTGATAACGAGCTGATCATTTGAATCAGGTGTGTTGGAGTAGGGAAACCACCTAAAACATGCAGGACAGTGGGCCTCGAGGACTGGGCTTGAGAACCACTGCTTTAGACTGTGTGTAGCTGACCACAACAGACCGGGTCCACCTCAACAAGAGGTGTAGTTTAGGAGATGCGCTCTCTCACTCACTCACTCTTAAACCATTCCAGCTCAGTCCTTGTCAGAGTTGCTCCAATCATTACGCTCCCCTATTTTGTTTCTGCTTCCAGCTCAGAGTTTGAGGACAAAATGTTCACTCGCCGCCCAACCAATACCATCCACTGACAGATGCCATTCTCAAGAGACAATCAGTGCTATTCACTCCACTGTCAGTGGTCATAATCTTATGACTGACTGGTGTATCCTAGAAGGGGAAAATTTGCTGTCTTTTTCCAGTATCCTGCAGTCTCACCTGGCAGGGTCCCAGAGAAACCACTTGAACTGTGATTCAGTCAGTCTAGCATTTAAATTTATCTGGTTTGGAAGAGCAGAACTGTACCACAGTCCCTAATGCTGCATTTTAACCCTGAGAGAGTCTCTGAGGTGTTTTACCTTCCATGAGATCACACACAGATATGCAGAAGATATGAATGTAGTTCAATTAGATTTGATTTTGCAATCCTAAGAATACAAAGTTATCATGATCCATTGTCCCTGAAGGGTATTGTACGTACTGTATATAAATACTATGATATGGATTTGAGTTCATACTGCTCTCTTTACACAGACTTCTCTTTAAGGCTCAGTGTCTGTCCCTGGGCTGTGAGAGTGAACAGGGTTATCGCTTCACAAAGTGTGTGTGAGGCTTTTGTGAATTTACCCGAGAAATCCCCGAGCCCTGCTCTCCGCAGGCCAGATTTGCAGTTGCTGCCTCTGCAAACATTGGCTCTGCAGTAAGAGAAGTTCTCCTCTCTGATACCTCCTGCGTGTTTCACTGACTGCCTGGGATTTCTCACCCACACTATTTCCATCACCCTTTAACCCACTGTGCTCTTCTGCAGGTGAAAACAGACTCTGAATGTGGTGCCCAAATGCAAATTTTCAGCCTACACTTTAAACTCTCCGCACAAAACACATTTAAATACTTTTACACAGCTGGATGTTCCTCAACTCCACATCAGTTCGCTCTATGTGGGCTTCGCTCTGTTTCAGCTCTCCTCTCTTTTATTTCCTCACCTGACTCCAGAGACTTGTTGGCAGGCTTTGTTAGCTTGCTTTGTGTGTGGGGAAGCAGAATTGTTGATAAAAGGAGGAGTTGAGTGTAGGAGAATCGGTCCTCTAGGTGAGGGACTCCTTGCAGCACATTCAGAGCCAATAATAAGGAGAAGAACTGTCTGCGTGCACAAGATTGTGCTCGCATGTGAATCACTGTAGTATGTGTGATGTGATTTAATAAGGGCTTAAAATAGGATGTACTGTACAGGAGGGGAAGTGATGGTACATGCCTCTGTGTTTCATGTCTGACTCACAGACCTTCAGATGGAAACAGACCCAGCCCTCAGACCTTCACTTACATCCTGTGTGTAGACAAAGAAGATTTGCTATCAGCGAGCTGTGCACTGATTTACATGTCAGGCACTTCTCCTTTCAGCTAATTAGGCTACATTTCTTAACCTTGCCTATGAAAAGAAACTAATGACCTAGTTAATATACTCTCTGGGGTTGTACTGAAGCTGAAACAGTTAAGATTATTCACTTCAAATATTAGTCCACAATGAGAGTGTTTATTATTTCACTCGATCAGAATTTTGGTTTATCAAACTTATTGTTTCCTCATATTATCTGGATGTTTTGGTATTTTTCTAACAGGCATTCTACAAAAAAACCCTTTTAGTGATAACTACATGTCCAAAGAGCCATAATAATCAAGTTACATGTTATAGTTTTAAAATGTTTGTGTTTTTCACTTCTGTTTTTTGTTTTTTCTTTTTATTTTGATTTCAGTTGCGTCTTGAAAAGTTTTTAAGCCTATAGTTTTAGTTTAGGTTAGACTTTTTTCAATATGCTTAGTTCTCTTTGTAATAAAGAGAAATGATAAAGAGGTCTGACCAACATTCAACCCCTGGCGCTGCTTCTGGATGTGTGTTTGTGTCTGAGAAAAGATAAAAACAGACATTTTCTCTGTATCTTGATTTAGTTGTTAATTTTTTAAAGCTCCACTGAGGAAGTTGTGGTTTGTGTCACTTTAGCACCTCCTGTGGACAAAGTAGTCACTGCTTGTCTTGACCCATAAAAGCTAAGCATTTTTCTTTGAACGCTTAGCTGACACCTACCCCCTCCCACCGGTTTCAGGCATTAAATATGATGATAAACAAGTTGTCAATCTTGTCTCTAGTGGCTTTGTTTGGTTTTGGATATTGTAAAAAGGCATCTATACAAATTTCAGTCTATTTCACAAGCGCTAAAAAAAGTCCTTACAGCAGTTTTAAATACACAATACAGTTTCAGTTTGTTTTCATGTTTTTGTAAAGCTCTATTTTAATTTTTACTTCAGTTGATAATAGATGTTTTTGATAAATATATTTTGTTAGTTTTTCAGTTGTTTTTTTTTATAAAATATAACAACTTTGAAAATAACAAACCCTTGAATCTCAAATACCGTCTGAATATGACATTGACACTTGGTACTTGTAATAGCTCTGTAAAAGGGTACTTTTTTTGTCCATAGAAGTATCACCAGGCTTGTGCCAAAAGCTCCCATAGAGAGTATCTTAATTTCACATCCTGCCTGTGTGTATGACTAAGGATGTGCATGCCTAAATTCGACACACACACACATTTAGGAGTTCCTGTGTGTGAGTGCACACATGCAGAACGATCTAAGCATGCAAAATGGGCCTGCTCCTCACAGCAGAGAGCGCCGCACACTGAGCGCTAATGCAAGTCTGTGGTTGTGAATTAATAATTCAGAACGCTGGCATCGCTGGGTGGAGCCTTTATTATTCATGGTTGGCATTGGAACCGACAGATGACTGCTGTTAATATTAAGGACCTGCAGACACACAGTCCTCCGCCAAGAAAGCAGGCAGTCTTCTTCAGTGCTCTCATGCCCGTCTCTTCCCTCCGTCCTCTGACATCTACACCCCTTCTCTGCACTCATCTCATTTTCTCGAACCACTCTTTTTTTATGCCTCCGTTCCCCTGATCTCCGTCCTCTCCATCTGTGAGCGTCTCTTTCTCTCTCTGTATCACCGACATCTCTCTTTCTACATCTCAGCATGTCTCAGTCTCACTGTGCTGTGCTGTATCTCTTTGTTTCCTTTTCAAAGAGCTGGAAAGAGATGATTAATTTGCAGTTGGAAAGTGTTATGTAACAGGAAACAAAGATATTCAGCTGGACCTGAAATGAATCTCAAACATTGAATTATTTGAAGAGACAAGTGAATATTAGGGCCAGGAGCATTTTTGGCGAAAACTAATTCGTCGGATATGCGTGTAATTGTGTCAATTCATTATGTTTGGAAGTTATCTAAGGGGGATTTCTGTGCAGGAACGAGCGTATTCAAGCACGGCATCAAACTTTAAACAGTGTCCTCATTGGCTCATCCTTAGTTTCATCGGGGAGTACTTCATTTCGTCCTTGTTTTCTCTCAGAACAACACCAGATCTGCCTGTGTTTAGCTTCTTTTTTACAGTCAGCACTCACTGTTTCTGCACACAGTCAATTTTCCCTCTCAATTTGGGATTACTCACCTCTCAGGTAATCTATAGAATCTATTTCGAGCAGTGTGGTCTTCCAGCATCCTTTGCGATTTTCATTATTTTCCCCCTGCAGCCTCTCTGCCTTCTTTTAAATCAGATTTTTCTCCATGGTGTCAACGCTGCCGTCTCTGAATGCTTCTTTTATTGAAGAGATTTGGAGCTCCAGTCACCACTAATGCCGCAGCCATATTGTCCCCGCACCCTGCTGCGGCGGCTGCTAATGACATTCTTTGTGTTTCCGTCCCCGTGCTTTGCCTCTTCGTCTCCTCCTCCTCCTCTGGTCTGAATGGAGGACTTGTCATGTGTTGCCATCAAAGGCGGAGGAGAGGCAGTGAACGCAGCGGCAAGCAGCTTCCTCCCCTTCCTCCTTACTCAGTCTCCCTCACCCCCTGGGATGTTTGAACCCTCTTCAGAATGTGTGTGTGTATGTGTGTTTTTGTGCATATTGAGAGACAGCATACATTATTAGGCCATGGCTGAGGAATGTGTATGCATATGTATGGAAGCTGCAGCATATATTAGGCCTGAGGAAAGGGGGAACTTTGTGTATGTACTTTTGTGGTTGTCTGCTAGCTGTCAGCAAGAGTGCAGAAGCCCTGACAGGATATGCAAAGTCCGAGGAGTGTGTGTGTGTGTGTGTCCGTGCACCTGCCTGGCAGATGTCTTGTCAGAAGCTCAGAGCCTCCCAGAATCCCACAACCCTTTTGGCTCTCTGCCCACTCCCACAGCCTCACATCACCACTTCAGCAACTTCCTACACTTACCTGCCTTTAAAGGTTTTTTTTTTTTTTTGCACTCAGGCCAGAGTAGTGAGTCAGTCATTCTAGCCTTCTGTTTCACTGTGCATTTTGACACACACACATAGACATGTTTAACCGTGTCTTTTGTCTCAACATCGGAATTAAAGATGCAGCTGTTACTTTTCATCATGTGCGACATTTCTCAAATCTGAGGATGGTACTGCGAGACCATGTTAGAGCTGTTACACATAAAGGCCTTTTTTAGTGACTAGAAAGCTCCTTCTGCCTTTCACTCCTCTTGTTTGACGTCATCATGTCTCTTCATTGCAGCTGAATAGAGGTGAACAGACATGGCGGCAGCAGGTGAAATTTTTTGGAAATTCCTCGAGCAGCCTTTCCCCAAACCCATGGTCACCAGCCACTTTTTCATGGTTTGCCAGTTGGCAGAGTAAGATGTCCAACTAATGGCTGAATTCATTTTCCTCTCTCAAATAGAGTTTCATTCTTTGCTGCTGTGCTGGTGTTCAGCATAAAAGTTGAGTAAAATGCCTGACAATTGGGTGAATTCATTTTCTGTATCAAAATTGAAGAATGGTCTACACACTGACTGTCACTCACAACCTCTCAGTCAGAGCAGGAGCCAACGGTTCAATTATCAGGTTGTGTTCAGAGGCTGGCTCAGCTAATCTAGAGTTTCATTGTTGACGAAGATGCAGCCTTCAAAGACCGACACACAGGCTGCTCCTCACCTCAGCACAGATGTTGTCTATTACTACGTAGCTGTGTTTCTGCGGGTAACACAAAAATGACACATTAAAACAAAACTAACTGAAGCTCATGGTATTGGTCATCATATTTCAAATTAATGTCCATTTAAAAAACTGATCTGAAGAAAAAGTAATTCCAATGAATTATGATGAATGAATGAACCGCTTAGGTTTAATGTTATATGAGGCTTTGAGTACTCATGATTTGTTAAGTTCTTTGTAAATGTAATTTTCTAAAAGGATTTATAATAAATCTTGACCCAAAGAGTTTGGGGCCCCTGTCCTAACGGATTCAGCACCACAGGTTCCTGCTCATGGCCAAAACCTGGGCTTTTTAGCTTTTCCCTTCACATTAGAGGAAGAGGGTCCGAAAGGATTTGATTCGCTCGTTGATGACTCAAAACAAGTCGAAAATAACATTGTGTGTTGTTGTGCTCACACAGTGCGAGTAGAAATCATTAGTGCTGCATTGATAATAATGCTACTAATGCTATTAATGCTACTCGCCATGTAGACCGTGTATACGCTTGAACGTTACCTTTCACGATGATAGAAAAGGGTCCGACAGGATTTGATGCGCTCCTTGATGACTCACAACAAGTCGGAAATAATGTTGTGTGTTGTTGAGCTCACACAGTGTGAGTAGAATTATTAGTGGTGCATTGATATTAATGATCATATGAAATTTCAGAAGCGGCGCATGCAATTTAGCAGCAGCGGTGAGTGAATGTAGGGGAAACACTGCTCATACATATGAGTCTGAGGTAGAACTATGTGAGATAAAAACTAAATAGTTATTAGGTGTGGCGGCTTTTATTTAGCCGTTGCCGTGCGCCACGATCAATTGCATGTAGGGGAAACCCTGTTTTGATAAATTCGCTGATCATGTAATTTTGAAGCTAGTGTGGAGATGCTTAAAACTAAAGTTCCTTGAGTGGCTGGCTGCAAAAGATGCCCAAGCAATACACACATACTTTGCAGGAACATCAAATGTTCACAGCCTGGTACAGAAAATAATTAGTTTTATATAACTTATTACTGTTTTTACAGGTCAGACGTTTTTTATTACTCATTTGTTTTGAAGATATTGCGGTTAATAGTTTTGTGAAGCTAGGGTATGGCTGATTTGTCTCATAGGCGGGAACATTGTAGCCGTTAGCAAGGTGGCAAAAAGCCCATCCTGACACCACCCTTTTGCTTCTTGCTGGGTCAGCTGAATGATTGAATGAATGATGAGCTGCTGATAGGCTTCAAAATTCAGCTTCAGAAACCAATGAATGCCATCACAGAGACCACATCTGTGTTTGTAGTCCATGGCTGTGAGTAGAGCCTGAGCACCAGCTCCACAGTGGATAATGTAGACCAGGACTGTCGAACCAATTATTTTCAAACTGTTATTAATCCAATTTTTCAAGTTCATATTACACATTTAGTAATCCTTTTTTAAAAAGTGAAATATGTGTTAGTCATCTTAATGAAGGCTTCTTATTAAAAGAGAAGCAGCATTCTGGATGTTACCCCAAGTTCAAAACTGAGAGGCAGGCCCCCTCACAGCAGGGAAGCTCTCTATAAGATAAGCAGTGATGAAAACGACTGCAGCCCGCCTCCGCCCGCTCGGATATGGAGAGGATATAAATAACTGGGCCTGGATGAGTGTGCTGAGACTGGAACCACAGCACACAGAGCTCAAACAATAAGCTGTCACCACTACCCTTCCTCCCCTCTGCTCTCTCCCGTCCAGCAGCCTCCCAGAGCCCGAGAGGGAGAGGAGGGGGGAGCTTCTCTCTCCCTCTTCCTTTCTTTCTTCCACTTCCTGCCTCCCTGCTTTTGTAATCCCTCATCAGCGGTGAGCCCGAGCCCGTCACTTGTTACGTCAGAGAACAAGACAAGACGGCTGCCTGTCTGCCCACCTGTCTGTCTTTCTATCTAGGGGGGAGACGCCTCTGTGTCACGCTGCTCTATTTTTCATTCAGTCAGATAAAAATAGGGGGATGACGGCTGAGGATAAGACGCACATGACTCCTTTGCACGGCTGCAATGAAAAGATGTGATTTATTTTTCTTTCCTCTCTTACTCAGTTCAGCTTCCAGTAGGCCACCCTGGAGTTCTCTGTCGGTTTTCCTGGTGAGCCGGTGACAAATGTAAACTGAATAATTTTAGACTGTTTTCGTACGTCATGTTTTTATTACGTTTTGAGCTTGAAAAACTAAGAAATGGGTGGATATGTAATTGTATCTGTGACAACAGAGCATGGATGGTTGTTCGCTCAAACTCAAAGCCATCTAGCTACTCTGCAGAGTGTCTGATGTTATTCAGAGAATGTAAGGGCATTCAGGTTCTAAAAGTTTCTGCACCTCCACTTAGGGCTGGAAGATAAACCAATAATTTTCCAATACAGAAATTTACAACAATAAACGTCATTTTGCCCATATCGGTATCTTCGGTGTCAAAAAATTTTAAAAAGTTGGTTTTGGATGAGTGTAGGTAGGCTATAGTCTCACATCCCTTTGTGTTGATGTGGGTGGGGGTGAGCAGCTTGTGGAGTAGTTATCGTCCATTTATCGTTATCGAGGTGAACTGCTCAATATATCGTGATATTGATTTGAGGCCATATCACCCAGCCCTAGATGGAGTCACTGTAACATTACCAGTACAGGGTCCAATCAGTGAAAACAAGCTTTCATTTTTCTAGATAGTTTTTTACATTTCAGTACACCTGAATTCTGTTTTATGATGTAATTTCACCTGATGTTTGTCGAATCATGTGGTAGATGAACAAATTTCGACAACTCAAATGCAAAATATCCTGTGGGGAAAAAAAACAAACTTGAATTGGTAAAATAAACCAAGATGTTATTTGAGGCTTTCTGCACAAGGTCAGGGTGAACAAATTTGGCTTGATGCATTTACACATGCACCTTGAAAGTGTTAAGAAGTGTATCAAGGGTGCAGTGCATGTGTAGAAGGGGCTTCAGTGAATCATGGGTGACCTGGCATTCGTCCTCACCATCAATATTTAACTGTTTTCTTACTCTTGAGCAAGGCACTTAAATCTAATCCCTGTAGTGCAGCTGTCGGTTGAGAAGCCTGTGGTTGTGTTGAGCTGTATTTAAAAGTTTATGTTTCAAAGGCCACAAAACAACCACAGCCCAGAGGACTGCATCGGCCTTTCATTCCGTCTCCTCTGAACCGGAGTCGAGGAGAGCAGGGAAGAGGTTGCGTGGCACAGTGAAAGCAGCCGCGCGCAGCTAAAAAAAGGTGAAGATGGCTGGAAATGTTTCATGTGGCAGATGGCAGAGGCAGGCACACAGTCGTAATGATTGAGTAAGCCACAGTCTCTCTTAACTTCCTTTTGCTCCCTGATCTTCTCCTGTATTATTTACCAGCCCTCCAGCTCTCTCCACTTTCTCTGCTCTACTTGAGAATTGAGTGTCCCCTCCGTGCACCTGTTTGTAGCGGAATACTTGACTTCAGTCTCCTCCCTGCTGTATTCTCAGCCGTCTCTTTCAGGGACTAAAATTGACCCATCTAAGCTTTTTAGAGCTTTCAATAAGGGAGATTTTTTCTATCTTTGTTGTTTGAAAGCTTTTATTAAAAGGATGATTTGCTCATGCTTTCTCAATCTCTGATTTGTTAACTGCTGCAAAACTTCAGTAAGATTTGCCAGAATTTGTTGAATTCAAGGAACTTCATCGCTGGGATTGTATAATAGATTAGCTGCCACGAAAGCACAGATGTGAATGTCTTAAGTGTGGAGATGGAACAGAGAAGCTCACTTTTACAAGCACTCATTAAAGACAGCCTGATGAAAATCATGTTTTTCCTGTTTTTACATGTTCATATGGCTCTTTTCTGATGCTACAGGACGTATGAGAAAGATAAGTGCAAAATTGCATTTTTAAGTATTTCCTGCATTCAAATCATTGTGAATCTCTGGCAGACCCAAACGGCAGGTTCAGACACAGCGAGATTTCCTTCGTAGTAAATCCAAGCTCCGCCTCTGGAGCCCCGCTATGCAAGCCAGGCTCGGAGAAATAGAGAGGACGATCACGGAACAAGCGTGTGCGGTCGCAGATTGCAATGCTCATAAGAAAGCTACTCATGATATTAACTTTCATCGTATCCCTAAAGACATTTGTGTCTGAGAGCTGAATAGCTCTGATGTTACCTGCTACTTCTACTACACCAGCAGTGTTAGGCTACAAGCTGACATGAAGAGAAGTGTGCAGAGCAGAGCTGTCTCTGCCCATGACTCAGAGAAGAATTGCTAATGAGCTACTGGAGCTCTGCAGAAGAAAAGCACTCGCAAATGACACGTGTAATGCGAATTTGGCTAATAACTTCATAATCACAATTTAAAGACCACTGAGAACTCTTAAAGTAGTTAAAAAAAAAAAAGGGAGTGGATCTTTAAGTTAAATGTAAACAGTGTATATCCTGTAAGATGTTGATGAAGAATGAATCTAATTCTAAGCTGTTAAAGAACTGCTGAGACAGAGTTCACAGCTTATATTATGTTTAAAAAATACTTGTTCAAAAACTCACGATCTAAACGTATAAGTTGTTTTAAAGTCAAGATTATTGGTATAATGGGATTTTATCTGCGTAAGCAAAGGCTCCACTTCTTGGTGTCATCTGTTGAAAGTGCAGCATGGTGAAACAACAGTTGTGTTACACTGTGTACTTTTTTAGTCTTTCATTAATAAGCAACAGATGACACTATCTACCAACTGCAACATTTGACATTTGTGCTGGTGAGCAAGATGGTGAGTGTTGGCAGGACAAAGCGAGAGAAGCAAAGGAAAGAAAAAGAAATACTTTGTTCATCACTGAAGGGGAATTCAATTTTCAGGCTCTGTTATTGGACATTATTCACACGCGCACACACACATACACGCACAAGCAGGCGATTACACACATGAACCAATGAGGAGATATTAGAGTGAGGGGGCCGCACACTGACAGGCACCTCAAGCATTTCAGGGATTCAGTGCCTTGTTTTAGGACGCCGAGGTAGTTTGTTTGACGTAAGGTAGCACCTTTTTAGCTTCCAGCCCTTCACTTTTTTCCATGCCAGCATTTAAACTAGATTGGTGACCCCCTCCATTCCTTCCCACAAGTGAAATTGTTACCCATAGAAAGTTGAGGCGATAATAGGGCTCTATGCGAAACACTGACAAAATTACCTAATTCAACAGTGAAAGTGGAACCAAGACATGGAAAATTGTGGAATTTGCTGAAATGTGGGTGTGATTAACCAAATGAAATTCAGCTTCTTCCCTGAATTAGATATAACAGTGCCTCAGACCCACTAAACCTGTGGGTTTGGGTAGGAGATGGAGGCACTTTTTGTTCACTGACATTTTCACATGAGGTACTTTATTGTAAAAACAAGAAAGGAGTTAAATATTTTGTTGTTGTTTTGGAAGATTTTAAATTGGGATAGGCCAATAAATGTATTTATAAAAGGGCAAACCATGTCTGCAGACACTACAGGTAGGCTCATCAGCGTAGCTACTGTCAAGCTAAGTCCTTTCAAATTAGAACGTATTAAATGACAGCAAAACAAATCCAACAGTAGCCAAGTACTCCAATTTATAGAATAACAGAGTTTGATATTGCAAGTTTAATAAATATGTCATGTTCTGAAGTTTGTAGTATAGCCTGACATAAAAGTAAAGCAGACTGTGTAAAAAATGAAAACCAATTCCAGGGCCCTGGATTATACTGAAGCATAGTGACACAGATATGTCTATTTTTTTTTTTTAATTTCTTTAAACCTCTTTCATGCATCCACAAGCTTTTTTTTCAGTCAGCACACTGTAACTGCATATATGAGTAATGTAGGAAATGCAGATTCATGGACACACTGTCAAACCCACTGTCCCGAAACACAGCAGTGCTGCCACACAAAGAAGGTTCGGGTTGTAAATATATGGGGTTTACTCCAGGCAGGGTCTCATTTTGGATGTCAGTTTTATTGTATGCAGTTTAGTGACCTGATGGTATCAGGATGAAACTGAATGTCCTTTTGTACCAACTGATTTTGCTGGTAGTTGTGTAGTTTAGTGTTCAGTGTGGTTCTTGCATTTTGTAGAGGTTGTGTAGTACGGCAGTCTTTCCTCGTCCCTGCACAGTGTTCACACTGTCTGTCTGAGTCCTGTGATCAGTAGAGCATGTGGAGGCTCAGTAAGGACTGCCTGCTGTGGAGGGGGACGGCTCATCCAGATGAAAAGGACATGAGGACACTGAGGCTTATTAAATGTCTGGTGATATGGCTTCAATCTCAGGGCACATATCTCGCTGTGTTTGCTCTAATTGAAGCCCACTTCCTGGTTTTTCTCACTCACACAAATAAGGAGAGAGAGAGAGAGAGAGAGGTCAACACAAAGGACGGTTCACTTTGATGTGCTCCCCCGCATCTTTAAAATCCAGCACTGCTGCATTGGATAGCTTATGTATTGTCGCTTTATTGTGCTCAGTACAGCCTCCAGGGTTGGCAAGACTCTGTCTCTGCTGCTCTATTAAAAATCAAGAGGTTGTTGTATTTATTGAAAAATCCCTCTGCTATGTTTGGACTGATTTTCAGATCTGCTCCTTCCATTCATCTGTCAGCATCTCAGACTCAGAGTTCGCTGTGATTAAATGAAGACAAAGTCATGCCAGAGCTGTTTTTTCAGTGTTGTCTGTGTTTTCTTTATCTGTTCCTCATTGACTTCATATAAGAATTGGACATAGCCAGTAAAGGCATGTGCTTATCTTGTAATTTTTCAAACAGGAGCTAGGGTCAACTTGATGAATTACAGGAATCTGTTTATGTGGAAGAAGATAGAAATGATAGAATGTCAGTTAGTATTTTCATAGTGAGTTTATGATCTTAACAGCTGGTTTCATTTCTTCTGTTAGTTGTTATAAACCATTGTAGCGAGCTATACCAAACCAAATGTCATTTGTTCAGTTCACATTGCCATTCCAAGTATGGAGATATATCATCACTGTGATACGTGATATCGAACAGATTCACAAATTTTGACAATGACAATAGAATTACCTTCAAAATGAGTGATATAAGAGCATTGGCTGATATGTGGGTGTGGTTAAATAACATCTTGTTTTTTTTTACCAATTCAAGTTTGTTTGTTTTTTGTTTTCCCCCACAGGTTATTTTGCATTTAAGTTGTCCAAATTTGTTCATCTACCACATGATTCAACACATTTTAGGTGAAATTACATCATAAAACAGAATTCAGGTGTACTGAAATGTAAAACACAATCTAGAAAAATGAAAGCTTGCTTTCATTGATTGGATCCTGTACTGGTGATATTACGGTGACTCCATTTAGGGCTGGGCAATATGGCCTCAAATCAATACCACAATATATTGAGCAGTTCACCTCGATAATGATAAATGGACGATAACTGCTCCACAAGCTGCTCACCCCCTCCCACATTAACTTAGTCTACTTTAGCTGCTACAACTTTTGAACCGTCTTCCATCTCCTCACCTGTCTTTCCTTTTTTGTTATGGACTGATGGGGTGGAGTCACATCTCTGATGTAGGACAGCGTCTTAAAGGGACATGAAACCATAGCCTACCTACACACATCCAAACCAACTTTTATTTATTCATTTTTCTGACACTGAACATACTGATATGGGCAAATGGGTAAATTTTCTGTTAATCGCCCAGCCCTAGCTCCATCTACTCCTAAAAGAGAGCATAAGAAGTTAGACTGGCACCTTAACATAGTTTAGAAAGAACGAGCTTCTTTTAATCAGACTCTGTCTTCCATACAAAGCTCAACACTGTTAATAGAAGTCAAATCTTGAGGTATGAATTGCCCAGAAGCTTAATGTCTGCAGTATGATACAGTGACAGAGCAGGAATATAAATTATGTTGAATATAAAGCATTAGGATTGATATTAACCTGTTGTATTACTCTCTTTGCACAGGTCTGAATTTGCATGTTTCACAGCCCTGTCGTATTTACTCTCTGTTTGTCATTAACAGTACCTAAATCCTCTGAGTGGTCGTGCTCGGGCTGTTGCAGACATGCCTGCTGTCAAATAGTTTACATATAGGGAAATGTGATGCAGCCACGAGTCATTTGTTGTTGACAGTTTCATGCTGTCCACTCTGCAGAGCCTGCAGCACTGTGAGTGTTTTTGTCAGCGTGTATAGTGTATTTGCATAGTACCCAGCAGGTCACATTTACATATGCCAGGAAGCTCTGACATGAAAAGAGTATGTACAGAGAGTCAAAGTAATGACCATAACTGAAGTATGTTTGTGACACCGCCTCTTAAACTCCTCTAAAAACATCACAGCTGGGAATAGACCGTCTATCTTTAACCTCTGTGAGGTTATAAATGTAGATTATTTCTGATTATTTGTACAGGGAAGTGTATCTGGTGGTCCAGGTCTGTTTGTGTCCGCTCAGCTGCTGCCAAACAGTCTGATCAAACAGGAAGGCAGTCATTCAGTCAGTGCTGTGTATGAGAAGATGTTTATCTGTCTATTTCAAATCAGGCAGCCATAAAAACCACACAAAGTAGGCCAGACACCTGAATTTGACCCGACTGCCCCACTTTGTCAGATAGATACTCTCCCTAACAGCTGCAGATCTGTGAAAAAGAAATGAAGTATGGTTAGGAATTAAAACTAGATCTACATGTATCCTCCGTAACTACCTCATGGTTAAACATGTAGTAGCTGCAGTCTGAATCCTTCGCAGCTTTGCTCTCCACTTTCTTCTGAACCGTGCTCTGCTGTCTCCTCTGCATAAGTTCATGTGAGTAGGAGAAGGCTAAAGAAAACTTTCAGCAAAACACAAGTATTGATTTGAATCCTGAGGGTTGAGTTCTTCCAATGTAGAAAAGCAGATGATTCAGATGGGAAAAGAACTGCAGTCTTAAAGAGCTAACATACCGCTGTATTATCCTAGATGTAAAAACATGCAGTGCTATGTGTGCTGCTTTTGTTTGGCTAAACTTGACTAACCACTCCTTGAATTTGATGGGAATGTTGTTTAGTGTCTATAAGGCTGTCTTTTGTTGAGTGTGATTGGGGCTGATGTTTTAATGCTGGCTCAGTAAATTGAATTTCCCCATGGTAGCATTAAAAAACATTCGGTGTTAAACAGATGTAGTGGATGTCAGAGCTACACTAAATTATCACCCAAGTTTAAGTCAATGTTTATTACCCCTCGAAGGCGCTGTGCGAGGCGGGCTGTAATCTGTGTGTGTCCTCAGGCTTGCTTGGACGAGTCCCCCTGCTTACATAACCCGAGGCTTTGCTGCAGAAGTTTTAGAGACTGATATCAGTAGTCTGAGTTTAACACCAGCCCAGCCTCTTGTGGTTTCTGCTCAGACTTTTATTTGTCCAAAGAAAGCTGACGGAGCAACAATCAGTGAAACATTCTCTCACAGTCGCTCGCTCGTTCGCTCATGGTCGGTGTCCAGCACAAACAGCATTGTGATCATTTGGTTCAGTGTCAGCTAATAATCGTGAGCTAAATGTCCTAAATTGTAATGAGCTATTCAAGAAAAGGCTTCTAACTCCTTCACAAGACAAATCTGCTCATTTGAAAAGGATCTAAGTGACAGATTTGTGCAATTGTAAGATGGCGTTATGGGCTTTTTCATGTAAATGAGCTCAGTTTCATGGCAGTGTGATTGTGAATGAGGGAATCTGCTACTCTATCATCATCCTCTCCACTATCACTGGTACAAGTCAGTCTCACATCAGCTGTCAGAGCAGCTTTAATGTCTGCTGTGATTTGTTACATTTAAAATTAAGTCTAAATTGCAACAAATTAGTTCTGCTTTATGCAGGGAGAAGCAATCTGCATAATGAGATGTGATCAAAGTCTGCTGTAAAAGAATCAGATATGACAAGCAGAATGTAAAAATAAAAGAGACAAACTTCTATATGCTTTCGGCAGGAAACATATTTTAAAGTTGTTATGAGACAATCTTTATCCAAAGCTTTTAAAACAAAGTGAGGCAGCATTAGTTTTTTTTTAACTCTGAAATAGGGCTGGGCGATAAACTGAAAATTTTCCAAGACCAAAATTTACGACTATAACAGATGTCATTTTGTCCATGTCAATAAATTCAGTGTAGTTAGGCTATGGCCACACTATCTTGTGACTCATCCCCATCCAGTCCTTTACAAAGAGGGAAAGACAGGAGAGGAAATGAAGGACGGTTCAAAAGCCGTAGCGGCCGTAGCGGCCGTAGCGGCCGTAGCGGCGGCTGAAGTAGACAAAGTTAATGTGAAAGGGGATGAGCAGCTTGTGGAGTAGTTATCGTCCATTTATCGTTATCGAGGTGAACTGCTCAATATATCGTGATATTGATTTGAGGCCATATTACCCAGCCCTAGTATCTGTTATCTAAAGCTTAACTTTTAAAACAAAGCGAGGCAGCGTTAAGGATTTTTTTCACTAATATGTGATGATGGGACTGTGGCTGTCACAGTGAAGGTAGAGGAGAGTCCTTCGCAGTGATGATGAGTTTTCCAACATCTTTGAGAAGACTCGTCTTCAACAAGGCCAGCATGGCTCCGAGCAAAGACCTAGATTTGCCACAGGATGTTTTTCACTGACATGCTTTGTGTGCAACAGAGCAGTATAGCTTCAGGACGTTGGCGCAGCACGGAAAGAAAAGTGAACATCGCTCTGGAACTATAATGAACAGATTTGTCTCGGAGGCAGAGGGCAGTGAAATATTAATGCGCTGAAACTACCAAACAGATATAAAGTAGATGGTAGATGAGCAGCAGGGCCCCACATTCACGCTGCTATGGCTTTCTTTATTAAAGCAGTGCTTTTGCAGAAAACTGCAGCTGTAGCTTTGTGGCGCGCAGACTTTCACAGGCAGAGAGAGTAAAACACAATTCTAGTTATTATTAAAGTAACACAAGACACAAACAGTAATAATTTCACAGTCATCTGGCAGAGCAGGCAGTGATGTAACAGCAGGCTTTGATTTAGCACATCCCAGTGTGTTGCCATGACACTGTCATCAGCAGCTCCTGTTGCACACAAGACAGAAATAAGAAGCAGGCAGAGGAGGAGGAAGTGATTAACACTTGTGTTGGGCGCATCTGTTGGCTGCACCGCGCTTGAATGCTAAATGCATACTTTGATATGTGACCTTTACACATAAACAGCCGCATAGTTTTAACGCTAAATATTCAAGTCTTGGTGCCAGGCACTCAGCTGTGATCATGGTGGGAATACAAATTATTAAACTGGGTTTGGACCAATAAAAATGTTGCATAAATATGTAAGGTTCCCAATGCATGTGTAGCTGCTGTGTGCTTCCAGATGAGAAAAAAAAAAGATTAAAAAAAAATCACAGGGCAGTCAGAGTAGTTGATTGTAGCTCTGATCAGATCAGCATTATCCAATTCATGCAGGCACGCACATCAGGTACAATACCTTGCATCATACAGCATCACTCATCCGCTGCTGATATGTATATTAAACATTAAGACAAGAGGACAAGTCATCTCTTTAAATAGTATTAGTTGCATTTATATCACTTCTCAAAAAACTGAACTAAATTGGTTTTGAAATCAAATTCTTTCAAACATTTTAATCATGTATTTTACTCAAATCGAATATGATGCGTTAGAGTCTTGATTGCATAATCTCCTTTAGGGTCAGAGCTGTGTAGTTTTTATATGCTAACTAAGGTTTGTTGTTTTTCTGAGTATTTATTAATGTAATATGACTGTTTGCATTAAGCATGTGACCCCCCTTAATCCTTAATATTTCAGATATTTCCAAACTCCTATTTTATGACTGCTTTTTCATTACTTAGCTCATGAAACGTAACTTGCATGGAGTTGTTCTGGGGTTATAAGACAGATGTGCAATGTGGGAAGGGAAATTTCACAACAGAGGCATGACTTGAAGGATTAAATTGTGATTTTATTTATTACTGTAACAATCAACTGCAATATTTATTGATTGATTGCAACACCTTTGTACAAGTTGTTTCCATTGTGTCCTGAACTCTAATGAACTTGGAACTGGACTTCCTGACTTAAACTTTGTCTTCTTCCTGGTAGCAACACACCCAAACATATGTATCCCCCTGACTCTTGGGAGGCATAGCCATTGTGTGTCTGGAGACAGACCTAAGCTTTGACCTTGCTATGCATTCAGCAAGAGGGATATTATACAAGCTTATTTCATGGCCATGTCAAGTACCTGTGTCTGATTGGTCAATACTCCATAACAGCGGTCTGTTATTTCTTAATAGCAGACTGTTATCATACAGAAAGCACTGTTGCCAGGAATGTCGTTCTGGTCACTGACTCCAGAAGTAATCACATCAATGTACAGGAAGGAAGTCAGGCTGATTTGATGTGAGATTGTATATGTCAGAGGAAAAGAACAGAGACTAACGCAGCAAAGAAAACCTCAGGAGAGTTAAAGCCACATAAAAAAATGAAGTAGAGGCTGTGGAAGAGAAAACTACAAAATAGCACATTAACACCTAAGGAAGACTGAAGGGTGATAGAGAGTTGTTTTTAGACTCTAAGTGGAAGAGACAATGTCACAGACTGATAGTGACAAGACAGACAAACTCAATCAGGAGCTGTGCTGTTTCGTGTGGACCTGTCCACCTGGATCCACATCACCACCAGTTGAAATTGGGATGGGAATTGATCGTCGTTTCTGCTTATTAAACTAAGTCTTTATCAGTTCCTGGGGATGTTCTGCGTGGGAAAAAAATGGACCTGAAAAGTTTGTCTTTATCAACGACACAAATTTTACTCAGTTTGTTAAACTACACTGGCCTGCTAAGATGTGAAGCCTAGCTTCTGATCAGAGCTTTAAACACCTGGGAGAGTTTTTCGGCCTCCATCATGTGGTGTATCACACAACATTCATTCTTAGTCTGAGTTTTGAAGCGTCTTCCTCTCAGTCAAACTAAAGAAAGTGTTTGTATGCTTTAGTCTTCAGTCTATAGTAGGGAACTAAGATGAAGATGCCCTGGCCTTCACTGAGGGACACTTGACTGACTTAAAGAGAGCGATGTAAGGAGTGTGATGCTGAAGCTCTTGAATGCTCGAAGGCATTCCTCAGCACTGCAGAGAGATAAGAATAGCCCTCACTCCTCTCTCCTCCATTGGTGAGCTAGCTGTGGCTGTGGGTTGGTGAAGTGAGCTGCTCTGATCCAGCAGCACCGCTCCAGATGTACAGAGCAGCAAAGGGAGAGGAGCGGGTGCCCTCTGGGTGCAGCCGAGCGGCCTGGCCTTGAATATATTTGGCTCTGTCAGTTTGCATACAGATCTGCACCGGTCTGCAATTAGACTGCTTCCTGTTTCTACACAGGATGAAGCGGTGTGGTGTGGTGAGGCAGGGTCAGGGATCTCAAAGATCATGCTGGGCAGTAGGCAGGCCCTCTGGAGGAGTTGCATCATTTCATGGCACTAAAATAACGCTGTTTCCCAGTTACTTTGGATTTGCAAAACAACTGACTTGCGTTGCTTCTTCCCTTTTAAATAGAAGTGAAAGCTCTCCGCCTCAGACATTCATGGGAAATCACAGGGAAAGAGCACATTTAGGTGAACATTTGAGCTTGAACTTGTATTCTTGTCCTCAGTGGTGCTTTGTTGACTGTTTGTCAAGCCGTCCTGATGTTCCTGAGTTTACAGTCGCAGGATGCCGTGATCAGATCACCCACACTGACACCGGCCAGCTCCAGCCCCTCCCTGTTTCATACAAAGCACTGGAAAATATGCGTCAGCTACTTCCTCCTTCTCCCTCCCTGTTTCAACTTCCTGTTCTGTGGGCTGGTCGGAAGTGAGATGCTTTGAATGGAGGCTACTGCGGGAGGAATAATGCAGACACTGTTGAGCTATTGTTGCATTGATTGTGCTCGCGCTGGTTAAAGCAATGAAGGATCAGGGTTAAAAGAATGTGAAAGAATTTTTTAGGGATTTTTGGCAAGAAAAGTGAGAAAGTCACTCACACTTGCACTTTATTGGTGAAGAACAGACAGCGTACACATGTGAGATTATTCTGAACAAAGAGCTCAAAATACATTTTCTCAGCCACAAGCCAGCACCCCGCAATCTCTCACCAACCTTCAGCCACACTCTGATACACATCAGCTGTTCAGTCAGACTGTGTTTGTACTTTAACTGAAATGCAACACAAAGCTCTTCACATAATCTGTATGTATCTGTGTGTTATGAATAAGAAAGCTTGATAAAAACAGGAACCAACAACGTGAGGAAACGTTAATAATGAATTCATAATTAGAAACCACAGATGGAGGGATGGATGTTTAAATAGCAGAACAAGATAAGAATAAAATTTCTGATTAAATGAGATTCAGAAATCATCAGTATCTGTAAGCAAATAAATTCACATACTGTACTAAAAACAAAACCACCCGCATGAATCAGGTGGCTTTATATACAAGAGCGAGATGGTTGTAGTGTTTAGAGTATTGACAGAGGATTTGGATATGCCTGCAACGTTGTGATAAATTATACATGAGTAAAGAGGATGAATTCATATAATAACAATAAATAATACATGACATTTCATCGTCTTCATTTTTTTATATGTCTGCTGCAGTTCTGCTTTGGTTTTTTCCACATGAACTCCTCCTGACTTTGTCTGAGTTCAGGGTTCATCAAAGTGACAGCCTGAGTGAAGGAACTGTTCCTGCGTCTGATTGTTGTGGAGTTCAGAGCGCCATAATAAGTCAGTGGAGTCAGTTAACCAGTTACCTTCACAAAAAACAGTTGTGACATGCGGATGGGTGTCATCTAGCCAATCCGAGAGTGTTCCCAAAGGGAAAGACACACTAGTGCTGGAGCGAAACTAGTCTGGTTTTTAAAGCTCCAGTGAGGATTTTTTTTTTTTTCTTTTGGATCGATGCAGTCTTTCTTACCTTCAAAAACCTCATCCTCCTGACTTTTGACAGTCAAATAAACATTCATGGTGTGTATTTTATGTGGAAATTATAGAAATGTGTCTGTTTCTTCAGCTGCTTTACTGACACCCAGCCTTTGCACTGGTGTTGGTTGTTAAAAATGACATTGTAGAAACAGTCTGTCTTGTTGATGATGGTCCTGTTTGTTTTTTTAGAGAATTAAAAAACATCAAAATGAATTTCAGTGTATTTCAATAAGGCCGAAAAACTTCTCACAGGAGCTTTAATTAGTGAATTTTATCGACCGTCTGTAAACTAAAGACTGATAGATTATCTACTAAGTGCCTCTGCCTTGGCGGTTAATCAGTTTCCTCCCAGTTTGCTCCTCTAACTATTGACTTTCTTCTTTCCATGGCTTTCTCGGCACACAGAATTCACTGACTTTTTGAAGTGCAAACTGAGAAAGTCCATTCACAGTATCTTTCTCCAGCTTCCATCTCCCTCCACCCCCGCCACCCTCACTCTCTTTTCACTATCTTTTTTTCCTCTCTCTTTCCTCTGCAGCTCTCTTCACTGTCACTGTGTCAAGGTCACCTTTATATCTGTAGTTGGCTGCAATCACAAAATGCTCAGAAGACTTGGCTAAAAGAAAACGGCTGCCCTCCACTCTTATCGTTTGAGAGGTTAAAGAATTTCTATCCAGTCCATCTTGTATTACTAGAAAACAGAAAACATGTCCGCCAACTGTGCTTTTTTGGTGTTCATTCCAGCATCTGACTTTATTGTTGAAAGAATAAGAATAAAAAACTTGGGAGATCAGTCAGTGGATGAAGACCAAACCTCGGGAAACATCGCACATACTGTACATCTGAGTTGAGTGTGCAGCAGAAACCTTTTGTCAGCATAAGTATGAATACTGTGTCCTTTGAAAGGGAATTAAAAACATATTGATTTTTCCCACCGTTTGTTGTGCCAAAACTTGGATATGGATTTTTGCTGCCAGAGATGTATCGTTTATGATCAGCATTGTTGAGCAAACATTAAAAAGTCAACCCATCTATGAATGTATCTCAGATTCAACCCCTAAAATCAAAACTCATCCAAACTAATTTTCTGTCTTTTCTGTTGCAGCTCTGATGGTACTAGCTGAACAGTGACCGCTTCCTGCCTGAGGACACCTGCTGCCCACTTCCCTTCACCATGTCTGGGATGCATGTAAGTGATGCTCGTGTCGCTTTGTGGATGAATTATTTCAAATTTACCAGCCTGATTTAAAAAGGGCACAGCTTTTCCTTCTATATAGGTACACTTCGAGTGCTCAGGACAGCTACCATCAAGGGCTGCATGATTTTGGCCCAATTTTTTTCTCAGAAAACTCGATTTTCACCAAACTTCACTTTAATAAGTTTTTCTATCACCTCTCAAAACGAAACCACTGAAACGATGTAGTGCATATGCCAAGCCAGTAGGTTGCGCTGTAATGCTGCACAGGAAATGCACAGAAGACAGAAGACAGAAGAAGAGCACAGAGCATGTTTAGAAAGGTGTTTTGGCCGGACACACGCAGGCGCCATAAAAGAGTTATGCTGTGTGTGACATAATCGTTTTGAGAGATGCAGATAGGTGTCCAAACGAAGATTAAATTGTAGTCGTTTAAGGATTTATGCACTCTCTGACCCATTTTCAAAGAGTACAGTTTATAGTCACCCGAAACACTGTTTCTGTGTGGATGAAACGCAGATACACCAAAAAACTTTAGCGTTTACTCTTGAATTAGCTTCCATGTGGACGGGTTGTTACCCCCGTCAGAAAGACTGCAGGGAGTGGTTTGCTCTTCGCCCGAAACTGCGAAGCCGTACCAATTCCGTATGACTGACTTGCTCTTGCCCTATTTAGCCACGAATTATCGCCCTCTTCTATAAACGCCATATTTGTTTACATTGGTGTGTGTGTGGGAACAGGGGAGCGCTCCTGCAAGAAGTGGGAGCCTACGGTGACGATTTGACGATTTAAATTTTTTTAACATCGTCAAAATCAAATAATCTGATTACAATTTAAAATCAATAAATTGTGCAGCCCTACTACCATCTATTTATCCCCTTGTTATTTATCTGGAACAATTGCATGTACTCTGTAATTGGATAGCTCTCACTGAAAGGAACAATAGACTGAACATTGTTTTACATTTTGTTACCAACGAGTTCCACTTCTTGTACCTCTAGTTCTGATGCCACTACTCTGTTTATTCACCAGCATATTTATAAAAGATTTGTGGTACATGGTTGTTCCCATGCAGAAAGATTAATCATATGAGGAAACTGCCAACCATAGTCATTTATGTTTCTGCAGAATGAGGCAGTAATGCCATCTAACAGGTTTCTGATCTATTATTTTCCATGCTTGTTTATGTAATGACTTGAAGGGTGAGATTGTTGTTTGTCTGGCCCGGCTCCAAGCAGGTGTACTGTAAGATAAGTGGGACAACATGATAGTACGAATAAACCGCTGTCCTTCATATATGGTTCAGTTCAAATATACAGTTTTGCACAGTCTCTTTACAAGTTCAGTGATTGAAGTTAGGAATCTATTTTTCTTTCGTTGAGAGATTCTTCGTTTGTCCTCAGTACTCTTTTAAAGAGTAGTAGACTGTCAAGATGCTTTTGATTCATTGTTTGATATCATCAAACAAACTCTGCTGTGGTCCGTGTCTCACTCTGTTGTACAGAGTTATTTCTACTTAATAAAATCCTCACATGCTTAGGTTACCAACCCCGATCAAAAACAATAGTGTTTATCCAGCTCAATGTTGTGTTTAGGTTTTTCATAACAACAAGGGCATTAGGTATATAAGTCCTAAAAGTGTCCTATTCATAAAATTGATAGGTGAATAATAATATTATCTTCATAACTCTTTCATTCAAAATCTCTACACGTCCTCAGGTTCGACATTCCTCCTGGATTTTAATATTATCAGGCACCAGCTGTCAAAATGTATTACTGCTGTTTGATATGAACCATACAGTTCTCGCTCTAGTCAAGATAAAAACAAGCCTGTGCCAAATTTTTCCTTGATCTGCTGAAGGTTTTTGACATCATTGATCACCATATTCTGGCTTTTTTAAATTCTGTATCAAACATCAGGAACGAACCTTGAAGCGCTCTGTAATTACTTCATTGTTTGTTCCTGCTTTCGGATGTCGCCTGTAACCCTTTTAAAAACCGAAACACTCAATTTACTACAAAGATGCACTTCATGCCTGACATGCTGGGAGCTGCTGTCTCTCTCTTGACTCCTTCAGAGTTAAACTTAATAGTTAATAACCAACTTTTTTATGTTTATAGATCAGCCTTTTGTGCTTATTTTTTCATTTCTTTCTCTGGGTTTATGAAAAGGCATTGTGTTTAGAAAAATACTGTCATTACAGTTTAAGTCTGACACTGTTTTGAAAAACCTTGTTCTGTAAAGCTAGCATAATAAGATAAAATAAAAAATCTTTGCTTTGGAGTAACTAAGGGCATAAAAACATGGATACATTTTTTTGCCTGTTCGTTAGGGCTGGGTGATATGGCCTCAAATCAATATCACGATATATTGAGCAGTTCAACTCGATAACAATAAATGGACGATAATTACTCCACAAGCTGCCCACCCCCTCCCACATTAACATAGTCTACTTCAGCCACTGCTCCAGCCTCTACAACTTCTGAACTGAAGGAACATGAGACCATAGCCTACCTACACACATCCAAAACCAGCTTTTAGTTATTTATTCATTTTTTGACACAGAATATATCGATATGGGCAAAATGACATCGGTTGCTGACGTAAATTTTGGTCAGTATCGCCCAGCCCTATTGTTCATCCTATTTAAGGTTTTTTGCATCTATATCTTACTTTAACCAAAGTTTTGCCAACAGTTGACCTGATAACACCTATCATTGCCTTTTAGGACAAAGTAGAAGAGAGAAACAAAATAATCATATACCCTAATATTCATCTTATAAGACACACCTGAATGCAGAAATCTGAATGCAGACTGTCAATAGCTTATAGCAGTGGTTCTCAAGTCAAGTCCTTGAGGCCCACTGTCCTGCATGTTTTGGATGTTTCCCTGCTCCAACACACCTGATTCAAATTATCAGCTCGTTATCAAGCTCTGGCTTAATAACAAGCTCATCATTTGAATCAGGTGTGTTGGAGCAGGGAAACATCCAAAACATGCAGGACAGTGGGCCTCAAGGACTTGACTTGAGAACCACTGCTATAAGCTATTGACAGTCTGCATTCAGATTTCTCTCTGTTTATCTTGGGGGTGGGCAATCATGTGACATGGAGGGCCAAGAGGCTGCAGGTTTTCTTTCCAACCCAAAACTCCACCAGGTGATTTCACTGATTACCTTACCTCCAAGCAGAGAGCAGGGACTAATCAGTGAAATCACCTGGTGGAGTTTTGGGTTGGGAAGAAAACCTGCAGTCTCTCGGCCCTCCATGGCACATGATTGCCCACCCCTCTGATCTGAGCTTAATACTGTCTGTGAATTAGTCTGTGTATTTTCACTGAGACTACCCCACTAAAAAGGGGTTTCCAAACACGCACACACTCACAAATATGAGCCTGAATGAGCTCACAGCAGGGGGGGTTGAGCCCACGGAGGTGCTGAAATACACCCATATCTGTAGTGATGTATTATTGTACAGCGCTGTGTGTGCACACATCCATCAAGGTATCCACTGGTTTCATATAACGGTGCTGTCTCAGTGCTTTAAGTAATGTTTCTCAAATGCAAGCTTCAGAGGAGCATCGCTTTCTCTGCTGCAGTGTAACCTGCCTGCACATGTCCGTATTGATCGGGGGGTTTTTATCTGTCATGTGACGCTGCTTCATTTCAGGCATATACATTCTTTAGTTGATGTTACCTTTCACTGATTTTAAAATACAAGAGGAAGGATCAGATTAAAAAATAAAATGTGTTACATAATGTAACTGTTTCAAGCAGAATATGTTTTTCCTACTCCTGAACTAGTTCATGTTATATTCAGTGACCTGTGTGTTTTTGTTCTTCTCTAAAGGTTGCTGACGGTTTTTGTTTTTTAGGGTGAATCCAGGAGGAAACTAACAATTCATGTTGTAATACTGCAGTCAATACCCATATCAGATTAAGAAGATGTCTAAGCCCAGAGACCCCCTGACAGCACTGTCTGTGGTTTACAGCATCATAAATGCATTATGGATCAGTGGGCTCCTGGCTTTAGATTGATTATATTTCTACTACAGTACAGTATGTTTCTGTAGGTCTAGAGGTCACATAATGTTCTCAATGCAGAGTATTTTCTTGAGCCGTTGTGTGAACTATTGGTAATTCTACAAACCTCAGACCAAAAGGTCAAAGCTTCTGTAAGTGCATCCATCAGCAGCCAGCCATCTGCTGAGAAAAAAAACAAACACTTGAGCTAGAAAATACAATAAACCACCAACCTGACCTACAGGTCGCTCAGGAGTCTGATGTCAAGCTACATAAGTCAATTCCTCTGTTGACCTCATATATTTGAGCATGCCAGGGTAAAACCTTTCCATGAATATTAAATTCAGACCTTTTTAGTTTCCAGATCTCAGCAAAGCAGGATAATTATTGACACCGTCACAAACAGGGAGGCCTCATTTGGCTGTATAATGTTGAAAAGCATGTTCAGGCTCAGTGGTTTGCTTTTGTTTTGCAGCAGGCTAAATTGACTGAAAATCCTTGAGGAAATGTTCTTAAAAAATACCTCCTATCTGGAATAAATGAAACCAATTTCCGTAGGTAGTATCCTGTGGTTCAAGTGACCAAATGAGAATTAATAACACTGGAGCAGCGAGGTTTTTCTATATCCACGTTTCCTGAAGTCACCCCAGGTCCAAACTCATTTTGTGTTATTGACTGAGACTGCTGCAGACACCATTCAATAGGACTGTGTGATGTGAGGAATAAAGCAGCTTCAACAAGGACCTCCTCGCTCGCTCGCTTGCTCACTCACACCTGCTGCTTTGTACTCCTGCTTTCTTCTTCCCTGTCCATTGTACTGAGTTGTATTGTCGTCTGTTTTTGATCACTGTGCTGCTCAGATCTAACCGTAAAGGCATAAAGCATCTTTATACCGGCTGCATTTTACATTTGTATAAAGCATGAGGAGCTGCACATCTAAACCCTGTCAGAGTGACTGGCAAAGTGTGCAACCTGCCTTATACAGTGAAGCCATGATACCACACATTATACCACCTTAACATTTGCCCCATTGAACATTTGTTTCAGAACAAAGAATAAGGAGCCAGAGTTTGTCAACCCAGCAGTCAGCTCCACAGTTATCTTTGACATACTCTTCTTTCAGCCAGTTTATTCAAGTAGAAAGATGAAACTGCCAGATACTTTCATTAAAGAATGTGATCAACATATTCACCTGTCCTGCTATAAGTTCATCTGCTGCATCAAAACTCTGTCTGGTGTCTCCTTTGTCCAAGCTAACATTCCTGTGAATGTTTTTACAGCATAGAAATAAATAACATATTTTTACTTTTAAAAAAACATTAAAAACTCACAGAGATGTTTTTTGCTTTGTTTAATTTTTTGGAGCAGATTTTAACACGGCTCAGTGCTGAGGTAGCTGACTCCAAGTCCTTAATAACCTGGGGTCAGAATCTCAACGGATAAGATGGTTGAGGTTGAAAAGTATAATCCATGACTACTGCACTGTAAAATAAATGTACCTTTTAAACCTATTTACTCATACAGGGTTCACACAGAGGCAAAGGGCTGGATTAGCAGACACAGGGATGGTGGACAGTCAGTTATCTTGGATATCGTTCATGTCAGATGTTTATTTAGGTCTAAAAGGATTTGCAGTGTTGTTAAAAATGATAAGTTCAGAGGAAAGGACCATTATTTCAGCGATAGAAAAGCAGCCAAACCATTGCATAAGAACCACAGATTGAACTTGTGAATCCACTGTCATCATTCAACTTCAAATCACATCAAAGACTTCAATTTGTAATGCTTATTATATTTATATCAATCTTTATTTAGAAGATTAACACACACTTATTTCTGCAAGCGTCAGATCCGCTGCCATACAATCCCCAATAACCTTTATTAACACTTAAGTCCACACTGAATTACCAAGCAAACGCTGCTTCATTTGAACAACAGTGTTTTTTTTTTTTCCTAATGGCGGTAATTTTCACATCTGTGCGGTGCCTTTTCAAATGTGTCAAAAAGTCAGACGTAACGTACCCAACTGCTTATGAAAAGCATTGACTAACTTCTATTATCTTATCCATCTGCCATTGTTCTATTTCATGGGGAAAAAAATAGCATTCACACACAGGAGACCTTAATGTCAGTGGGGGACCTTCTTACTTGTCATGTGTTGTGCTGGCTGAAAAGCATGTTTGTGTTCAGTCCACTTCAGTCCTCAGGCAGTCTGGTAATTCAGATTTCATGTATGAATTCAGTTCAGGACCTCTGCACCCCTTACCACAAATCTTGTGTTTTGCATCATTTGATACGAATACATGTACCCTCACACCTCTACTCCTCTCTACTGCAGTTCTTTTTTCATACGAGGGTCTCAGCTTTTCTTGAGCTTTTTAAGCGTTCTGTTGAGCCTAAAAAGTGTCCACTTCATTTTTACTATTTCTTTGCAACATTTGTAGGTCAGTGCACTCTCCTTACTCTTTTCTCAAGATTCATTAAACACATTTGTCTCTAAGTGGGTGACGTTTTTATGTTCAGACACAAACTCAGAGACAGAGTTGTCAGGGATTTGATCAATTTTCATCCACATGCTTTCTACAAGTGTCACATTGCTGTTATTTACCACTTTTATCACACTTTACCACAAGACTGGAAACCCTTTTTTAAAATGAACTTCCTGTCTTTTTTATTATTGCCACAGTCTCCTATCAGGACTTGGTTACCTGTATGTTTAATACTGCTCCTGTGTTGCTTCTTGTTTGGCTCCAAAAGTCCGTCAGTCCAATACATTATGGTAAATAATTCCCTCTCTTTACTTTGTGTTGTAGACACCATGGTCGACTGGCACAGAGTGTGTAGCCAAGTACAACTTCCAGACTGCCAACGAACAGGACCTGCCTTTCTGTAAAGGAGATGTACTCACCATAATCGGAGTCACCAGGGTAAGTGAGCAGGCCGTCAAAGAGATACAGAACCTGTTTTAATATCGTAACAAAGAATTATTATTAGATCTGACCGGCTTTGATTTTACTTCAAAAGGAGGCTGCACAGTTTAGTTGATGTAACATGAAGTCATAGAAGCTGGAGTTCCTCAAAAGCAATATTGAAACAAGAATTCACATTAACAAAAAGGGACAGTGTAGGTCTGACAGTCTGAGCAATACCCTCCCTCATTCGATGAATTTAAACCCTGACTTCCTCTTAGCTGGATTCAAACCCACCATAAACTTCTGAACTATCACGGTGGATGATGTGAGTGAATGCAAACAGCTGTTGTGTTCACCCTGATTTTTTTTTATTTTTTTTTTTTATTAAACCTTTATTTAACCAGGTAAGAAAAAAATTAATTAAAATTGAATTGATGGGATTATTAAAACTTCTGAGGTTGAGAAAAGACAACAATTCTCCTTTTTTCTACATGAATTTTTAAGCTCTGGCTTTTGTTTTAGTTAAAAAAGCTAAAGGGAGACAGGAGCGTGGAACAAATCCTATGAACACTGCAACATGGATGAGACTGGACAGATAACATACATCAGAATTTACTGTACATGATGAAGCAGAAATGGCTTTTCTGTCACGCCCACAATAGAAGTCAAGGTGTCCAAACCTGCTGTTACACACAGCTCCGTGTGTTCAGTGTAGACCACCTTAATTATTTGGTAAAATGTTGTTTTTTATGTTTGTCTGTCATAGGATCCCAACTGGTACAGAGCGAGGAACACAGTGGGCAGAGAGGGGACCATCCCAGCAAACTATGTCCAGAAAAGGGAAGGAGTCAAATCAGGAGGGAAACTCAGTCTTATGCCGTAAGTACCAGAGAGCAAACAGGAGGAAGCAGCAGGACTGTGTGCTCCTGTGAGTGGATGGGCTTTCACTGTCGGTGATGTTTGGTTTTTATTTTAAATGTATTTAGAATCCAGATGAATCTGTTTTGACAGAAATTATGATAAACTGAACCATAAAGCAGCATTCATACCAACAGTTAATTTCCTGATTGTCAGCTGTCAAACATGAGTATCCATCAAATCCTCATCTTACAAAGAACATTGTAGAAAAACCATGATGCACATTGCAGCAAAGATCAAAGTCTCATTTATTTTTATTCCTGTGTATTTCATATCTTTTTCACCCGCGCTCTCCCTCCATCTCGGATGATATGAACAAGTTGTTGAATCCTCCTTCAGTTTTGTCCCCCGCTGTTAAGGGAAATGCGGTGTTGATTTCAAAAGTCAGGCAGAATATTAAAAGATGGAAATTTCTTCTCTTGCAGGCTTTTTGTTGTTTGCACTGTTTCCTCTTGTCTGTGTCAGACTGCCACAGAGGCCAGGACAGCTGTGCACTACATTTGAATGAAGCTCTTTGAAACTGCAGCGATCTGGAAAAAAAAAAAAAAGAGGAAAACATAACGAGAGGCATATGCAAATGAAAGGAGACAGGAAAGCCGAGAGCACACAGGCTGCTGCAAGATCTCTGCATAGTTATGAGATGTTGTCATCTGACAGCAGCCAGGGTTTTGTGCGCATCCCTCCAGTGATGATAAATGAAATCTGAACATTACAAAGGAGTTGGAATCTAACATTTCAAAGTGATATATGGAAATAAGAAGGGATAAGAAGAGGATTCTTTGTTATTCAGGGAACGCTTTCATAGCACCAAATTAACCATGCAGCGTCCATGAAGTCTGACCACAACATTTGCCTTCATGTGTCATTCTTACGTTGCTTTTTTTTTTATTTGACAAATGTAGTCATAAAGTTTGCAGAGGGAAAGTTTCTGTGTAGGCTGGCCCTCCTGTTTTTGGAAAGACATGTTTGTTTTGAGAATATTATGGGTTGCTAAAGTGACCCGCGTTACATAATAATCCCAACAGAAAGCTGTTACACCCAAAAGTGAGAGTGCTTTTTAAGGACAGGCAGATCTGTCCAAGGATCACACTTTTAAGCTTGTCATTAGCTCCAGTTGAGCAGTGCTCACAGGGATGATGGTATGCTAAGTGTCACTTCTTGTTGGCAGGAAACATTTGAATAGACTTCTGACCCTCTTTGTCTCCCTTCATCAACTGCTGCTGAAAGCTTTGACCTCTCCATTTGCCACCAATCACACTGCCTGTCCTCACCACTATGAATGTGGTCACAGGGTCATCCAGCTTCATGCATGTGTGCGAGACTGTCTGCAGAGTCCCATAACTAACTTTGACTATCATATAGCAACAAATTTGATGAGGTCACACAACTGGTCACTGTAAGTAATGATACATAGTGAGCAGGTGGTTAAACTAGACGGGACCCTGACAAGGTGGGTGAGGTTTGTCGCACCCTTTAGAAGGAGTGATCCAATACAGCTTACTGTAAAACATCATGTTTTTTACCCAGCTTTCAACCAAAGAAATCGACAAAGTGACACAGAATATAGATAAAAATGTGTTCCTAATAAATGTTCAGGATAAAATATTCTTTCCAATCCCACAGTCAGCTGTTGTTTGTATGATCAACATTAAAAACTGCTCCTTGTACGGTGATCCAGAAGCAGAGTTTGTAATAACACAGTCCACTGAAGATACAGATGATTCATAAAGGAGATATAACACAGATTTGTCTGTCATGCTCAATCTTTGTCTCCAAAAAGGGCAAACAATCGTCCCTTTAGCTAGAAGCCCACTTAAAAAAATTAATGAAACACCATCAGGAGGAGAGACCCTGGAGTTTATGCCTTTACTCACCCCTGGTACATGATTAATTTGGTAATTCTACACTGTATTGCAGGGAAATATACGTTTGTTATTTCTCACGCCATTGCAACCTGAAGGTGTAGTTTTTTAATTTATTATATTGGGTGTGAAAAAAAAACACAGCAGGCCCATATAATGTCTGTTTTTATTTATGAAGGAAGACTTCAAAGTAGCAGAAGGTATCAGCGAAATTTTGATCATCTCTGTTGTTGTCTTCAATGATTTTATTCTTTTGGTTTTATACTCAAAGCCAAATGAAAAAAAGCATTATATATTAAATGCCTTTCTATTATCAATTTTATTATAATACATGATCAGTGAAAATTTTAAACCACTTATAGACAACTGTTATAAGAGGAAATAAGCAGACATAACTTTGATCTGTCTGCGTTTAATGCGTTGTTTCCCACTGCATAAACAGCATGATCTGTCCTGTATTTTAGTGCACCCCCTGCTATAATGCTTGTTCAGTGCCTCCACATGTTGTGAATGACAGAAGGTGAGCAAAACAAGTAGTTGTATTTAAATGCAGCATGGTTTTAAGACATAATGTGTATCCGTATGTTAATGACAGTCTTTATCTTCGTTCTTTTTTCACCGTAATCAGAGACCCCAGCCTGCTGTGCATTGATTTTTATTTAAATAAACTGTGCTGCACAATCAAACAAGTCCAAGAACAACCTCTCTGCTCTGCTGCTTATTCAACTTGTGTGATAGAACATGCAGCCTTAACATTTTTTCATCATCAGAAGTCTGATGAAGGTGTATAAGACTGTTATTGATTTGCATTTGCAGTTGGGTAAAGTAAGATCTGATCACTGCAGAGCTGTGGTTAAAGCAAGGAGTAAACACTTGTTCTTAAATCTGGTTATGGTCATTTTAAAAAACATACTGATGCAATAGACGAGCAGCCTTTCCTTTTTTCTAATACTTGAATATCTCCTTCAGTAAAACAAATTCATGTCACTTTGTATTTTCCCTTCAATTACAGTTTACTAGGAGATCTTTTTAGAGGGAAGCAAGAATCTTAAAAATTGTATCACTGGCTTCCCTATAAAAGAAATCAAATCTGAAACTAATCACTCAGACTGTACTTCTTGTGTAACATTATCCTAAGTGTCGACTTTATACATGATCTGCAATTGTAGGAGGGTATTGATTTTGTGCAGTTACTGGTGGTCACTAACAGATGCTAACACCCCTGAATGTAAGGTCATTCAGATAAATACGCTGATGATGATCAGCAAATAAAGCTCACTTGTGGGTCAAGTGTGGCAAAGAAACATAAAGCTTTGAAAAAGTGTTGGACTGGAAACAGCAATAATAATGTTGTAAAATCAGAATAAGCCAAATGCTGTTGTTTAGGTTACATTAGTCTAAGATATAAGTGATTAAAGTGAAAGTATGTGATTGTCTGTTTTCTTTTATGTAACCTTAAAAGGAATGAAAAGACTCCTAAATATTTTGCATGCTTGCACTTGCTGACCTCATGTCCTTACTGCTCCATTTGAGATCACTGCATAGTTAAAAGTTTTTTGAAACACTCGTGTCATCAAAGTAGTTCCCCTGGAGCCATTAGCAGTCCCCCCTCAGGGACTTGTTGATTTTGTTGTGAATCACTAACAGATGGCTCAGAGAAGACCTCTCCCGTCCTCTGCATTACATAAAGGTTCAGCTGTGGTCTTCTGTCTCCACGCTCACCCTGACCGACTGAAACTCAGCAGCACATGCAGCCCTCACCTCCCTCATTGAGATCCTGCTTGCTCTCTCTGGTGCCCCCATGTGGCAGATATCTGCAGCACATCTTCAGCGCCACCCTAAAAGAAGCTGGGGCACTCAAACATGCTGCCCTACTTCCTGCCTCCCTGTTGTCCCCAGCAAGTTGTTTACAGCATTTTTCTGTCTTTTTATATCACTATGATGTAATGCATGAAAATTGAAGTTAATTGCCATATGCAGAATGGCCAGTGTGTGCTCAGTAAAGAGCCTATGTGTGTTTGTGGGTCTTCAATGCTTGGCGTCCATTCCCGGATTAGTGGGAGTTAGGGAGCTGCTGTCCATCGGAGAAGCTGCCTGCACTGATCTAATCAACTCGACCCATATTAAGCTGCCTGCCAGAAGGACCTCTGCTGTCTCAGAAGGCTGAGTAAGAGGAGGAGGAAGGGGAGGAGGAAGGAGTGGCTGAGGCAGCCTAAGAAAATGGACTAAATCAATTATAGCTGTTGATTACTAAACCATTCACCATCCAAGACAGATAGAGACCCTGCAGGCTGCTAAAGTTAGCAGCTAACACGAGCTTTCACACAGAGAGTGACATGAATCAATGTGATACTGTGTTTGGATGCTAGTGTGTTTAGACTTAAGAAAATGTGTTCACCGCCTTAGGAGACCTGTGTTCCTAATGAACTGACTATTAGTGATGGTCCTATTATGTTACATCGAGAAATCACAGATACATTACACTTCACATTTTTTACAGCGTAGTTCCTCAAACTAGAAACACAATAGTGAGAAATATCTGTTTGTTGGTATTACAGCAGTCAGCATTAAAATGCCAAGTGCACTGCAGTTAAGGTCTGTAATTAGTCAGTTCATTCTTTCAGTCCGTGCTGCTGTGTTATTTCAGATTCACACTGTGGTCAGGGTTTATTAAGCTGAGAAGTGGCCTAATACCCATGATGCCCCAAGCACTCATCAGCATCAGCAAAGGTTTTCATGAGAGGCGCTGTTTTCCAACAACAGCACTTTAGTTTTTGTTTTTCATTTTCACTGCATTATGCCGGTGCTATGCCACTCTGGCTGGTGGAGTCCAGTGTACTAGAAAATATTCCGCCAAAACTGCCCTTTAGGAAGAAAAGGTGAAAGTTTGTTTAAGTTTGTTTTGTACGCTGCAGGTATATTGCAATTTCTTGTGTATACCCGAACCATGGCTTGTAAATACTCCATTGAGGTTTCTGAAAAGCCCTTGTGTTTGCAAGTGCATCACCAACTTTAGCCATTGTCAGAACCAAACTAGTAACAATGATGTGGCAATAAAGGGACGTTTGATTGGGTGACGTGTGGATCATGATTCTAAATGCAGAGGGTTAAGACAGCCTAAAACCCAAATAAGTCAATTCACAGATATTTATGATTTACTTAGGGCTGTCCCAATACGATATTGATATCAGATATCAGTCCAATGTCAGCCAAAAAACAAGTATCAGATTATATCGGCCTCTATCTAAAATCAACGATATCAGCACTCCGATAAAAGCAGTCCATTCCAGACTCCACTCCAACACTTCTATCTAGCAGCACCCAGATCCAGCATGCAGGATTCAACAACAGTGTGTACTAAGGTACAAACAAAGTAGCAAGGAGTAGGAGTGATGTCGGCTGTGTAGCATTTTTCGTTAAAGTCTGAAAAAGATATTGCAGCTGAGTGCAAAACTTGTCATGCACAAGTTTGTGCCAAAATCAGATCAATATCGGTATCAGCCGATACTGAAGGCTACAGTATCGGTATCATATCGAAAGTTTAAAAAGTTGTAATGGGACACCCCTAGATTTAGTCAGTCCAGAAGTAACAGTTTAGAGGAGGGAAAATAACATGAGAATTAAATCCTTCAACTCAGGGGTCGTGCTGCTTTGAAGGAAAGAGAGGATTGCTTTCTTCAGGGTGAAAGTGAGGAAGCTCTCAAAGCCTTGACTCTGGGTGTAATGGATTGTGAGATCGTCTGACAGATTGGGTCAGAATCAGCAGCAATGCAGGCGTTATCATGGTGGCAAAGAGGGATTTGCAAGTTGCTGATACAAGTGGCTGAAATGAGTTACCTCCTTGGTCTGCTAGAGCTCAGCCTTTGAGACAGGATAAGGAGTTTAGACATTGAGACTGGTCTCATACAGAGCCAATGCCGATCAGATCAATCAGAGCCAGTGAAGGTGGTTTGGGTGTCTGATCTGGATGCTTTCCTTGTGACTACACCAGTGGGATTCTGTATCTCATGTCGCCCGGGAACATCCCAGGATCTCCTAAGAGAAGCAGGAGAAGTGCGCTGGGATAAGGCATAAATACAGAGTAGAGGAGTTTTGTAGCAGAAGAAAGCAGAAGAAAAAGGATTGATGCCAAAGACAGCTGGACGCAGATGTTCAGAAACATAGATAAGTGTTATGATGTAAGATCCATGCTGAAAAGCAGGGCAAGACTGAAATCTAGGATACTAATGTGCATGCAAACGTACTGGGAGTCATGCAGCGGTGTAATCCATCCATTAGTTGCCTATAGATGGATCCAGCAGGCCATATGGTGAAGGTCAAGCAGGGTCATATATTGAGCTTTTAAATAAAGAGACGAGAGCTTTATTTTTTTCTCTGAGCATGAACAGATTTTCAGCTTAGCCTCAGCCTGAGTTAGTAAAGTTTCCCTGCTGTGCTGCTGGGAGACTTGGTTCTGTCCAGCCCACCACCTTGTCTGAGCAGTTTTTGCACTTTCCTGTTATTGCAGTGGCTGCGTGTCAGTTTCCCTCTCTGCCTCGGGCTTCTCTTCACTTGTGTGTGGGCATGCATGTGTGTTTGTGAGCTCCACGCTTCCTGTTGTTTGGGTTCAGGTACTTTCTCACCAGCCCCGCCTTTGCACCGCTTTAGCTGCACACAGACTGGAAGTTCTGCTGCCAGCTTCCCATCACTTGTGCTTTTTTCACTTCTTGTTTTAATAAAGGGCTTTGGGCTGTGATGTGTGGAAGTGGATCCTTCTGTCTGCTGCAAATGAGCTGCAAAATGAATGTCAGGAAGATAAAAACCTGTGTGAAGTGTTTTAACTGAACTGTTGAAAGATCTTTCCATGCTGGTGGAGTTTTTCTGCGCAGCAGATGATAGATTTTGGAAAGACGTGGCATCTATGGTGTGTGTATACAGATTTGGTGTGTGATGTCTGCTGTCATGCAGCTCCAAACATTTTCATCTCTGTTTCCTTTTTTCTTCACTTTCTTTTTCCCATTTTAGCTCAATCTAATCCAGCTTTATGTGTCTAGCACTTTTCATGCATACAAGCATTCAGTGCAGAGTGCTTCACATAGAACAAATGGAAAATCACTGCAGTGGATAAGAAACAAAATGCAGTATTAAACTTAGGGCCTGCGATAAATTGGAAATTTACCGACACCAAAATTTAAGTCAATAACCAACGTCATTTTACCCATCTCAGTATATTCAGTGTCAAATAAATAGATACATGAAAGTTGGTTTTGGATGTGTGTAGGTAGGCTAAGGTCTCATGTCCCTTTAAGACACTGTCCTATGTCAAAAACGTAACTCCGCCCCATCCAGTTCGTAACAAAGAGGGAGAGACAGGTGAGGGCGGTTCAAAAGCTGTAGTGGCTGGAGAGGCGGCTGAAGTAGAAAAGTTAATGTGGGAGGGGGTGAGCAGCTTGTGGAGTAGTTATCGTCCATTTATCATTATCGAGGTGAACTGTTCAATATGTCGTGATATTGATTTGAGGCTATATCGCCCAGCCCTAATAAAACTGATGATTTTCCCTTCTTGATGTTTGATCCCCTGTTTCCTCTCTCCCTTTTCTTCAAGATGGTTTCATGGGAAGATAACCCGGGAGCAGGCCGAGCGCCTCCTCTACCCTCCAGAGACGGGTTTGTTCTTGGTGAGAGAGAGCACCAACTACCCCGGCGATTACACCCTGTGCGTCAGCTGTGACGGCAAAGTAGAGCACTACCGCATCATCTACCACAACGGCAAGCTCACCATCGACGAGGAGGAGTACTTCGAGAACCTCATGCAGCTGGTCGAGGTGAGGAAGAGCAGGAAATGTAGCTGCCATTCAAGCCTCAGATTTTTCTTAAACACCACGTCTCTGAATCCCCACATTTCTCTCGGCTTTCAGTCTGGCAGATGAAAAGGATATGTTACCACGTATTAACAGTGTCAGCTGGTTGGCATGTCTTTAATTTTGCAGTCAAAAGAACTGAAGTGTTTCAGCTGAACTAGAGAGTAACTCACAGGGTTGGTTCTAAGAAAATGTTATCTTTGATTGCTGACACCCAGACTGTAAATGTCTTTAGTCCTTCAAGTTGCTCCTGAAAATACTCCATCTCGCCTTTCAGGCTTTCAGTCAGGGTAACTTTTTCAGTCAGACCACAAAGCATTCAGCTAAAAGAGCTGAAAGAGTTGATATAAATTCAAGTGTTGATCATCAGAAAGACTTTCATCCAAAACTTTCATACTTTATCAGTTGTTCAACTCAGTTTTCTGCGAGAAGCTCAATTGATATATTTGAATATTTTGCCTTTTCCTGAGAGATGCAACCATCAACACTCGATGAACGACTCCCCCCTCCCACTCCTCATTGTAACAGTAGCACACTCTGTACTCAGCAGCACTCTCATCACATCCCCTTCTACTCTTATTGTTCCTGTGTTATGTGCATTCATTTAGTTGTACTGGTTGTATTTTGGTAATGTAACCACGTTGGTCTTAAAACATTTTGACATGCCCTACATTTTTTTTTTTTTCCCCCGAAACATGTGGATGCAACACATGCAGAAGGTAGACTGAAAACAAACAAACAAACAAAACCAATGAGATTATTCAAAACAACAATAACAATAATCAAAGCTAAAATAATTATAATGTGAACCCAACATGTCCGAAAAGGAGTCGGATGAAGCATTATGCTTATTTAAACCTACCCCTTCTCCGCTACTCAATTAACAGTCGGTCTCTCCAACATATATTTCATTATATTTACAAAATAAAACAAAAGTTATGAAAACACCTGATGGTTAAAGCCCTTCTTCAATCCTAACTTCAAACATTCAAGCTGGTCATGTTTTTGTAGGCAGTTTGTTGTGAAATTCAAAGGAAAATAAATGCACAAAGAGAAAAGGAAAGTAGCTTTTTTCCTTCAATAGATTAAATCATCATTTAAAAACTTTTTTTATGTTTACTCAGGTTATCTTTTCTGATATTCAGATTAGTTTGAGGATCTGAAACATGGAAGTGTGATTAAAAAAGCATAAATAGAATAAATTTAGGGGGGAAATACTTCTTCACAGCACAGTTTATTACCTTGAGTTTTGCACATCTTCGGATCAGTGCGTATCTACACTGAGAAATCTAGACCAAAATGGAGCAGTTAGAATATGTGCACCTTTGTACCCCATCTTACCAAAAGGCTTTCAGCTTTGGAGGCTTTGTTGGACAACAAATAAGATCTGAAGATGTTGTGTTGGACAGAAACTATTTAGCATTTACTAACGGTACAGGACAAAACAAGTAGTACAAGTATATGTGGGATCATAACAATCCAGTTGCATTGTTTCTCTCTCTCTCTCTGAGATCCAGTTTATGCTGTCAAACGTGTCTCTTAGATCCCTTAACTAAGCTGTGCAGACACATAATCCATTCTAACTTTTCCTCATCAGAAACAGCATTTCCTCAATTTTTCGACAAAACTGAAGGCTTTTGTTTTTAGTCACAAATAGAATTGTGAACAATCACATAAATCACTGTAGACTTCATTGAACATTTGGTTTATAAATCTTGAACAGAAAATGTAAATGTGAGTTAGTGTTTCTTTTGAGTTATTAATGTGATGTCATTTAGCCTTCAAATTGCTGTGAAATATTTATAGCAGTATTTAGAATTAATGAGATAAAATCCAGTTACATAGTGATCAGTGGTGCAGCAGTATGATTACATAACTCGGTAAACACAAGACCCGCTCACTCATTCAGCGTCCCCACGGAGGTTCCCTAAAAATCAGACTCTTGTACATGTTCCCATTCTTCAAAAAGCTGTCTGATCCTCTCGCTCGCTGCCTGATATCTGAAAGCTGGTTCAGAGGGAGGACAGAGTGAAGAGAGGGGAAGACAGGAGACGTGATGGCAGAGAGACAGAGGGGGAGAGAGAGAGAGAGAGAGACCTTTCATCCTCTCAGATAAAGAGACAAGCTGGATTGGCGGCTATCGCACTCCTAATTGGACCTCATCTTTTTGCCTCGCGGGGCGCTGGAAGTGGACGACAGGAATGTGCCAGCTGGCAACGAAACCAACTACATCCCTGGTGCATTCCTGTTATCAGCCACCCACAATCTCTCTCTCTCTCTCTCTGTCTGTCTGTCTCTCTCTTTTTCTGTCTCTCCCTCATTTACACCCTCCAGGCTTGGTTCTGCCTCCATTTCCTCCCTCTCCTCCCTCCATCCCTCTTTGTGCTGCCTCATATATACCTGGCATGTTGCTTTTTTTTTTTCACTCTTCTCTCTTTGTTACCCATCTCAACCGCTTACTTGCCCTCCATTTTCCTTCCTTTTAATCTCTCTATCTCATCATCCTCTCCTCTGTATGAATTCCCCAGTGTCTTCTCGCCCCTTCTATAATAGCTTGTGACAAGATTCCTCACATTCTTGAGTGTTTTTCCGGCATGCCCTCAGCTCCCCTGCTCTCGCTGGCCTGTCACAGCAGGCTCACATCGACCTACATACCCACACACGTACATACCTTATACATACTGTATGCATAAGTACATTGTGACAGGACTGAATGTCTATTCTGTCAATCACAGGGATGTTATGCGTGTGGTGGTGAGGTGAAGCAAAGATGGCTCCATGTGGTTTTTTCCACATGGGTGTAACAGCTCAGTGAATGTATATTCCTCTGCAGTGCTCATTAAGTACTCTCACCCTCTACTGGGTTAATTACATATAGTAGAGATCTGCATTTATACACTACCATTGTGGACTAAATGAACACTTTTACATAAAAAGACTCATTTAAAATAATTGTTAAGTTATGAAACAGGCTGATCTGATTACGGATCATTTATATTGTGCTGTATGATTCCAAAGAAACATTTTCCTCCATACAGGAACTACTGCTCATGATAATAGACAGCCACACTATTCACAGGACATCAATCCTGTGTATATAGATGAATTTATTCCAGGGAGGTGCTGTTGTTGTTTGGCCTTTGTGACAGTCTTTGCTGAATAATTCATTAGAGCTGACCCCCGCTTCCCTGTGCTGCCCCCTGGTGGTGGTGAGTCAGCCTTGCACTTAAGTTCACCATGCTGCAGTTGTATAACCCAACACAGGCTTTGTTCTCGGTTGAGGAGCTTCTTTTTCATCGATGCTACATAAGACACTGTTATTCTTTGTCTCACACACTTGCACCGTTACGGGATAGATTTTTTTTCTATCATTGTAGTAAAATAAATGTAATGAGCATTAATACTAACATCAACAATACTGCTGCCAAAACTGATGTAATCCTAGAGAGCAATGTGTGTCAGCCAGTAAAACCATCTAACGGACAATGAAGCTGCATTAAGAAATAAAAAAAACACATCACTGCTCACTCACTCATACACTCTGCTGCTGCTGCTGTCAGTGTGAGCTCCATCAGCAGCACCATGCTGATGAGCGGGTATTGACAGGTTTGTTTGGTTTTGGTTAGCTGTGATTCAGGGGGGGTGAGGATCAAATGCACAGACCTTTCTCACACCCACACATTGCTCATCTGCTGCTGGTTCCCACAGTAAACGCTTCAACATCCACACCTCCCAGCACAGAAGCCACTACCGATCCTCTTTCAAACACCGTACATATGTTGTCAATCAGCAGCAGAGTGATCATTTCAAACAGCTCATCACTGCCTCCTTGAGAAATTGCAGTTGTTTTTTCAGAGTTCCTCTATTTTTATATTCAGGGTTTTGTTGTGAAAACTTGCCGTAACAAATGGAAATTAGGCAGGGATCCTGTTTACCCCCCAGACTTGCTTCTCCCTTTGGTGAAGGCAGATCCAGCTGATAACCTGTTCGTAGTAAAAAGATGGAGCCCCCTCACATCTTCTCTCCAGCAGAGTTTGAGTTTTCCTTTCATCACTTCCTTCATGTTCAGCCTGTATTTATTTTACATATCAAAGCCTGTGTACAGACTCCACTTTCAGATAAAATCTGTGTACATCAGTGTGTGATCACTCATGTAGGTCAGAAGTTGTATTTACACTGATGGTACCAGAGCTTCTTTTTTCCCCAGGAGTCACATTTTCAAAGAACATAGATATCCCTGCAGCCTCTTTTGTTTCCACTGATGTCTGAATACCTGGGAGGATAAAGCAAATTTATTTGCAAACATTTGATGAATTCAGGCCTGATTTGCATACGTTTAGGCAGATGAAACTGATGTCTTTTATTTCAAGCAGAGGAAGTACCCTGACTGTGTGACTCTGTTACTTTAGTTATTAACACATCACCTGCAGTTTAGCATGAGGAGCTGAGTTTATTTAACTGGTGTGAAATATTGAAATCGGCAGTATTTTTTAATTTTTAATGTTTTATAGAAATCCTAGTTGAATGGCAAGGTTGAGGTGGAGCTTTTATTCCATTTAATGCTTGATCTTTTGAACAGGTTGCTCTCACGCCTCTAATTCCTTGGTTATTTAGATACTAATTAAAATATTATTTTCTATTTTCATCTATTAATCTGTTTTCTTGATCAAAATAAAGCCAAACTGTGTTGTATGTAAATGGCCATCTGCCACCTGGGCTTGTTTGCATCCTGAGAGCAGAGCTTATTAGCATTACAGCAGTTGTCACTAGCTGGAGAGGCTCAGTAGGGCTGTCAAAATTGCTCCAAAATGATGTTCGAATATTCGTTTTAAAAATTACAAATAGGTTTGAACATATTGAAATTACTAGCTTAGACAGCTTGCATATAACTTTATCTCGCTCAGCATTTTTTATGTTTACGGTGTCGGCCTTAAAATCCGAAGAATTTCTAAATGCAGCGTCTTAAGTTCATTGGTGTCCAGACCACTCTCTCCGGGTTTGGCTCCGAACGTCCTTTCATCTTTCTCTGCATGTGCCGAGGACGGTTTTTGTCGAGTCTCACTGTAGGTGCAGCTCCTGTGACCTGTCCCTGACCCGTCGTTACAGTGCCCTCACTTACAAAGCAGCTGCTGGGCTTTTTTTGGTTTGTTTTGTTTTGTTTTTTTCGCACTCAGTTTTTCTCCCTGTTTATGTAATATTCAAATATAAATTTTCACATTCAAATTTTGTTTGTTAAAAAATATTCAAATATATATTCGAATGTAGAAAATTCGTTGACAACCCCAATGCTCAGGCATAATATGTGAGCAGCATTTTCAGCCTACTGTCATAAAAACATTGATTACTCATTTAACTAAGTCCTAATTAACATGCTGATTCATGAAGTAATGACATATAATCATGAGGTGGACTCAACGTACTCCATCCAGGTGTCTACAAAGCATCTCATGAAAAGAAGAGGCCTATATCTGATTAGTTTAAAGTAATGTCTGGTTCTTGATTCCACTGTGTTATGTGTTTTTTTTTAATAAATATAACTTTCTCTCTCATTGTGTCTGCAGCATTACACCAAAGACGCTGATGGCCTTTGCACCAGGCTGATTAAACCCAAGTTGATGGAGGGAACGGTGGCAGCGCAGGACGAGTTCTCCAGGAGTAAGGACACACTCAGCTCATTACTCTGCTCCACAGGGACACTGGCATCAAACCACACAGGGCTTCGCTCGGCTTTTGTTTGAATACTTGCACTTTAACCTCACAGACATGGCCTGTGTCTCCTACACGAATCTGCTGCCATCCCAGCCCTAATAGTATTAATCAGCAGAGGATAATTAATCTTTCTGCGTCTGGGGACGAGTGCTGGGCTTCAGCCGTGCTCAAGGACAATCACAGTCTTCCTCCATCTCTGTCTCCCTCCCTTTCTTCGTATGAACCTATCTGACCTGTCTGAATCGTACAGCAGAGGACTGGAGAAGCTACATGCCCAAATAATTCAGCATTTTTCCTCTGAAACGAGCAATGCATCATTCAGAAAGAAGTGCTCTTTTGCGAGCAAGATGAGAGATGTGAAACTGGGTATCTCGAAAGGTTTGATGTCAAGTGTATTTCTCTCAGAAATCCTATTAATATGTCAGGATGAACAAAAAGATCTCAAAGTTTTAGCTTTTTTATAATACATGGATTTTCCCTAATGTTTCATGATTGACCTTGACTGAAGAAGGAGCCTGCTGATTGTAATTTGTCTCTTTTTTTGGCAGGTGGTTGGGCTTTGAACAGAAAAGAACTGAAACTCCTGCAGACCATCGGGAAAGGAGAGTTTGGAGGTGAGGAACTGATATCTGCGTCGGTTAATTTTCTCCATCAGAGGCATAATCACGGAGGTTATGCTGGAAATTGGGATTAACATTCACCCTGTCTGTGTCCTCTTCAGATGTGATGGTAGGAGACTACAGAGGAACCAAGGTGGCGGTCAAGTGTATTAAGAATGACGCCACAGCGCAGGCGTTCATCGCTGAGGCTTCTGTCATGACGTAAGATCTTTCAGATATTTCTCTGTCCTTAAACCGCGTTTGAACAGAACCACACCTTTCCCTCATGTTTTCCATTTTTCAAATTGAAAATGTTAAGAGGAGCTTTTTATTGTGCACTCACAAGCAGCTCCGGTATTTTTCTGCGTACTTACACTTGATTGTTTTTCCCATTCTGTGATATTTTATTGCAGGCAACTGAGGCACAACAATCTGGTGCAGTTGTTAGGGGTTATAGTGGAGGAGCGAGGCAGTCTCTTCATCGTCACAGAGTACATGGCCAAGGTTTGTCACAGAGGTTTTTAAGTTTACTCCTTCTTTCAAACAGTGTTCTGGGAAATCATATGTTCCACTTCTTCTTAGCGAGAAGCCTTTACTTTCTGTGGTTTCCAATGGTTGCCCTGCAAATGCTTTCTGACAGAAAGTAGTCAGGCACATGGTAACAAGCAGAGGTTGGCAGACCTTTTAATACTTCATGCTTTAAGTGACAAAAAATCTATCAATTCTATATACAATGAAAACAAAAAACAAAAATAGGTCTGTAGTCATATTTTCAACCCAAAGCTGCAGTAAGCATAAGGCACAGAGCGATAGCAGTCAATCAGATTAAAGAGGTGGTAAAGAGAGGGTATGTGTGGTGGGTAAAACGGGAAATAACCCTTTGTTATTGAGCTGTGTCAGCTGATAAGTTTGCAAAGAAACCCACAACCCTGTGCAAACCTGCAGGATTTAGTTTGCAGCGCTTGTTTGCACACTTTATCCTGCCCATTGTTTCTGACTTTGCAAGTGCAGAGAGGCAGCAGGATCTTTGCAGACACACAAACCAGCACACTCTTCTCCTAGACTATGAAAAAATCTAATAGGATAAGCCTGTTATATTTTGGGTCTATACAGACTAAGGCTGGGCGATAAACCGAAAATGTACCGATACCAAAATTTACAACAATAATCAACGTCATTTTGCCCTTATACGTATATTTGGTGTCAAAAAATAGATACAAGTCAGTTTTGGATGTGTGAAGTTGGCTATGGTCTCATGTCCCTTTAAGACATTGTCCTATGTCTACGTCCTATGGAGGGATGTCCTATGTCCACCCTATCGAGTCTGTAACAAGACAGGTGAGGAGATGGAGGACTGTTCAAAAGTTGTAGAGCCTGGAGCGGTGGCTGAAGTAGACAAAGTTAATGTGGGAGGGGGTGAGCAGCTTGTGGAGTAGTTATCGTTCATTTATCGTTATCGAAGTGAACTGCTCAATATACCGTTATATTGATTTGAGGCCATATCGCCCAGCCCTACTACAGACCTTTTTGTACCATGAACAGTAATCCACATGTTGGACTGGGGTTTCTTTACCGGCACTGTCTGTAGCGTGGTTTATAAAAAACAAACTAATCCAAGTTTTTATTTTTCCCTGCAATATATAAAAAAGCATGTTATCATTTAGTTTTTTATCTAGTATTGTATCAACATTTGAAATTCTGGTGTTTTGGCAACTCTTAACAATATACAGAACAAACCATTAAGATCAACAAATAACACTTAATGTGATCGATCATTGGTATCTGTTTCCATGAGCCTACAGATAAAAGCTTGATGTCACTTTACATATGTAATCACAGTATCAAATTTAATATCATGTCACGTATTGATTTGAAAGGTTGTGTTAATACTCCGGTCTGTGTCACAGGGCAGCCTGGTGGACTACCTGCGCTCTCGAGGGCGGACTGTGCTCGGCGGAGACTGCTTACTCAAGTTCTCCCTGTGAGTCCTCTTCAGCTCTGTTCAAGCACTCATTCCATTTGTGGAGAAGACAAATGTTTAATCAGCACAGCTCAGGGTCTCCAGTTTAACTGCTCCTCTTTAGCTGTCAGGATTTTGAAAAGACTTTGAAAGGAGCAGTGTCACGCTCTTCAGTGGGAGTATAAAAGAGCCCTTTGTTTACAGAAGCGGGCCCGCAGGATGTTTTTCTTGATAAATAGCTGTTTTATCTGAGAGTCAAGTGCCTTGAAGTCTTCATTTATTTTTAATTGAACACGTATTTAGCTAATGCTGGAGCCCAGAGTGACTGAGATGAGGGAGAGCACTGAGTGTCAGGAAGCAGATCAATGAGCATAAATGATCACATTGACAAGAGAGTTTTCATCATTTATGTGACCCTTGAGTAAACTTATTAGAGAAGTGCAACAGTCAGATTTTAACAGCTTGAACCTAAAGCTGGTGAAAAGGATCAAGTTTTACTTATTATTCATGATTTAGCCCGTTCATTTTCTCCTAGACCGTCTCTTTGCATTAGAAAACATGAGCGCCCTTTTTAACCACTGATGTATCATTTTAACAGAGCAGAATAAAAGCTCAAGCAGCCTCAAATGTTTCCCTGGAGATAAGAAAGTCATTGCACATCTGTTTATTTGTTTGTCATTATCTTGGTGGTCCACCCCCTCCTCGCTCCCCCTCACTCCTGTCTCCCCTCGTGTCGCACAGTGATGTTTGTGAGGCCATGGAGTACTTGGAGGCCAACAACTTCGTTCACAGAGACCTGGCAGCTCGTAACGTGCTGGTGTCTGACGACAACATTGCCAAGGTCAGCGACTTTGGCCTCACCAAGGAGGCCTCCTCCATACAGGACACTGCCAAGCTGCCCGTCAAGTGGACCTCCCCCGAAGCACTAAGAGAGAAGGTGAGAAAAGACGAGGGTTTGACGGGGTGCAACCCCAGACTGGTGTGTTTTTAAGTTCTTGGTGTTTGTTTTCTTCTGCTTCACTCATCTAAAGTCACAGGGCAAGTTTTTAAAACCTAGAAAAATCCAGTAGAACTGTCCAGCTATTTTCTGTCATGATGAATTTTAAATTTTAATTGTTTATTGTGATTAATAGCATTTTGAATCACATTGTAAAAATTTCATTATTCTTCATTTTAAAACAGTCCTCTTAGACAAGCAAAGCAATTCATATCATTGACTTGGTTTGTAGTCAGATCAGTGTATATATCTGACTATTATGTATATATGTATACAGTATATACACTCACTGGCCACTTTATTAGGTACACCATGCTAGTAACGGGTTGGACCCCCTTTTGCCTTCAGAACTGCCTCAATTCTTCGTGGCATAGATTCAACAAGGTGCTGGAAGCATTCCTCAGAGAGCCTGGTCCATATTGACATGATGGCATCACACAGTTGCCGCAGATTTGTTGGCTGCACATCCATGATGCGAATCTCCTGTTCCACCGCATCCCAAAGATGCTCTATTGGATTGAGATCTGGTGACTGTGGAGGCCATTTGAGTACAGTGAACTCATTGTCATGTTCAAGAAACCAGTCTGAGATGATTCCAGCTTTATGACATGGCGCATTATCCTGCTGAAAGTAGCCATCAGAAGTTGGGTACATTGTGGTCATAAAGGGATGGACATGGTCAGCAACAATACTCAGGTAGGCTGTGGCGTTGCAACGATGCTCAATTGGTACCAATGGGCCCAAAGAGTGCCAAGAAAATATTCCCCACACCATGACACCACCACCACCAGCCTGAACCGTTGATACAAGGCAGGATGGATCCATGCTTTCATGTTGTTGACGCCAAATTCTGACCCTACCATCCGAATGTCGCAGCAGAAATCGAGACTCATCAGACCAGGCAACGTTTTTCCAATCTTCTATTGTCCAATTTCGATGAGCTTGTGCAAATTGTAGCCTCAGTTTCCTGTTCTTAGCTGAAAGGAGTGGCACCCGGCGTGGTCTTCTGCTGCTGTAGCCCATCTGCTTCAAAGTTTGACGTACTGTGCGTTCAGAGATGCTCTTCTGCCTACCTTGGTTGTAACGGGTGGTTATTTGAGTCACTGTTGCCTTTCTATCAGCTCGAACCAGTCTGGCCATTCTCCTCTGACCTCTGGCATCAACAAGGCATTTCCGCCCACAGAACTGCCGCTCACTGGATATTTTTTCTTTTTCGGACCATTCTCTGTAAACCCTAGAGATGGTTGTGCGTGAAAATCCCAGTAGATCAGCAGTTTCTGAAATACTCAGACCAGCCCTTCTGGCACCAACAACCATGCCACGTTCAAAGTCACTCAAATCACCTTTCTTCCCCATACTGATGCTCGGTTTGAACTGCAGGAGATTGTCTTGACCATGTCTACATGCCTAAATGCACTAAGTTGCCGCCATGTGATTGGCTGATTAGAAATTAAGTGTTAACGAGCAGTTGGACAGGTGTACCTAATAAAGTGGCTGGTGAGTGTATATCTAACTGTAATGATTTTCAGACTTATTATCGATAAACATGCCACACTGCTCAACTCGTGCTCAGGGGGAACAGTTTTCAAGTATGAAATCACAGGTCCGTGACGATTCACACACTCCAAATATGTTTGTCTGTGTTATGTTTTATGTTTCTTTTTATGTCCTTCTTGCTGGAATCTGCACCAAAAAGAGCTGTACTGAAAACAAATTCTAACAGCCTGGCTGTGTGGTCATTAAATCAAATGAAAATGAAATGGTGCTCTTACAGCTTTACGACATCAGTCTGATTAGCTACACTTACATATGCTTGACTCATAAGTGGTCGCTCAAACTTCAGAATTACTTCGAGTAATTCTGCGATATTTATTTCATTCGACTAAAAGTGTGTATTACTTTTGGCTTGTTGAAAAAGCTCTCAGGGAATTTGAAAGGGAAATGTGCTGTGGTGTCACAAAGCAAGAAGACACCGTAGCAGCACTTCTACTTTTACGGTGTGCTGAAAGGGACAAAAAGGCACGCAAATATTTAAAACGTCACATTATTGAAACCGAGAGCCTTAAAAATGTATAGTCTGAGGCTCTAAGATGAGTCAAACTTGGACTGGTCTTAAGATTCAAGATTGATCTCGACTCCAGAAAATGCAAAAAGATGATGCTCGATAGGTCAGGAGAAAAACTGTCAATAGATTTGTGTTTACATATAAGCTTACATATAAACCTGTTTTGGACGCTATATGGGAGTTAATGTTGTGAGAAGTCAAGCCATCGAGATTGTGACTAAATCAAAGCTGTTTTAATGTTTGAGTGTAATTGTTGTTGCTCATTTCATCCTACGTATCTGAACCCTGAACCCTCCCTAATAAAAAGGAGAACACAAAACACCTGAGCTGCTTTCTGAGACCCTTTTATTAAACAGGTGAATTCATACTCCTTTTTTTTTTCTCATCATCTCACAGAGGTTTTCCACCAAGTCAGACGTCTGGAGTTATGGGATCCTTCTTTGGGAGATCTACTCCTTTGGGCGCGTGCCTTACCCTAGAATTGTAAGTACCTGAACTCCAGGTTTCTGTGGCTCCTAAAGCTCCGAACTGTACCAGCAGATGGCAGGCTTTGTCGCTGGGATCAATATTTATTTATTTCCTTCATAGTGTTTAATTTATTTTGTTTTTCCTCATTTATTCTTGTTCTGGATTAGTGAAAGGATTTGACCTCAAAATAATGAGATTTGTGTTATCAGACTGCTGAAGCAGATGATGAACATGAGAGCCAGTTTGTGCTTACAATTATAACTTTAATTATTTCTTCATGCTTCATCACTTGTTTTACTTCCAAATCCACTTGTTTTTTGTCGTGACCTTTTCATGGCACGTCGAATGATCTTTGTACGCAGCGTTTTTTCCGGTGCAGAGCAGAAATGTCAACTGTGTTTCTGTCTGTCAGCCGTTGAAAGAGGTGGTGCCCCGGGTGGAGAAGGGATACAAGATGGACGCCCCCGACGGCTGCCCGCCTGTGGTGTACGACCTGATGAAGCAGTGCTGGACCCTGGACTCCGTGGTGCGGCCCTCCTTCCGCATGCTGAGGGAGAAGCTGCAGCATATCAGAGCCAAGGAGCTCTACCTGTGAAGAGGAGGCCCCGTGGGGGGCGATAGCGGGGAGAGGAAGGGGGCGACTCACAGCCCAGCACAGCTGTAAAGCAAGAGGAGGAGGAGGGGGAGAAGAGATGAGGGACCACAGTAGCTTCCTCCTACCTGGGACTGCCAAACTGTGCCCCCTTCCCTGACCACAGATACCCCCCAGCCGCCATCTGCTTCCATATAAGGACTGTTTCCTGTTTGTGTTGTAAAGCTTTTGCCAGACAGTTTCCTCTTCTCTCGACGGGCCACTGCTCCTTCCTTCTTCTGAACCTGCCGCTGCTCTCCCGCTCTCTCTCTCTCTCTCTCTCTCTTTTCTCTTGGTCCAAGTTCCCTTTTCTTTCTTTTTTTTCCTCCCCTCCTCCTCTCCTGAACACGGCATTAACTGGAGGGGAGGCTGGCCTTTTCCTCCACGATTGTCAGGTGCTTTTTCTTCACCCACCCCCCACCCTCCGTCATTCCTGGATCTCTGTATCACTGCGTGGCTCTGCATGAATCCAGCACTCTGTCATTCCATCCTGTTTGTCCCTCCCTCCTTTCCTTACTCCCTCCCTCCTCCCCTGGGCGTGGTGTCAGGTGTGGGGCCTTCGCTCTGTGCCAAAGTGCCTCCAGTCTACAGAGCTCCAGACTTCCCTCCAGCATTTCTTTCAACTGGACTGTTGTTTAAGTTTTTTTAAGTACCTTTTTTAAGAGATCTTTTTTATTGCTTTCTTTATTTTCAGGGAACTGTTTTTTTAGTGCCGTCTCCCCCACCTCCGCCATCACACCAACAGACTTTCTTTTGCCAAGTGTCCATGAACAGGAGGAGAGAGGATTTGGGGGCCAGTATCGTGCTCATCCCCGAGAGGTAACGCGTGGAAGGGGATGCAGGACTCTTAATAAGAGGAGAAGGGGGAGAAGCAGTTCACAAACATGGTCGATTCATCATACGTGGGCTTGTTTTTTTTATATCAAAATATATTTAAAGGATTTAAAAAAAAAAGAGAGAGAACAAGGAAAAAACTGACTGGAGTGGAGGATAACGAAATAGATGGACTTTCAGGAGCCAGGAGCGTCTTGGCATTAGGAATGTTCAGTGTCTCTGTGAACGCTGGGGTCGGGTGGTGCATGCTGTGTGTGAGAGGCCTTGGGTTCAACTGTCAGTGCTTTCAATGTTCATTGTTTTATTATGCTATCATGATTATGAATAAATCATTCCATCTGAACTGTGCAGGAGCACGAGCATCATTCTGCCTGTGCGTGTGTGAAATAATCATTTGAGCCTTTTTTTTTTGTATAAATAGTAACTCAAGGGTTTAATAACCAGTTTATCGGGGGTATTATTAAAGGTACCTTAGGGGTGTAATGATGGATAAATTAAGGGACTGATGAAAGGTAAGTTAAGGCTGTAATAAAGGTTTTGTTAACGTCTCTTTTCTGTCATAATGTTGCAGTGATGTTACTTACTGAGAAAAATTACAGGTTTCTTTCAGAGTGCAGGTGAATGTGTCCACGATCTGCCAGTCACCATTGACAACTGGAGCTGCAGAGCTGACTGGTGCTAACCACATGTAACCTTTTTTCTTTCTTCAGTTAATTTTTACATTTAAGCTCAACTGTTCTGAGGAAAGAAGTGCTAAAAACTGCAGTTCCTCTTGTGCTCACTGGAAACTACTTAGACCAGTGGTTCTCAAGTCCAGTCCTCGAGGCCTACTGTCCTGCATGTTTTGGATGTTTCCCTGCTCCAACACACCTGATTCAAATGATTAGCTCGTTATTAAGCCATTACAGAGCTTGATAACGAGCTGATCATTTGAATCAGGTGTGTTGGAGCAGGGAAACATCCAAAACATGCAGGACAGTAGGCCTCGAGGACTGGACTTTAGAACCACTGACTTAGACACTGCACCATAAAACAGAGTTCCCACACAGTTGGATTTTCCATACTTTCCCATACCCTACTTTTTAGAATAATTTTTGGAAAAACCTACTCTTCTATTTTAGAAAACAGTATTTTAGAATTGTGGTAGCAGTGGATATTTATATATATATATACATGGATATTTTTCCATACTTTATTTTTTCATTTTTCATACTGTTTACAAGTGAACAAGTTTACAGCCTGGTTCAAAACAGGGTTTCGACTCAAACTGCTCATGATGCCCACTGCAGGGAAAGAATTTTAGTGAAAGACATTTTTTTCCAAGATTTGAAGTTTATCAGATTGGCCAATCAGAGGCACGGCTGACTTTTGCAAGGAGGCTAAAGACCTACCTGTGGTGGGTTGACCTAAATGTAGGTTAAGTCAGTGTTTACAATATCACTACTATGACTGATAGGTTTCAAAACTCTCAGTGATGACACTATTTGATTTTACAGCTTGTATGTTAAATTCAAGTAGTTCTTTCACTTACTGTCTACCTTTACATTCTCAACATGAGCTAATGTTTTATGTTTTAAAGGTTTAAAAAGTTACGGTGTATGAACTAAGTCTCTGAAGAGTGCAGTAAAGCATAAGTAAAGAGTATTAAAGGGGTAATAAAGGGCTAGTTAAGGATGTTAAAAGGGTGCAATGAAGGGCTAGTAAAGAGTTGGTAGAGGGTGAAATGAAGGGCCGTGAAGAGTTCAATAAAAGGATTGGTAAGGTTGTAATAAAGGTCCCAAAAGGGGTAAACAAAGGATGCAATAAAGGTTTAATTAAGATTGTATGGAATATGAAAATTGTGTTAATAAAGGATGTAAAAAAAAAAAAAGTTGTAATAAAGGAATATTTAAGAGTGTAATAAAATGATACTTAAGTATAGGTTGAGAGTGTAAGTAAGGGTTAGTAAAGACTTTGTTGGGGATCTAATAAAAGGTTTAGAATGGTAATAAAAAGATGGAACATAAAGGGGGGGGGGGGGGGGGTTATGAAGAGTGTTTTTTATTTAATTAAATCAGATACTTAGATTGTAATAGTTAAAAAAAAGAGCCTGTGATCAGTTAAAAGGCTTTTGGTTGGATTAGATGATGAAAACCACTTGTCTTTTCTGGCATGATTTTAAAACCCTTACATGTTAGACAACAGGAAGGCTAAAAACTACTGGCAACCTGCAGAGAGTCTTTGCAATAACAACTCAGCACTGCATGGGACCTGAGACATGCAGCAAGAGACCAAAACGAGTGTGAAATGGTGAGAGAGGAGCGTAAGGGCCCCAGTTTTTCACAGATGTACGTCTAGAAATAACCCTCCTGTGATCATCTTTTGGTAGAAGGGCTGTGAACAGGTGGTGAAGTGTCAGCTGAGCCTTATAGGTGTGAAGGAGTGTTAATGTTATGTCAGCTGACAAGTTCCTGGCGGTTAACACGCCAGTGAAATCACTGCTCTTTAGAGAGGGTTTACTGAGTCCCAGCGCAGTGACATACAGGCTGGGAGGAGATCGGAAGTCATCTGTTTGCTCGTGTTTCTCTTCAAATCTCTTCTACTTTGTCCTTGACCAATCTTCTGCCGCTGAAAAAGAAGAAGAAAACACTTCTTTGGGGGTGTATTTTCATGTGATCTCTATGAATTTTAATGACCACGATGGGGCAGCAACAAAGAGGTGGTTACGTAAGAAAGGCAGTTTGTGCTCATGGCCAAGACTGTGCTGCTGTCAGGACCTATCATGCTATCCTCAATACACCATCCTGCTACAGCTGCATGAGATGGGTCTGCTGCAAAGACAACCCCCTCCCCCTAAACTTGTTCTTCTCCTGGATTGTTGGTAAAAGGCACAGCTCATTAGCAAATCCAGGAAACATTTTTGGATGTGATCTGACTGCTAAGATTCACCACCGGGAGGCATCATACAGTCTGTTCCTAGGAGAGCAACACTCAGATGAAATCTCAGGTTGAATTATGTTTGGCAGAGAATTTCTCAATACTTGAGACCATGAATTTGGATATGTAGTTGCATAAAAGGGTCAGAGGTCAATGTCTGTTGCTCTCTTTCATCACATTAAACCCGTTTCTTCAAGGAAACAAAATCTTTTGATTTTCTCACCGTCTCCATACCGGCATATATTTTTAATTTTATATTCATATAGGAGTAAACCATCTTAATTTGATCAAGTATGATATATCACAAAAATGTATTTAAAAATGTAAAGCCCAACTGGAGGTGTCACTGTGATGGGACTTAGTGGTGACAGGAGTGAGAGTTAATTCGAGGCTCTCACGTCTGCATGCCGGGGTCTTTCTTTCTCACTTAAGTAATCCTGACAACCACACAGCTCTGCGTTCTTAGCAGGCCCAAGCAAGAGGATTGATGTGTTAATCAGCTTTCAATAAGTTATGGATCTGAGCTACTGACAGCGGCTAAGCAAAGTCGACGGCAACAAATTAGCTCTTGAATTAATCTGATTACGCCAACACTATATTTTTGGGCGAGTGAGTAAAACGCTGTGAGCAGCACATGTTTTTGTGGAGTTGGCATGTGCGATGTCCAGCGTGCCGAGCTGGACCTGACACATTTACATGTGTGACAGAATGAGGGTGAGGTAGTGAGGAGGAGGAGGGAGGTTTCAGGTCTGTTTTTTTCTTTCCTCAACTTCCAGTCAGCCTCATCTTCGTGTGCTGTTGCTGGGTTACATGATGGATTTCTTGGAGACACATGAGTCACCCAGAAAACACACATGAATTTGAGTGCTGAGTCTGGCTCACATCACTCAGCATTAGCAGTTTGCACGACAGTGTTTTAAGAGGACTTTTTCCATGGTACAACATGTCTTTCACCAAAGCTCTTATTTATATTGTAAGTAACTCATCAGCCAAAACAATCAAATATATAGTAGAAGGTGGAGATCGACGTAAATGGTGGGAATTTGGCTTATTTGAAGAATAAGTGTCATATAAACATGGGCAAGCTTCATGGTAGGATTTTTTTTTTTTACTCAAATTTTATTTGAATTTATTAAACCTAACAGAAACAAGACATACAGTCATTCAAAGAAAAATATTGGCACAAACAAACACAAAACTTGGTGTCATTCACAGAGAAGAAAAGAAAATTGTCCATGTAGCCTCCATCAAAGTTGTCCATTTTTTAAAGTAATGTGAATAGACTCATCTGAGTCCTGCACATATTATACCATTCTTACTTGAGAGAGAGAAAGCGTTGTAGCATTTTGGCTATTTGCTGCAATGTTATGATTGATATATGTCACAATCCCTGTGGATCCTTGCAAAGTCTTGAGTCAGATTCTGAAAGATAAGGTCATAAAAGTCACAGAGAGTCTTACTTTTATACGCATGTAAGAAGTCTTACAGATGGGACATATCTGAACATGTAATTAAGCCTACTCTGTCTAAATGACATTATATATATTTTGTGAGGATTTGTTTGTTCACATGACAAATACAGCATATATGGTATCTTTTTACAGGTGTTCACAAATGGAAAAAAAAGACAGGAATGGACAAAGAGGGCATGAAAATCTCAGAATATTCAGCCTGAAATCAAAAATCAGGGGAAGCACAGATTGAGATGTTTATGTCTGTCTTTACTTTCTAGACTACTTGTGTTACTCAGTCTAGTGTTGATTCCTGAGAGTCTGCTGGACCAGTGTATTCCTCAGTTGACCATCTGCACTGGTCAGCTCATAAGAACTGGACTCGTAGTTGATCACAGATCTACTTTCTGTACATTGATATGATTATAGTAAATTCATCAGACTCACTGTGATAAGATCCACTTCCCCATAACAAGCAACACTGTATTCTTCATAGCAACAGTATGTAATTAATAGGAAATTACCAATCAGAATACGGTAACACACTCACTTAACACAGCCATGTTATAATATAACTCAACAACTATTGACTGCTAACCCCCCTTTGCTCACTTAGCAGCCCCCTGGTCTGGTTCAGTATGCTGAGAGAATCCTTCATCAACATCAAGTTGAGCAACTCCACACAAGTGAAGCTTTTCCCAGGCTTGTGCTAACACTCCAGTCGTTTAGTGAAAAACAATCTTTCTGTAAAAAAACAATTAGAAAGCCTTATTTTGTTGTTAAACATCTTTTAGTTATTGGCTTTAAGATTGAAAAAATACTTGAATATGCTGAACAGAAACATGTCAGGCAGCATCCTCTGCAGCTCCTTGAGTGTCCACTTGAGACCGGCTCCAAAAGCCCTTAAAGTCACATACACAAGAAAAATCCATTTTTACAGCACAACATGTCAACAGTCCGGCTCAGAAATGATTTCCGAACTATTTGGTACAGTACTTTTCTCTACCCACACAAACTTTTTATGACAGCTGTAAGGAAACACTAAAGTAGTGAGTTTTACTTAATCAAGGACGCAGCTGATGTGTGAATTACAGGCACATTGTGTCTGTTAGGGAGAGGCTAAAGGCTCGCCTCAACACAACCTCTTTGCCTTTTGCTAAAAATTTAATTTAATATGCCAACTGCTGTCAAAAGGCTTTCAAAACATCCATTCAGAAACACTAAGACTTCGTCCATATTTTATACAGCTTATAAGATGTACTGAAACTTTGCCAGCTACTGAACACTACACTGTACCTGTAAGACACTGTTGGTTTATCATCATGAAATTTGAAGTCCCTTTTTCTTTGCAGAAACTTCCAAAACAGTAGCGGCTGTAACAATATATTATTTCTGTGTGCGTTTTTGTTAAAGAGAAGAAGAAACCAGGCTATTTTTGTTCTGTTGAAACAGTAATAGATCGGTGTATTGACTGGTGTGCTTGTTGAGCCATTTTAGCCATTAGTGATGTTTCTGATTCTACTATCGGAGATTGAACAGTCCAGTATCACAGACTCTGATGGAAAAACTGTGTTCATTTTTACAGTGCTAAACAACGCTGCATATCAATAGAAGGAAGAGTGCGAACTGCTTTTGTTTAATACTGGACCAGTTGTGTTGCTTCTACTATACTGAGAGAGAAAGAGACAGTGAAAAATGTTAAGCCCAAAATGTTTCCTGTAAAGACAGAGCAGTGATTTTGTCAGATTGCAGGGCAGAAATTCTGGATACCACTGAATTACTGACACTGAGGCCTTTGTTTATTCAGCTCCAGCACTGTTATTGAGTGAGTGTGGGAGTTCTCCTTTTCCAGCCTGATTCAGTGACAAGCAGCAGGCGTTGAGCTGACAGGAGATAAAGGAGGAGATATTGACATTATCAGGCCAACATGTGGACAGCTGAGTCAAATGTGCACACAGCGGCCGCATCAGAAATCTTTTCACGCGAACATATCACTCGGTCTCATCACCCTGCGCTCACTCCTCATCACTCTGCTGAACGGGCTGAAAATGTGTTGTTTCCTGTTGTAATTAGCTACTGTTTGGGGACATTTGAGGAGACAGTGATGTTAGCCTGTCAAACAGGAGTATCGGGGGCACAACGTTCAGACCCTCATGCTGTGTCACAGTAGTGTAGTCCCTGTGGGCCAAATGAAACATATGGAGGTAATTCTACATGCTCTATTTACTCTTTCACTTCTGCGTCACATTAGGATGTAATTGATTATGATTCTCTGCTGCACAGAATGCTTGGTGTATTTTCATGTCAGACTGCAGAAGGCGTGACCTGGTAAAACGGAGCTGCTCAGCAGCTTCAACCCCTGACCTTAAATGTCACAGAGGCAGAGAGCCTCATCAGGACACTCTGCGCTAAAGGAACACATATTCAGATATTGACAACTTTCAAGTACAAAAAGTGATCGCTAATTCAGACGTATTGTATTTCAAACTTTAATATAACTGAA